CCAGTCCCATGGCTGAGCGTTAGTGGCGTGTTCCTGCTGGGACTTGACTCACCGACAAGTCAAACTGCAGTGGCAGTGAGTGAAGCTCGTAGATCGTCGAAGAGTGAGAGCTGGCACGGTCGAGGTGATATAAGGCCCTAACCACAGAGCGAAAGCCATGTGGCACAACTAGGGGGCCATCATCATACTCAGCAATGGGAGTAGGCTCAATATCAGCCATGCGACGCCTTTTGAGGTTGGTCTTCTCTGCAAAGGAACGGGAGAAACGCTGTCCGTGATGAACTCGGCAAAGGGGGGAGGGCTGTCATCCTGATCATCGACGTCTTGGCATTCATCTGAATCCTGCGCGATGGGAGGCGTAGTGCGATCCTGATACTGCGCGGCAGGCCGGCCTCGTGAACGGCGACCCACCAAGGCGGGGTGGGGGCGGGGGATGTCGTCGACGTCCATGGATGGATGGAAAGTGGTGGGGAAGTGGGAGATGCGAGTGAGATGAGGAGTTGGGGAGTTAGATGATGAATCAACGAGCCCAGGTGACCATTGGGATGCAATATATCAGTGAGAGAGTGAGAGTGAGTGGGGAGCGAAGAACAAAGATCGTATCATCCAAGGCGCACACACCAGATTTCAATGTTTTCAAATCAGTGATGGGGGCGTCGTGAGGCGATGCCAAATGGATCCAACAGCGCCTGTGGAGCGTAAGCTACATTGTTCCCTCGAATGGCGTTGAACCATGGAGGAGTGAACGGTAACAGTATGTGGAGGCTGTCGCAACAAAGTCGTGCATAGCACAGTTGTGAGACAGCAGTATTTATGTCATTCGATGAGGCCAGGGAAAACACGGATGCAATATCGCGGAATCTGGCTGCTATGTCGGGGAATCAGGGTCCAAAGCTAGGTGTTAATACAGCAAGCCTGGACAAAATGCGATAAATCATTCACATATATGGACGTGCCTCAAGGGCGAGAGCTTATCGCTTGTGCTTGGACATTGGTGGCAGGCCCTGTCCGCACGTCATCCAGTGAGTAAGCAGAGTCAGCAGAGTCGATGTGCAGTTACACCGAAGAGAGAGAGAGAGGAGCACAGGAAGGAGGGCTCACCCAAGTTACCTCTGCCCATCACCTTACTTTTACGCGTCGCAAGTGCTTGCTTGCGTGACACAGGGTGAAGCAAGTCTATCCAGTGCCTGCCTGGCGATGCTATAAGCATTCCTGCTCCTCACGCTCCGCAATCGTCGGACTCGGTCGACGCGCCTATGGCGCTCCCAATCAAGCTCAGTGTCACAGCATCACAGGCCCCGCAGACCCCCAAGGCCTCGGCCCCGTGTTCTGATCCCCGTGTTCTCATCGAAACACACGCGACGCAAGGGATGGAACACTACTCGTCACTCTGCATCGCCTGACATGATATGTACAATGGAATGGGTTGCTTGCTGAATTTGTTTGGTGGTGTTTGTGTCGCGTTTGGTATCTTGCGTGTTGATTCCTCTCAGTCATGTGGCTCTTTGCCGGTTCGCGCCTCTCTTTCTGCCCTCAACTCTCCCCTCTTCGACATCATCCCGTTACATGCTCGCAAGCGCCTCGTCGAGCTTGTTCAGGTCGAACTCAAAGTCGCCGGCCGACATGTTCACGTCAAGGTGGGGAGGCTTGTCACCAAGTACAGTGGGGGCAGCCGACGTCGTGGCAGCTGCAGCAGGCGCAGTTGTCACCGTTGCTGTGGTAGCAGTGGCAGCGGCAGCCGGGGCAGCCACAGGTGGGGCGGCTGTGGCAGTGGGAGCAGCAGCGGGGGCGGCCGGGGCAGGAGCAGCGCGCGCCGTGGTCGTGGCCGGGAGGGCCGGGAGCGAGCGTGCAACCGGCGCGGCGGGAGCTGCAGTGGAGGTGGGGGCCGAAACTGCGGCAGTGGTCGGAGCTGCGGCAACGGGAGCGGCCGCAGGAGCGGGCGTGGGGGCGGAGTTGGTAGTAGAAGCCGTGGGTACCGCAGTCGACGCGGCCGATGCCGCAGTTGGAGCGGGAGTAGGCGCCGAAGGTCTGTTCGACCCCTCAGAAGTAAGGAGACCAACCTTCTCTGGCGCGACGCTCGCGTCCTCGTCCTCCTCAACATAAGGGGGCGGACCTTCACCCTGCGCCTCTGCCTGTGCCTGGTCGATGGCGGTGCCGAGGCTTACGGGCGGCGGGAGGGGGCGGCTTTCGGGCACGTGGCCGATTGGGCTAGGCAGAGGAGAGGGAGAGTTCGCCGCGCTGGCAGGCGACAGGAGAGGCGAGTCGGGCGCGCGGCCGAGGGGACGCGGCGTGCCAAACTCGGATGCGGACGCGGTCTGCGGCGAGGCATGCTGCGCGGCGGCGGTAGCAGGTACGCTCGCGGGCGCGGGTGCAGCCTGGACAGGCGGCGTGCTGGGCTCAGGCGGAGGCGGAGTTCCAGTGGGACGGGCGGTGGGGAAGGCCACCTGAGCATGAGACTGGATTGGCCCCGTCGCCACCATCGCAGAGGTGGCCGCGAGGATGCCAGTCGCAGTGTCGGTCGTGGCGGGTGGCGAGAGGGGTGTGTGCGGGGCGCTAGGCGAGAGGGGCGCGGCCTGCTTGCTCGGCGAGCTTGGGTGTGAGCCGAGCCCCGCCGATCCGGGGCGGGCTGGCACCGGAGGTGGACCGCCGCTGGGACGGGGCGAGCCGCCCTGCGAGCCTGGCGCGCCGGGCTTGACGTAACCGGCCTGTGGAACGCCCTGGGCCAGACGCTGCTGGCGCAGACGCTCGGCTTCGACCTCGAGATGGTGCTTGACGGTGTCGATGTCGCCCTGGCGGTTGCCGGGGTAGACGACTGGGAGTGAGCGCGGAGTGTCACACATGCAGGAAAACAAGGGGAGCTGCCAGCGCGACACTTACCGTCTGCAATGGAGGTGAAGAAGCGGGCGACCTGGTTTGCGCGCTCCTCGCTGCTGCTGCTGCCGCCGCTGCTGCCGTACATTGTGAGTGAGGGAGAGAGATGAGGAAGAGACGAGGGAGAGATGAGGAGGAGGAGAAGGATGACGAGGAGAGATGAGTCGTCGAGGTGGCGGTTGAGCTGTGCAGGGAGGGAGGGAAGGTGGCCAAGCGAGAAGCAACGGCGGTCCAGGGCAGTGATCGCTCGATCACCTGTGCACTGCGGATGCGGGGGCGGGGCTCCGGCCAATCACAATTCGCCACCCGCCTCCAAGGCATGCGCGACGGCGCATCTGCACATTATACTCCTCGACGCCGAGACGCCGAACAGCCTGACGAACGGATCGAGCGGATGCTGGAGGGACAGAGCAGAAACATATCTCCAGCGTCTCGCAATCAAAAGATTGTGTGTTGTGGACGAGTTAGGAATCGAACCAAAGACCTTGTCAAGAGTTTCTATTGGGCGAACGCCAAGGAATGCTAATGACACGCTCTACCAACTGAGCTACACGCCCGTGCCAACACGTGATGTCGGTCCTTGCGCCGCCCAGGTCATCGATCGTCGTGTCACATGCAAGCATTGACGGACATCTCGAGCTAGGTGGTCTGTGGATGCATTCATTGACGTATCGATGTTATAGTTTAGATAGCAAAGTGGTCGAGGGACAGGAGGGAGATTTCCATGGCCGGAGCGGCCATGATATATGGGCAAGTGGGCAACGCCGATGACCTTGGAATCAAAGTAACCGGTTTGCAGTGAATGCCTTGTGTCTCGTCTATCATCGATTAACCTCCCGAGCAGGGGAAAAGCAGGCGGAATGGCTGCTGTGATGTTACTGAGATGTGACAAGGAGGGGTGGAGTGCTAGACTGGATTCTTTGTGGTACCGACTCGGTCGCCCTGTCGCCAAGAACTCTTCGATATTTCGGTGCCACAATTACTCTTACTCTCACACCCTCATGTTGTATGACCTGCAAGGCGTACGACGCTCAGCACCTGTGCATATGAGTTCATGCCCTTTGAGAACATGCGTTGGGCGCTTCAGAGCTCCATGCAACGGCGTCACACCGCTGTGTGCAGCTCTTCGTGCTCGATTAGCCACCCGTCCGTCCGTAGAATCCGCCACATAGCCTACCTACACACAGAATGGCTCTCAGTACAACACGGAACTACCTCCTCTGCTCGCTGCCTCCTCTGTGTAAACATCAATCCGACTAGCCTATCTCCAATGCTGAATGCAATTCCATCCTCCGCGAGGTACACTGCCACATGTTGTGACACGATGCCGAGCATCTGCCGTTCCCACGCCCAGTTTGCGCCCAACATCTTTGTCCGCCACTCCGCGTTAGCCACAATGCCAGCCTAGGCGCACCTCGTTCCAAAAGAGAAGATAGATCCATCGACAACTCGAGGCGCCATTCCGCAGGCCCAAGCGCGTCGGTGCGTGGACACCCGCGCGTCGATCTTTTGTCTCTTCTCACCGCCACCAAGTCCAACTTACTCACTATCATGACGGTTTCGACGACCGTCGCAGAGTCGACGTCGACCGCCACGACCTCCCATAACCCCACCCCGCCCGGCCTCGCCTTCGTCAACTTCCCCTCGCCCTTCGCCCAAAGCCTTATAGAAGAAGCCCTCTCCTCCGTGCTCCCCGACATCCGCATCTCTTGCGAGCTAGGCCCGGTCACGCCCCGCCTCCAATGGGCCGACTACGACCTCATGTCGTTCGATGAGGCGCGGCACGACCCGCGCTACCTCATCTCCTCGTACATCTACCGCAAAGCGCTGATCCGGAAGCATCTGCTGCACAACACCGCGACGGAGTACCTCGCAAAATGCCGGCACCGGGGGGTGTCGAGCGCGCTGGCGCTGCCGCGCGGATGGGTGCTCGACATCCAGTTTGCGGACGAGCTCGACGAGGCGCTTATGGACGACCTGTACGACCTGGCGGCGGCGATGCGGGCGAACGAGACGCGCAAAGAGCGCGAGTGGTTCATCCTCAAGCCGGGGTTTGCGGATAAGGGGCAGGGGATACGGTTGTTCTCGACGGCGGACGAGCTGCGCGCGATCTTTGAGGAGTTTGAGCCGCCGTCGGACGACGAGGGCGAAGACGGTGAGGGCGGCGAGGACGGCGAGGAGGACGAGGTGCATCAAGACGCGGGCGCCACGGCCGTTCTCACCCAGCATCTCCGCCAGTTCGTCATCCAGGAATACATGCCGCGCCCGATGCTGTTTGACGTGACGCCCAGCGGGCTCGTAGGGCACAAAGTGAGATCCCCGCGGCCGCGCTGATGCCAGGTACACCTGCGCGCGCATGTCCTCGTTACGGGCGCATGGGAGGTATACCTTTCGCACGCGCTGTTCGTGCTCTTCGCGGGCGTGCGATACACGCCTCCGCGCAGCGACGACCTCGACCTCCGGCCGCACCTCACGAACGTGTGCATCCAAACCGGACAGGCGCCGGGCCAAGTCCTCCATTTCTGGGCGATGGGCGGAGCGACGGCCCTCGCGCACACGCCCACGGGCTACGTGGCGACAGGTACGATCGACGACGCGTGGCTCGAAGCGACGTTCGCGAAGACGGGCGCGGTCATTGCCGAGGCGGTGCGCGCCGCCGCCGAGTGCGGCAGCTTCAACCTCCAGCTGATGGAGAACGCGTTCGAGCTCTTCGGTGTCGACCTCCTCCTCTCACACCCGCACCCGCATCCGCACCCGGACCTGGCATGCGCGCGCGACGACGCCGCCCCGCCCGTCCCCGACGTCACGCTGCTCGAGTTCAACGCGAGCCCGGACGTCGTGAACAGCGGCGACGCGCTGCGGCCCAACCTCGTCGAGATGTTCGAGGGCATCGTGCGGATCGGCGTTGTGCCGTTCTTCGGGCGCGGCGAGAACGCCATGGCGCTGGGCGAAGACCGCTGGGGATGGCGCAAAGTCGGCAAGGGCGAGGTGCGTGGCTGGGCGTAGTGGCCCGGTAGCTATGCATATCTTATCGCCCGTAGTCGGGGCAGCGATGTGCGCCACGGCGCTCCGCCGTTATCACGCGGTGCATGCCGCATCCGTGTAGCGGGCCCACGCCCGCGGCCGAACAGGAAGGGGCTTCATCGGAGATGTGCGAAGTGAGTACCTTGCCATGCCGAATGCCGTAGGCAGCGGCGCAGGCCGCATTCCGCTGCGCCCGTCTCGGTGGGCACCATGTCATCCGCTGGCAACCGCTCGCCTGCTATATTAATCTCGCCTTTCTCCCTGACACGCCCACCACCATGTCGCACATCACGCCAGGATCCAGCACGACAGGCTTCTTCCAGACGCCGCCGAAGGTGGCGAACCAGTTCCGGGAGGACGTGGCGCTTGCGCGCTCGACAGCCATGTTCCTCTCTCCCGAGACGCAGTCTCGCGTCGCGCCCGACCTCGACGGGCTCGGCGCGCTCGTCCTCTCGCCCCGCATCCTCGACTACGTGAACGATGCGGAGACGAACACGCCGCGCCTCCGCGGAAACGGGTACACGATGTGGGGCGCGAGCCAGGACGCGAACACGCTCGTGACGGCGGCCGGGTGGAAGGCGCTGCTCGCCGTCGCGCGGGAGCAGGGCATCGTGACGACGGGGTACGATGCGGCGCTGGGCGCCGAGGCGCGCGTCGTGCAGGCCGCCAAGATATATCTGTGGTGCGCGTCGAGCGCGATGACGGCGTGTCCGAGCGGGATGCAGGATGGGGGCGCGAGCATTATTCTCAACGACCTCGCGCGCCCCCCGTCAGACAGGTATCCCGAGGACGTGAAGCCCGTGCGCAAGCTTGCGATGGAGCGCGCGCTCGCGCGCCTCATGTGCGCCGACCCCGAGTGGGGGTGGACGTCGGGGCAGTGGATGACGGAGCGGCGGGGCGGGAGCGACGTCAAGGGCACGGAGACGGTGGCGACGTGGGTCGGGCTTGGCGACGGGTCCGAGACGGACCTCAACGGCTGCCCGCTCGGCCCGTACAGCATCTCGGGGTTCAAGTGGTTTGCGAGCGCCACCGACTGCGGGTGCTCGATCTTGCTCGCGTACACGGACGCCGGGCTGAGCTGCTTCTACGCGCCGACGCGCCGCGTGCGCGACGGGCAAGAGGTCATGAACGGGCTGCGCATCATGCGCGTCAAGCAGAAGCTGGGGACGCACGCGCTGCCGTCGTCCGAGATCGAGCTGCGCGACATGCGCGGCTGGCTTATCGGCGACGAGGGCCGCGGCGTCGCCGTCATCGCCAAGCTCTTGAACATTACGCGCTTCCACAACGCCGCGCGCGCGAACGGATACCTCGGCCGCGGGCTCGGCGTCGCGCGCGCCTTCGCGCGCGTCCGCACCTTCCCCGGACGCCAGGCGCCGAATAACGGCCTCAAGCAGATCCCGCTGTACTGCCGCTCGCTGGCCAAGGTCACGCTGCGGCACCGCGCCGACACGTTTTTCACCATGTTCCTCGCGGCGCTCCTCGGCGCCGACGCGACGAAAGACTTTGCCGCGCCCGTCATCCCCAAGGGCGAGGACGCCGAGCTCCTCCTGCGCCTGCTCACGTCCGTCGCCAAAGCGTACAACACAAAACACTCGGTCCACGGCCTCCAAGAGTGCATGGAGGCACTCGGCGGCGTCGGATACCTCGAAAACAGCGAGACGCCCGAGCTCAACGTCGCGCGCATGTTCCGCGACGCCAACGTCTTCCCGATTTGGGAGGGCACGACCGACGTGCTCTCCACCGACACGGTCAAGGTCCTGCGCGGCAAGTCGGGGCCCGCGTGCACGGCGGCCATGGGCCGCTGGCTCGGCGTGCACCTCGCGGGCTCCGGATTTGGGGAGGAGCGCGCGGCAATCCGCGCCGCGTGGGACGAGGCGCTCGCATGGCCCGCGGACAAGGAGGAGCTGTTCCATGCTGCGCGCGAGGTCGTGGACACGATCGGCAATATCGTGTGCGCGACACTTCTTGTCGTCGACGCTGAGCGGGACGGGAATGAGGTGGCGGCCGAGTGTGCGCGCCGCTTCGCGCGCCAGGCATTTGGGATCAAGGCGCCACGCGCGAATTGGGAGGACACGTACCGCCTCGACCAGCGGATCGCTTTCGAGGCGGACCCCGATGCCGGGCGGCTGGAGCGTGCGCGTCTGTAGACGGCGTAAGATGTAAGCGTAAATTGTAAGCGTAAGATGTATAGATACAAAGTCAGCCGCTGGCTCGGTGAGACTCGAGAGGACACAACGCATGAGCACAGTCAGCTGGCACCGCTTCCCCCCGCAGAGCGCCCGATCGACAGGCATTGCTAAACCAGGACTTGCAATCTGTGTGGACCACGCGCAACTGTCTCTGGACTCGCCGGCCTTAAGCGCCCCGCAATCTTTAACCTCCCAGCGTCATGATTCTATAAGTATACACAAGAAAACTCCCAAAACCCAGTTCTTCTCTCTCACGCGGCCGTGGGCGCTGGCGCCGGCACCTCCGCCTTCTCCAACTGCGTCTTCTCTAGCTGCGCCGCGACAGTGTCTACCGACGCCGTCTCGCCCTCGCCCTCGCCCTCGCCCTCGCCCTCGCTAGCCGCCGCCTTGCGCGTCTCCTTGGCGTGCACGATGCCGCGCCCGCTAGGCGGGTACCAGGGCACGCCGTCGAAGTGGCGCGTGCCGTCTTCGCAGATGCAGCAGTGGTCCTTGAGGTGCTGGAGGTAGGTGTCGATGTCGAGCTCGAAGGCGTGTTCGCCGCCCTTGTAGTCTGCTTCGAGTTGGGCGGGGTCGACGAGGTCTGTGAGGATGGGGTTGAAGCGGGCCTGGTGTGAGCGGGGGAGACGGCTGAGAGGCGTACCTTGTCGCGCGTGACCGGGTCCATGAACGGCGAGATGGCCTTGAAGAAGCCGTTGACGAACCATGGCATGTTGAGGATGAGGCCGCGGCCGAGACGCTCAACGTAGTGGTTCTGCAGCACGTTCAAGACGTACAGCGACACATTCATCGGCTGGCGGGGCTGCTTGTTTGCGTCTTTGTACTGGGTGAGCTATGCCAGCGGGGGGGGGGGCTCACGTCGACGATGATGCACACGCGCTCCTGCCCGTCTGGCATGATGTCGATGGCGCGCTCGCTGGGATCAGTGTGTGCTGGGCTTTGTGAGGTGGTACTCCGCCCAGCCTGGCGACGCACAGCAAGAAGATGAGGTACCGGATCTGCTTGTCGTTGTCGGGCGGCCTGCCGCGCCCGGGACGCATGTAGATGATCGGGCGCGACTCCTTGTCGAAGCCGTTGAGGAGGAGCTTTCCGGTCGCCGCGGTCTCCGCGACCTCGTCGGGCTTGATGAGGTCGGGCTGGAACTCGCGGCGCCACTCCATCGTGGCTTTGATGCGCTTTTTGGCATCGTCGAGCTTCCACTTGGCGGCGCGCATGTAGCGGTGGTGCGTGCCGGTGTCGTCGAGGAAGCGTTTTTCCCAGGGGTGGTACGGGTCGTCGGGGGGCAGGAGGAGGGTGGTGGTGTACTGGGGTTAGCGCGGAGCGGCGTGGAGCGAGGCGACGCGGCTCGTGGCGCGTAGTGTGCGGCGAGTGCAGCGACGCGGCGGGCAATGGGCGTGGCAGGCATGGCGGCGAGCAGCTCGTCGTGCCAGGCCAAGGCGCCATTAGCAGCGCGGCAGCCGGGCGCGAGGCCGACGGCAAGCGAACAGCCCGCCCGGTGTCGTGCGCAGGCGACGGCAAGCGAGCGCACCCGCATGCAACGCACCTCACGCAGCTCTTCCACCTGGGGTCAGCGCGTCCCTCCAGCTCCTCCAGCTCGTACCATTGCAGCCTCTTCCTCCGACGTCGGCGGGGGCGGGGGCGGGGCGGCGGGGGGGATGAGGATTGCGGTGTTGGTTTTTTCGCGCACGGGTTCGGGGGCGTCCGTGGGCTCTGCGGAGCGGAAGTAGGAGAACATGGCGGCGGGAGAGAGAGAGCGATCGAGAGAGAGAGAGAGAGAGAGAGAGAGAGAGAGAGAGAGAAAGAATGAGAAAACGACACGACGAGAAAGTCACGGCGCACGGGTCGACGCGGCGAGGGCCGATCGCGTGGAATGCGAGCGAGGTCGATGCGCGACGCGAGGTGAGGATGCTACTCGAGATGCAAGATGGAGAACGGCAAAAGTCTATCGTGCCATCTCGACTCTGGTACTCTGGTTAGTACGACGCTCGCTCTCGCAAACCTTGTCTCCGACACCGACACTACATGTCGCGTCCAGCGCGTCCACGTCTTCCATTCCCAAAGCTAATTCTAATCGTTCCACATCGTACTGTATGCATCTGCTGTCCCGGACAGGCGGCACCAGGCCGCTCGATCTACGATGTGGCCAGCCAGCCGTCACCAGGACGGGCCGTCGCGGACGGACACGGGCTGGGGTACGCGCCGCACAGCGGCATGTGGATGTATATAAAGTTTAAAAGGTGCCCTGGCCGTGGTTGAGGCGCTTCTTGTGGCGGCGCACACGGCGCTTGCGGTTGCACTTGCTCTTCGAGGGGGTGGCCTCGGGCGCGGCGGACGAGGACGAAGCCGAAGCCGAAGCCGAGCCGTCGTTGTGCCAGTTGCCGAGGTCGGGCGTCGAGATGGTCGGCGCGGGCGCGGCGGTCGAGTCTGGGCGCCACTGGCCGTCGTCAAAGGTCGCGGAGGAGGCAGTAGACGAGGGCGAAGGGACGGGCGAAGCGGGGGCAGAGGGGGCAGAGGACTCGGAAGAGGCAGACGCGCTCGACTCGGCGGGGGCAGGGTTGCTGCCGCTGCCGCTGCCGCTGCCGCTGCCGCCGCCACCGGCGCAGTTGCCGGTCGGGGCGTGAGGGCGGAAGCTGCTGCGGCGGATCACGTTCGAGCCAGGGTTGGGGAAGTCGACGTCGTAAGTCTCGGCGGTGCCGCAACCGTTGCCAATGTTGGCCTGGAAGATCTCGGGGGCCGAGTTGTACGAGGCAGCACGGCTGACAAGAGTCGCGTTCGAGTACGACTCGTCGTCACGGCGACGCTGGCCGCCACCACCGATGGTGACGGAAGCACAGTTCATGTACATTTCACGGTTGCCGAGGTTGTTGAACCAGGTCCAGGCAAAGACGGCGTCGCCCGCGGGGGCGTCGTTGGGGACGTCAAAGTTCCAGCTGCCGATAGAGGGGCACTCGCCGAGTATCGACTGGATGACCTTGAAAGTACGGCCGCCGTCGTAGGAGAGCGAGAGCTGGCACGAGCCACCGCCGTGGATGGCGGTACCGGCGAGCTGGATGCTCTGCGAGCTGCCGGGAGCCCAAGAGGCGACAGAGTTGCCTGCAGCGGTGCCGAGGACCGAGTTGTAGCCCTTGCAGGGGTAGTTGGAGCCGGAGGCGTCGAGGGGGGAGGTCATCGAGTAGTCGATGTTGGCCGAAGGGGTGTTGGGGTTGTGCTTCGAGTTCCAAGGAGGGGGGTTTGTCATCTCGATGTGGCCGAGGACGGGGATGGCGGCGGCGAGGGCCGCGATGGTGGCGAGAGTTGTCGAGGAGAACATTGTCTGGGGTTAGGGGATGTTTGTCGTGGCATTGCGTGGCGACAACAAGCGACAACAATGAACAAGTGGGCAGTCATGATGATGATGATGAACAAGACAAGAGAGATGACAACGCGCGCCAACTCGAGATAGTAATGTCCAGGGAGGGGGGGTTGTCATTGTCCCATCATCACCATCCGCCATCCGCTGCCACCTGCCACCTGTCATGCGCTGTCCGCCATCCATCGGCGTGACCATGAGTCCAGTCGCACTCGGCGCTGCGAGGCTCTGGCTCTCTGCTCCGCCTCTCCCCGCCCCTCACACACACACCGATACTCACGTCTTGAGTCAGCGCGTTCTTGAGTTTGTAGTTGTGTTACGGGCCAGCCGAGTGGGGCAAAGACGGTGTGTAGAGACTGAGGGAGAGGGCGCCGCGCAGCAGCGAGTCCGAGTCGGAGGAGAGAGTCGAGGAGAGTGGGGATGTGGAAGAGAAAGATGAAAGATGAAAGACGATGGCGAGCAGCTCTCTCGTCGCCGTCCGTTCTTATACCCTGCCCCATTCGCTCCCTGCATCCTCAGGGTGAGGGCGATTCTAAGGACCACATCCAGGGCCGGGGAACAATAGGCACACGGGCTGCCCAGTGTATTCCAGGGTTGTCCCTGTGTGCTGAGCGTGTCAGGCTGAGAGCCCGGCAGGAGACCCAAGGGAGGGCAGGAGGGGTGTTGTGCGGGCCCTGAGAATGTCAGGCTGACAACCGGGGGAAATGTGCCGCACGCGTCCAAATGAATAAATTTGGCCCGAGAGGGTCGAGTGTGCCTGGCCCTGAAGGGCATGAGCGCTTGTCCTGACGCGTACTACGAAAAGAGATGCATGAGGCGGCGTTTCTCGAACGCAGCGCCCGTCGTCGAGAGGCATTTGGGGTGCGGGCGAGGTGTGTCGGGGGTGGAGAGGTGGAATGAGGAGGAGGGGGGGGGGCGGGCGTGGGCTGTGTGCGGCGTCGGCTCGGAGTTTGGATGGGGACGCCCGAGAGCCCCGGCTTGATGATGACGAGGAGGCTGGCTCGATCCAGCAGCAGCAGCAGCAAAAGCAAAAGCAAGTGGCAGGATTTGCATCGACTAGAGTAGATGTCTTCAAGACGCAGTGACGAGTGACGCGCGACGACGTGACTCGCGCTCCCGCAGAGTGACGGATGGCGGGAGGGCTGGCGACGCGACTTGTCCCTCTCTGTCTCTGTCGTTCCATGGATCTAGATCTGGCTCTGGCTGATTGATTGCTCATGCTCATGTTCATGCTCATGCTCATGCTCATGCTCCACGCCCCACGCCCCACGCCCCGCGCATCACGGAGTCTTGTTCGCAGCGAACAATGCCCCCTGCCACACACCGCATTGACCTCTGCATACTTTGTCGAGTTTGTCGAGTTTATTTTCTCGAGTTTGTCATCGGGGGTACTCACCACTCGGCGCGCACCCGCGTGGCATGCTCGACCAAAGCACACTGCCCGCGCTATAATCAGCCCACAATCTACGCCCGCATACCCACCCGACAAGCAAGGGCTCGATTTGGCTTAGTGGCGTCGAGGCTGGCGAGGCGTTGGCTGCGTTGGCGGCGTGGGCGGCGTGGGCTGGCGCTGGCTGGAATGGGCTGGGCGGAGAGACAGACGGAGATTTGTGGCGGGTTCTGCCTGAGCATGAATGGCAGCCGAACAGCGGCCATCTGGCGATGGTGTGGGTCGTGGGGGCATCACGTGTAGCTCTGCTCTGCGCTGCTCTGCTCTGCTCTGCTCTGGCTGCTCTGGCTTCGTACTGCGACGCGGCCTAGACGCGGCCTTGCAGCTGTGGGCGTGGCCTCGGGCGTATGCCTCGGGCGTAGCGCAGCCTCCGCGCCTGCACCCACCCCAAATACCGTTGATTAGCCCAAGCTCGTCATCCACAGCTCCGCCCATCGCCTGAAAACCTCATATGCATGAGCATGACACGGCGGCAGCGAGTCTCGTCACTGCTGAGCGGAAGGAGCGGAAGCGTCCCGGCGCGGAAGGCACTCTTCTGTGCCTCCTCTGTGCCCTCGGGCGTGCCTTGCAAATTCTCCAAGGCCTTCGGGGCTGCGTCGGCGCGTGCCAAGATCGGGCGGCTTGGACGGTCCAGAGCCCAGAACCCTGCAGAAGCTCTGGAAGCCTCGGCGTCCGGTCGGGCGTCGGGAGATTTGAGGCCCGCTTGGCGGGGCGTATCTTATCGCGACCTACCCCAAATCCAGACACCGGGGGGGGGGGGGGGCGCATCAGAGGCATCAGAGGGAGGTGGGGGAGAGGGGGAGAGAAGGAGAGGCTCGAGGGCGAGGACGAGGGCGAGGGCGAGGACGAGGACGAGGACGAGGAGGACGAGGGGAACAACAGAGGACACGCGCACGACGCGCGCGGCGATATGACATCTCCAGGATCAGATCAAGAGACGATGGCATCATCCTAAAATCTGGGAGCTGGGAGCAAACTTTGAAGCCTTCTGTCGTTCTCTCGGCTCCACTCGTGTCGGGTGCTTGCCCCGCTGATGCAACTCTGTCTGCCCAGTTGCCCAGGTGCCCAGTTGCCCAGGTGCCCAGTTGCCCATTTGCCCTCTGCGCAACCGCCCCCGCCCCCGCCTCCGCCACCCACCCCGCTCCACAAATATGCTCACAGCTACTCAATACAGATACCAAGCTTACTTCAAAGTGCTCCACCCTCGGCTTACAGGGAGAAACTCTGTATACACACCACACACCCACACTCTGTCTCACCGCCCCTTCGTACTGACCCACTCCACACACCCCCACCCAAGCTCCATCTACACTGAATGTAATTTCCCCCCCACACACACGCACCACCGTCCATAGCATACGTACAGAGTCCAGCTCTACCTCCCCTCCCGCTGCTCCCTCTCCAGCTCCCGCTCCAACATGCCCGCGACGTTGCCCAGGCTCGCGATGCGCGCGAGGTCCTGGCTGCCCATGCTGCCGCGGCTCACGCGCCGCGTCTCGTGCGCCGTGTCGCTAAAGCTGTTCGCGCGGCTGCGGCTCGCGAGCGACGACGCATAGTCGCCCGCCCAGCTGGGGTCGTACGACGGCGGCACCGTGTCCGGCAGCCGGCCGGCGTCGACCTCCTGCTCGCCGGGGCGCGAGATGGTGCGGGCGCGCGGCCGGCGCGAGGCCGCTTGCAGCGCCCGTTTTTCGGCTACTGTCGATGGGCCGGGGGTGGGGCGCGGGCGCGGGTCCGCGAGGATTTCCTCGTCTTCGGCTGATAGGCCGACGAGCGAGAGGCGGTTCGAGGCGCCGTGGCGGCTGTGGGGCACGCGGTCGGTCTGGCCTGCTACAGACAAGGCTGCTGTCGTCGGGCCCGAGCGGAGATCTCCTACTGTGGTTGAGATGGGGGAGAGGGGCACCGCTTCTGGCGATGGCGATAGTGGTACGGTCGATACTGCTAGAGGATGCGTCTGGCTCGAAGACTCGCGGGCTGAACCGGAAGGTGAGCCATTCGCCGGGTCGTATGGATACGGGTCCACGATGAGCGACGGGCGCGAGGATGACACTGAGCCCATTCCTTCTAGGGTCAGAAGCCTCACTCACACTACACTCACGATAGTACGGAGGCCCTTCCGAGTCTGGGAGTTCCTCGATCACAAACCGGTTATCCTCTGGCTTGTGGTGGATTCTGCAGTCAGTGACGCGCCACACAAAAGCCCCGAGTCACATCCAAGTTGCTCACTTCTTCTGCCTGCGGCGATACAGGAACCATCCCGCGACGAGCGCCGCAAAGACTGCAACACCAGCTATGACGCCGCCCGCGATCGCGCCGGCCAAAGACACGCCACCGCTCTTCGGAGGGTCTGACTGCGCTGGATCACTCCCGGATGGGCCGGGGACAGATGAGGACGTGTTCGGCGAAGGATCCGTCCCGTTAGTCCTGGAGTCAGCCGACACAGTATTTTCCCTTTTGACTCACCAAAGCCCACTCCAAAACTTCATCGAGTGCACACCCACCGGGCCCGTCAAGACGTTCCCGCTCACGCTAAAGGTCAGCGTGTACTGAACTTCGGGGTCGAGCGGGGCCATGAAAAAGGTGACGCCGTTGCAGTAGCCCTGCAGCGCGTTGAACGTGGCTTCGGGTAAGGAACCCGGAAGCGGCGGCGACAGTGCGACGGTGTAGTACGACAGCAGCGGCTGCGATGTGCCGTTCAGCAGGAGATAGGATGTGTTGTCCGGGACGCGGGCGGAGAATGTCGCACCAGGCTGGCCGTTGAGCACGGAGAGCGGCTGCGGCGGGGTATTGTCTACGCGTCAGCACCGCCAGCGCCGGACTCACCGTCGCCGCCGACTTGGAGCGACGCGTCCCATTTCCCGCTCGTGCTGAAGAACGGGTTGCGCTCCCCGCTCGTGAGAAAGAGCTCTTCCCTCGTACGCGCCGCGTCAAAGCTCGGCCTGGCGTTAGACTCGGAGGAATGGCCCCTACTCACGCCTGCGTGCGCATCCCCGTGCTCACGACCACGCGGGCGAGCGACACCTCCCCGTCAAGCACGCTGAGCATGACGTCGTGCCAGCCCTCAGCGACTTCCGCCCACGCGATGCTGTCCGTCTCGTTCAGCGTCGCGGGGACAAAGTCGGCGTTCGCCCCGTCCGTCGTCAAGCGGATGCGGGCGTCCGCGCTCGCATTGCCCTGCACGTATACGGCGTCGCCGTAGAAGCTCCACCCGACGGTGGAGCCGGCCATGGAGGTGGTGTGGAGGGAGGAGCCGCGGCCGAAGATGCTCCGGCCGGGGACGGAGGGCGCGGGTGAGTCAGAGAACGTGTTCGCCCATGTCAAGGCGGAGGCGCCGGACGACGACGGCGTGTACGACAGGATCGTGTCCATGTCCGTGAGGGTGTAGTTGAAGGTGATGTTTGGGAGGGCGCGGGTGGAGAGGATGGGGAAGGTGGGGGCGAGGGCGAGGGAGCGGCGTGCGGGTGCGGAATGGTGGTTGTGCTCGCCTGAATGAGGGCACGGGGGGTGGGGTGATGCTGACGCCGAGGCCATGGTGGCTAGTCCGAGGAGTGTCGCGCGCGCCACGTGCATGGTTGGCGGCGGGGGGTTGGGGGGGAGAGGGGCGGATGGGGGCGGAGGGGGATGGGAGGCTTTGGTGAGACAGGGGTGGTAAGAGGAGAGAAGAAAGAGGAAGGGAGGAGAGGACAAGTCGTGTCCGAGGTCACTGCGGCGGAGGCGGTGGCGACGAGGCCGGAAGAAGTCGTGAGAGGGTCTGAGCGACTAGAAGAAGACTTGACAAACGAATGTGAGTGTGAATGTGAGAGGGGGAGACGAGGATGAGGATGAGGCGGTGTGTTGATGGCGGAAGGAGATGAGATAATGAGAGTGAGCAGATGGAATGTGCGATGCGGAGAGGCAGCAGGCAGCCACAGGCAGAGTGGGCGAGAGAATGGAGCGCGAGAAACTGCTCTGTCAGCGAGATCGCGATTGAGGGATGGCGCGCACAGACATCGGGGCGGTGAGGGCGAGGGTGGGCTTGGGCGGAGCGTGGGCGGCGGTCGGTGCTGATGTGAGGGATGAGTATGCATTCTTCCATTGCTCTTTGTTGATAACGCGGGGTGAGATGAAGTGTGAGCTGGCGAGGTGAGTATCGTGAGTACAGCGGTTGCGGCAAGAGACATGGTGATGATATACAGGCTATCGAGAACATCTATTCTTCCGCCGTCGTGCGTCCCCTCGCTAGTCGTAGAACACGAGCGCGCGCACCTCGATGCTCTGGCGCGGCTTGGCGTCTTCCGGCGTGTTGGGATCCTCGAACGCCGTGTGCGGCGTGAACCCCGCCACGCCCTTGTTGCCCGCGACGCCCTCGCTCGCGCTGTCAAAGCACTTGATAAACATGACCTCGTCCGGCCGCATGTCTTTGACATAGTAGAAGCGGTGCCTGTCATTTGGCTGCACATTGTACGTCTCGCCGCGGACCTCGTACCCGTCCGTGCTGGCCAGGTCGGCGCGGGGCGCGACCTCGCGCCCGCGGTCGTCGCCGTCATACCCCTCATACACGGGATAGAGGAGGTCCGTGGCGACGAGGTCTGACTCTTCTGTTGTGCGCCAGTCGACGACGGCGAGGGGGTGGTCTGACGCCGCGTGCCCGAGCGGCCGCCAGACGTTGATCAGCTGGAACCGGCCTTTGAGGAGGCGCTCGGCGTCCGCACCCGTGTGCCGGCGCACGCGAGCCGCCGCCGCCGCGGGCGTTTGGTCCACGTGCACACTTTGTACGGGCTGCCGCGCCGCAGTCGGGTCGCGTACCCGGATGGTGTGGTCGAAAATCACGACGCGCGACACTTTGTCCCCTGTAGCGAGCTTGGCGCGCAGCGCCGCCTCGACTTCCGCGTAGTAGGCGGTGCGGACTTCGGGGCCGTCCGCGAGCACGGCGGACGCGGGGACGGATGATGGAGAGGTGTGGAATGCGAAACCGGTGCGGTCGACGTCGCGGAAGTCGTCTGCGTCGTCGCGCGCGTTGTATACGGGCTTGGAGACGGCAATGTCTTTGAAGGAGGACGCGCGGACGTCGACCTTGTTCCACGCCTTCTGGCCGGCGGGGACGGAGGAGGGGTCGAAGTACTTGAAGGTTGCGTGGGTTGAAGCGACCATGGTGCGGGGTTGTGAAGGGACGATGGGACGTACGGAGGGGTGGGTGGGTGCGGTGAGTGGGCGTGCGGGGTGCAGTGCTCGGAGTGGGCGGGCGAGGGAGAGACGGGGCATGGATGATGGCGAGGAGAGGTCTCGCCGGGTTAAGTATATGACGGGGTGGGAGGGGGAGCAACGACGTCGGCTGAGTAAGAAATGACAAACACTTTGCGTGATCACAATTCATCGCCCTCGTCTGCGGATCTCTCCCCTCCTCTTGCTCATCAGCTGATACGGCTGACAAGCGCGCTGGTGTATCAGTCAGCAACGGCTCTTACGGCGTCCGTCTACGCTGCATGCAATCTTCTGCAACAACGGAGCACGGAGGAGATGGACGTTGAGAACGAGCGCTTCAGTCACCATTATCGTCATGACGTCATGCGTCAACGAGGCGCGCTAGCCTGGTTTATGGCTCTGCTCCTCTCCAGACAATCCCAGTACATGCAATGATACAACTACTATCCACGCACACGCTCCCTACAACCGCGCCTCTGCCTTCGGCGCCTCGGCCTCAGCCAGCAACCTGAGCTCCTTGCGGAGAATCTTGCCGGCCGCGCTCTTAGGAATGGCGTCGACGACACGCACGCCGCCGCGCAGCTTCTTGTGGTTTGCGACCTTGGCCGCGACCCACTCGGCGACATGCTTGCCGAGCGCGGCCTGGCGGCGCGCGTCCAGCTTCTCGCTCGCGACGACATATGCGCGCGGCAGCTCGGTGGCCTGCGCGCTATCGTAGATCCCTATAACCCCCGCATCCACGACCTGGGGGTGCTGCAAGAGCAGCGCTTCGAGCTCGGCCGGCGGCACCTGGAAGCCCTTGTACTTGATGAGCTCTTTGACGCGGTCCACGACCGCGTACCATCCGTCGGCGTTGACAACGACGACGTCGCCGGTGCGGTACCACCCGCCGGGGAGGACGGCGGCGGCCGTCGCCCCCGGGTTGTTCAGGTATCCCTTCATGATGGTGGGGCCGCGGACCCAGAGCTCGCCGCGCTCGCCGACGCCGACGTCGCGCCCCTCCGCAACGATGCGCGCCTGGTACGTCGGCAGCAGCTTGCCACACGTCGCGACGGAGCCGGGCGTCGACGCGAACTCGTCCGCGTGCGCCGTCATCACCACGGGCGACGTCTCGGTGTTTCCGTACGCCTGCAGCATCACCACGCCGGGGATGAGCTTGGCGAACGCCGCGGCGATTTCGCCGCCGAGCGGCGCCGCGCCGCTTACCACCGTCTTGAGCGACGAAAGGTCGTAGTTCGGCACATGCTTCGAGTTGAGGAACGTGACGACGATGGGGGGCACAATGAGCGCGTGCGTGATCTTGTATTTCTGGATGGCTTCGAGCGCCGGGATCTCGTTGAAGCGCGGCAGCACGACGACGGGACACCCCTTCGCGGCAGGCTGGAGAAAGTTCATGCCCAGGCCGTAGATGTGCGAGAAGGGGAGCACGCCGAGGATGACGTCGACGCCGGAAACAAGCTGCCGCGAGCCTGCGTTGAGAGCTTGCAGCTCGGACGTGAGGTTGTGGTGCGTCGTCTCGACGCCCTTGGCCAGGCCAGTCGTGCCCGAGCTGTAGCACATGATGGCGGTGGAGTGGGCGTCGACGCCGTCGAACCGCTCGGCATGTCCGGGCTCCGAGGTGAGCAGGTCGCCGACGGTGAGGTGGGCGCGGGCGGCGGGGACGGTCTCGCGCGCGAGCAGGACGACGCGCTCGGCGGGGAACGCGCGCTTGAGCAGCGGCCGCGCCTCCTCGAGCACGGGAAGGAGGGTGGGGCAAATGAAGAGGATGGAGGCGCCCGAATCGTTGATCTGGTGGGCGATCTCGCGGGCGGAGCTGGGGTTAACGATGTCCAGAGGAGAAAGGCAGCTCAAGCGGAAAGACGGCCTGCTTCTGAGCAGAGGGGACCAAAATGGGAGAGTGAAGTAGGGCAAGAGTTCCCTCTTGATCCGCGCGCAACGCGCAATTCCAAGAAAGAAGAACAACTCACTATCCGCCGTTGGCCGGAGACACCGTCAAACCAGCAGCGAAACACCCGTAGATCGCACGCGCCCACTCGAGCGAGTTGAGGCCCCAAAGAAGCGCGACGTCTCCGCGCTTCGCACCCAGGCCACGAACGCCCGTCGCGAGGCGGAGGGCGCCGTCGACGACATCGGCGCGGGAGAGGACGCGGCCGTCCAGCCCGTCGATGTAGGCTGGGAGGGCGGGGTCGAGGGGTGGGAGGGGGGAGGCGCCGACAATGTCCGGGAAAAGGTAGTGGAAGACGCTCGAGTTCGGGAGGAAGGGCTGGGGGTAGGGGGACTCGAAGATGATTGCTTGAGGGGAGGGGGAGGAGGGTGAGGGCGAGGACATGGTGGGTGAGTGTGGGGTGAGGAGGGGGCAAGGACAGAAGAGAGAGCGAGCGAGAGAGAGCGAGCGAGAGAGAGCGAGAGAGAGAGAGAGAGAGGTCAGTGATGGAGACGCCGACGAGTAGTTATAACGAGCCAGACCCCGATGCATGCAAGTTGAGCGCGTTGTGCTCTTGGCGAGAGAATACCCGACTTGTTCGCGATCCAACGAGAGTCGATGAAAGCGACGACGAGGATGCTGATGTGAGACGGCGAGCAGCCAAGATGTATGGCGTCAGACAAAGTCGAGCGATAACGCCATCGAAACTTGGGCCCCGGATATCCACAGGGGTATAGCCGCACTCTACGCGGGCTCACTCGGCTGGGTTTCCCCGGCACCGGCACAGCCGCCATGCATGGCTCCAGCATGGCCAGCACAGCGGTTGCAGCAGCCGTGATAAGATGGGGCGGAGATGGCGGAAATTGGCGGCAGATTGTACGCGCGCCTGGTGGAGTTGAGCGCCTTGGAGATGGTAGGCTGTGCTCCAGCATTCTCCACTCGGCGCACCAGCGTACCAGCATCCACGATTGGGTGAGATTTCGGCCGCGCGAATGTCAGAAATAGCCAGCTAGTTAGCATCCAAGGTTGTTGCTCGGTGGAGTCAGTTGCCCGTGGCCAAGTGGGAGTGGAGTGGGAATGAGCTTGAGCATGGCGCAGTAGTCAGGCTCAGCGATGACGGATGCCGAGCGAGTGAGAGATCAGATGACCGGGCGCGATGCTGTGGTGGCGCAGAGCTGTGGAGTGAGTTCGTGAGTCCAGTGGAGTGAGTAGTCTAATGGAGATGGAGCTGGAGAACGCAGTGCGGCGGTCGCTTACAACGCGTCTCGCTCCAGAAGGACAAGCATACCACTTTCAACTCGAACCCGATCTGCCCATCACAGCTGCGCGTGCTCGGCACCGACCTGTGTCCGTCCCGCTCACGCGCTCAGGACGCGTATGCTTTTGCTTTTACTCTTACCTCTGCCTCGGCTGCTGCAGCTGCTGCATGCTGCATGCATGCCCACAGGCGACAGGACAGTCGCGTTAACGCGTTCCAGGCCCGGCAGGGATGTGAAGGGGGGAGGAGAGGAGAGAGTGGGGTGGGTGACGCACCAGGGGCCTTGGCGCGCGCTCGCAATAGACTATGTATAACGGCACACAGGCGCAGGTGCAGGTACGCCGTGTCCACAAAAGTAAGTAATATGCCGCAACGGCCGAAACGTGAGTGAGCCACTGCAGAGCAGCAGCAGCAGAGCAGAGCAGAGCAGAGCAGAAAAGAAGAGGAGCAGCTGGCCAAGACAAGAGAAGAATGACCGTGCGGCGTTCAACCGATTTGAGTGAATTGATGGCTCGGCAATCGGCACCAAGGGATTATTGTTTGGCTCATCGCGGCATGTCTCTCTTCTCCTCGCTTCAGTCTCTGTCTCTGCTGCTGCACCGCTCTCCTCGATCTCTTCTGCCTCTTCGACGCCGCATGCGCACTGCTCCTGCTCCAATGATGGGGCGACGACGACAAGGGCACAAGGCACAGCATGCTCGAGTGATTACCTTGTCCATTGATCCAGCGTGTCCATCGGCCGCATCTTGTCTCCAAGGCACAGACGCGTAGAGTTGCTTTATATACTAGCCTGCGCCATTTTTCTTTCTTTCACTCGTTCTCTCTCTCTCTCTTTCTATACTCTCGACACGCCATGCTCGCCCCCCTCCTCGCCCTCCTCGCTCTTCCCGCCACCCTCGCGGGCTACGCCTGCTACGACACCACCAAGGTTTGTCTTCGCCACGCTCACGCTCGATGCTCCACATACACTGACACCAGGCTATGGTCCGCCTTGCTGGCCCGGGCACTGCGAACGGCACCGTCTACTTTACTCAGCAGGGCGGTAGCGACGAGGTCAAGATCACGGGGCAGGTGGGTGTTGTCTCGAACGGCGCGACGGACAGAACGATGAGCGAGGGCGGTGCGGCAGCTCGACGATCCGAGGCAGTGAGGCGGATGGATCCCCTCCTGCTTCTATTATCGCAACGCCTCGCTCCATCACATCGACGCGTCGCATTGTCCTCAGCTACCTCCGCCATCGATCGTTCGCCCCCTCCTCGCCCCACCTTCCGCATCTCACTGCTAACCCCCAGATCTCTGGCCTCTCGCCAGGCAAGCACGGCTTCCACGTCCACGCCTACGGCGACATCTTCACGCAGGGCTGCACCAGCACCGGCGGGCACTACAACCCATTCAACCGGACGCACGGCGCACCCTCTGACCGTGTCCGGCACGTCGGCGACCTCGGCAACATCGAAGCCGGGGCGGACGGCGTCTCCCACCTCGACTTCTCCGACTCCACCATCACGCTGTGCGGGCGCCGCACGATCCTCGGACGCGGCGTCGTCGTCCACGACGGCGAGGACGACCTCGGCCTCGGCGGCTTCCCGGACTCGAAGACGACGGGGCACGCCGGCAACCGCACCGCTTGTGGCATTATGTGAGTGGCGTACATCGAAGCGACCAAGGCTGATGGCAGCGCCGCGGTCGACCCCACCAAGTAGGCGCGGACAGTAGATATCTCAGTGTAGCATACGTAATGGACAGGTGCATGGGTATGGCGACGTACGACGTGCGGTGGGCTTGCGGCGAGGTGGGCCAGCGGAGGGGCTGCGTGCAAGGACGGGCGGAGGGTCGCGCGTCGCGCGTCTCTTGCGACGGGCCGTCACCACGCCTCGACCACCTCGATCTGCGATGTTGCGGTGCTACCAGGACATTCAAGCAGAGGGCACGAGTGGCTGGGTGTCGGGCGCACTCTCTGATCCTCTCGGCTCGCTCGGTGCTCGGTTCAGCCCAAGCTGTGCAGAAGAGACGTGCCAAAGCAAGGCGTGGTGGACGTGTTGACCATCGCCCGCCATCGATTCACTATCCAAAACATGATGTTCACAGAGCCGCAGATGTATTGCGATAGGAAGCGACACAGCACTTGTTCGTTCATGGTCGGGTTGTTGCCGAAGCGGCTCGTCAGTATACCGTGGTTTATCCGGAACCATGCATCCGTGGCCATCACCTTCGTTGTCTCTCATCCTCCATCTCTTCATCTCTTCGTCTCTTCATCTCTCCATCTCTTCATTTGCCATCCTGCCGTCTTGATCTCATCGCGCGATGACAACCAACCCCTCACCCCTCGCCACCATCCCCTTCGACGTCTTCGAAGCCCTCTCCCTCGTCACTCCCGACGACGACCTCCTCGCCCTCTCCCTCACATGTCGCGCGCTGTGGGCCCAAGCTGTGCGTTGTCGTACACCCTCTCTGACAGCAGGAAGATGTCTGGCGTCGTCGACTTGCAAAGAACCCACACTGCCCACCACATCTCCTGGCGTCCTCGCCGCCCTTGTCATCTGCGCCCTCCCCCACCCGTTCTCCAGTTGCTCACTCTTCCTTATCCACCACCTTGCCCCACGGACTAACGCCCTCACGCCTCTACTTCGGCCTCAAGCATCCGCGCGTGTTTAGCTGGGGCACGCACGCGAAACACCTCCTGGAGCAGGACCACGCGGCCGAGTCGCTCTTCAGCCAGAGCGTGGACGTCGTCTGCCCCGTCGATGTGACGACGAGGTGCGCCTTCCTTTGACATGGCTGACTCAGATTCGTGAGCCACCCCCCGCTGATCGCGCTCGCGGATGTGGATACCCGTCTTGTAGCGACGGACGCGGCGGGCGGCCTGTGGGAGTGGGATCGGGCGCGCGGCATGCCCGGGCGCCCGACGAGGGTTTGGCTGACGACGCCCGTGGCGGAAGTCGCGAGCGGCAAGGGCGCGTATCTCGTGCGCGATGTAGACGGTGGCGTGTGGGCCTTTGAAAGGGTGCGTTATGTTCGGGGCATCTAACAGTAGCAAAATGTGGGGCGACGTCGCATCGCCGTCCCGCCAGCGACGCAGATCGCATTCGGCGACGGCGTGTATGCCGCAATGGCCGCGCTTTGCGGCAGCGATATCTGGGTGTGGCACGAGAACCGCGTGCCCATTGGTGTGTTGGACCAGGAGCGCGACGACCGGATCCCGTCGCGTATGCGGCGGCCTCCGCCGCGCTCAGCGTGGCTCGGCTGGTCGCGGGACGGAACGGTCCCGCGCACGAACCGCGCCCTGTTCGAAGAGCAGTGGGCGGAGCGCGGGGGCGAGCCGTCCACGTCTCCGGCGTCCAAGCGTCTCGCCAGCGCCTCCAGCTCTACCTCGGAAGACTCTAACTCCAACTGCTCAGAGCAGGGCGAGCGCGTAGTCCGCATCGCGTGCGGCTGGTCCGACGTGCTAGCTCTCAAAGCGAACGGCGAAGTGTGGCTCTGCGACTCGCTGAGCACCTCGTGGGTCTTTGTAAGTTACGCCTCTCCCGCACTAATTCAGCTACCCCATTTCTCGCGTCCCGACAACTACGACATCGCCATGAGCTTTTCGAGGCTCGCCGTCTTTGCTGCGTCAGACCCCTGGCCGCTCTTCGGCACAGACTTCGGGGGTCGAGGCACCAATCCGCACCCGCCGCTCGCGTTGTGGCAAGGCGCGCCGCCCCCTGCGCGTGTCGTGCGTATCCACGTGGCCGGCGACCACTGCGTCGCGCTTGGCAAGGACGGGAAAGTGTACTCGTGGGGCGAACACCTCCTCGCCCGCCCGATGGGGTTCTCGGAAGGATGTGCAGAGCGCGTGTGGTTCAGTGAGCCAGAGAAGGAAGAGCCGTTCGTCATCGATGTTTGTGGGAGCGCGGCGCTCGCACTCGGCGACGGGTGTCCCCGACGCCGGAGGCGGAAGGGGAGGGAGACGCAGGCGAAAGAGGCGGTTTCGGCGCCGCCGCGGCGCGGGCTGCGAGCGCGGCTCCTGCAGATGCTGTGGTAGCAAGAGATTGTGGTTGACTTGACGGGCACGTGTGCCACTATTAGCGCGGTGCTGCCTGCAGCGCAGGAAACCCCGGTGTCGCGGCCATCAGAGTCTGACCATTGACAGTTGGACGCCCATTGGCGATGCCAAAGCCGTGTTGCGACGCTCTGAGAGGCGACGATACTTCGATGCAAGAGGTCTGGTTCAGCCTGGGCCGCGTTGACCCCCGTTGGCCCCCGTAGCCCGTGCCTAAGTCGAAGCAATTGCAAGTCCACCTGAGTCGCGAGAGCGTTAGACATACGCAGATGTTGTTGCGCAAGCTAAGTCCTTCTGGGGGACCGCTTCACTGCCCACAATGTTCGCTTCCCGCAAACACGGCCGGCATTCACCGGTATGCCGCTCAAATCGTATTTTCAACCCGAGTCGAGCGCCACTCCGTCAGCGCTCTCCGAGGCCCCGCCACCTACGCCGGAGCTTGGTGTTCCTGACGCAGCCAATGACACGGCTCACCGAGCGCTCAGATAGTCCGGGGCCACCTAGTTGACTCGTCTTCATTACTCATTTTCCGCAACGCCTGCTCGACGTGCTGCTCGCCACCAAGCGAGTCGACCCTCTATCTCACAACCGACACTCTCAACACCCTCCTCCCTCTTCGCCGCCTCCCATCATGGGTAAGAGCGACATTGAGGACAAGTCCGCGCACGACGGCGTGCACGACCGCGGCGTGATCCAGGACGCCGTCTTCGGAGAGATCACGGAGGGCGGGCCAAACTTCCGCGGTGTGAGTTGCGTCTCGCCTCCCTCATCCAGCCCGCTTCCTTCCTCTTCATCCCTCTCGCTCTCCATTTCTCACTTCGCTTGCGCTCGCCTGCTCTTAATCCCCCCCTCCCTCACCCAACCATCCCGCTCGCATGCTCCGTCTCGCGCCGAGGTCGCGGGCAGCGTTCGTTCCGCTGGGATGCCAGGAAAAGGATAACGAAATGTTTTGAATGTTCCGTGCCTGAATCCCGATCCGGAGCTTGCGTCCAATCGTGCACAGACGGAGAGGCGTGATATCCGATCGGATATAGTGAATGGCGCTGTTCCGGCGACAACAACGTCGGAGCGGACAGACATGAGAGGTGCAGGAAGGAGCGTGTACAGCGATGCGCGCCTCCATCTCCGCGAGCAGATGCCCGCCATGCACCAGCTTGCACCTTGCCCTGCGTTTTCCTCTTACTCCGACCTGCCATGCCCGATGACCGCAGCTAACCCCAGGTCGGCCTCGGCGGCACCTTTGTCCTCATGACCAAGGCCAACGTAGGCCTTGGCATCCTGCAGATCCCCTTCGTGTTCATGACGATTGGTCTCGTGCCCGGCATCATCCTCCTTGTCGCGATGGCCCTCTTGGTCATGTGGACAGCAACATACATCCAGAGCTTCAAGCTCGCGCACCCGCAGGTGTACGGCTACGCGGACATCGGCGAGGTGCTGTTCGGCCGCGTGGGCCGGGAGGTGTTCAGCGCCGTCTTCGTGATCAACTTCATCTTCGTGACCGCCTCCGCCATCGTCGCCGTCAGCACGGCGCTGAACGCCGTGTCGATGCACGCGGCATGCACGGCCGTCTTCATCGCCGTGAGCGCCGTCGTAGGCTGGATGCTCGCGTCCATCAAGACGCTCGGAGACATCACATGGCTCGGTTGGGTGGGCATGGTATCCATCCTTGCGTCTGTGCTCACGCTCACCGTCGCGGTGGGCGTGAACGACCGGCCGGCGGCGGCGCCCCAATCCGGGCCCTGGGACAAGGACTTCAAGCTCTTCGGCAGCGCTGACGCCGTCGGCGGCATCAGCGCGATCACGAACGTGCTGTACGCGTACGCAGCCACGCCGACGTACTGGGGCATCATCAGCGAGATGCGCGATCCGCGCATGCACAACCGCATGATGGCGCTCAGCCTCAGCCTCTGCTGCGTGCTGTACATCGTCCTCGGCTCTGTCGTGTACGCCTTCTGCGGGCGCTACGTCTCCTCGCCCGCCCTCGGCTCCGCCGGCGTCCTCCTCAAGCGTGTGTGGTGAGTGCACCCCTTTCTCCCTCTGACATAAGCTACGGGCTCGCGATCCCCGCCCTCCTTGTCTCGCTGTGCATCTACGCGCACATCGCCGCAAAGTTCCTCTTCGTCCGCATCTTGCAGGGCACGCAACACATCGCACAACCGACGCGGCGACACTGGCTCACGTGGTTCGCATGCACGTCCCTCATCCTCGGCGTGGCCTATATCCTCGGCTCGGCGATCCCCTCGTTCGGCGCCATCGTCGGCCTCATCGGGTCCTTGTTTACGCCGCAAACCACCATCGTTGTCTTCCCCCTCATATGGTGGCACGACCACTGGCGATACGCGCCAAAGCAGCAGCGCTCGTACGGCATGTTCGCGCTCAACTTGTTCATCCTCGTCGCGGGCGTGTTCTTCGTCGTGGGCGGCATGTATGCCGCCGTCACGGACCTCATCAAGACGGGCTCGACGAACGGGCCCTGGACGTGTGCCGACAACTCGGGGTCGGTGCCGGAGGCTTCGTAATGGTTCGGGGGCGTGCAATGTACATTTGTTTGTGGACGGAGGCGGGAGGGAATTGGGTGATGGCGGGGTGGATGAGACGGAACGAACTTCATTCTCCGAGGTACCAGTTGACTCCTCACCACTGGACATCATATTGCACCAGCGTCGATGATCGACATGTCTCCTCGCTAGTATATCGGTTAGTATATTCGCCTCTCATTAGAGAGCTAGTCACTTGACAACATCGCGAAAGAGCAGGGTTCAACTCCCTGGCGGGGAACATTTATCTTTTTTTTCGCAACATTGAAGAATGCGCTTTTGTATATTGGGCTATACTCGCAGACTGTATTCAGTGTGCCCGCCATGATATCCGCTGACGCTTGGATTCATGCGCCCGGCCTGTTGTTGACTTCGGCTTCGAGGTGCGAGCCCACTCGTTGCCCCTCGAGAGCACGCAGCCCCGGTGTCTTCCAACAGTGCTCCTGCAGCCGAGGGGGCGTACAATACCGTCGTCGGATAAAATTGCCCGATGCTGCAGTAGAGGTGTCGACGGTGGGGCCAGAGTCAGTGGAGTGTGAGGTGAGTATACCAAGGTAAGTCGGAGGGAGACTGCGCAACTTACATGCAATGGCGCGTATCGTCCCCTGTCCCACCCGCGACTGTCCACGACCACTAGTAAAGAAAGTGCTGGCTGCATTGACTAAACACCCGGCGTTATTGCTCTAACGTTACTCATTAAGTGCCACTAGTCTTCTCTTCGCCTCCGCTACGGCCCTTCGTCGGTCTTCTTGCCTCGATCGAATCCTGTACCGGTCATATAGTATAACAGTGTTTCACAACTGTGGTCAGCCCCGCCGCCGGCCACACCCACATAGGAAAGGGGTGGTCTATCGCTAGACCGGTCATGCCCCGAGATTACGCGACGATCCGGCCGCAGGCGCCGGGATGGGGTGGACGGAGCGGACGGGGCTCGGCTCCAGCGTCGAGTCGCGGTGGTGGACGTGCACCTCCTGCTTCCAGATGCTCTTGGGCGTCCACAGGCGCAGCGAGTCGGGGGGCGAGTGGGGCCACGGGTGGCCAGCCGCCTTGCCGCCCATGAACCACTGGATCTGCTTGTAGCGGATCTTCATGCGATCGTTGTTGTTCATCGTGCGTGGGGTGGGGGGGGTGTAAACACCGAAAGGTGTGGTCGTAGAATGTCGTTCAGTGAGAGTAGTAGTCGTGTTGGTGGGGATGAGATGGCGCAGGCGCGCCTTAAGTAGCATCAGTGGGCCAGGTCACGCCGGTGGCGGTCAGAACGAGCCATCATGTCAGACCCGTCAGAGCGAGATCGCGGTGCGCGGACGCGACGCAGAGCCTCGGGAGGGATCGCCACGGCATGTCAGCCCGGCTGGGCTCGCTGGTGTTTGCGCATGGCTCCATCACGAAGCAGGATGGAGAAGAGAATGGAGACGAGTGGGGCGTGTGGAGGACCGTGGGGCGGCTCATGGGCGGGGCAGGCCGCCAGAGCCGCCAAGGATCCCAAGGTGGCTGCTGTCGAGATCGCGCGACCCGAGCCAAAGGGACGCCGTGGGTGCCAAGACCGAGCGCCGGTCACGCGCGCCGGTCACGCGCACTCATGCGTATCGCGAGACAAAACAGATGCCAAGACGACAGTGAGGCGGAACGTCAAGATCCCGGCCAGGCCATGCCGCATTTCCCACGCTGCTCACATCATCCACAACTTGCCAGATTGTGCGCGAGAATGTGGATCGTGGTGATCTTCCAGTATCTGTGCCTCGGCCTGCAGATCCGATGCACCATTTTGCGATGTCGCTCAGACCGGATCTATGGGAGTATTGGCCCTCTGGCCTCCGGGTCCAGCTCGCCCAGCCCAGGTGGGACTATTGTGGGAGCAAGGCTTGTTCTTCCGACCAAAGCGTTCGGGCCGAGGCGCGTTCCTCGGCTCGATGAAGCTCAATGGCAGAGGTCATGTGCTCGCTGATGCTGATCTGTTGTGTAGACAATGCCTGCGTTCGGCGCATGTGCCTGGGCATGGGCGTGGGCCTGGTCGCCATGGCTCGCGGCGTGCAGGACGAATCCACCGTCGACGAGCGTCATGCATTTGTACACCGCCGCCCGAATTTGTAGACGTATTTGTATTTTGGACGCCGTTTGAAACGCTCCTGGTCCCATGACCCGTGCCAAGCCCGACATGTCCGAGAATGGCCAGAGGCCGTGGTTCTAGCATCTACCCTCAGGCTTATCGTCAGCGGCGCACGCCACAGGACTTTCCGAGGCCGGGCTGGATGTGCACGGTATGCACGGGTGCGTGCGTTGAGAAACGGGTGGAGAAAGGAGAGATCCCATCTCCATCTCTCGCGTGCGCGCTCGCCCTCCGACCAGTTCCGACTCTCAGGAGGTGTGATGGACAGCGATAATATTGCATGCCTCAAGCTTCCAGAATCATAAGCACAGTAGGAGAGCTGGATGGAAACTACGGGAATATGGGCTGAGCTTCGAGATACTGCAGAGATACTGCAAGCGAGCCGCCGAGGCCAGCTCAAGGCGGCGTCCATCAGAAGCGACGGGACCGCGGGAAACCAAGGAGCTCAAACATTGAATCACTGAAGAGCCAGCACGGCGAGGGCACCAAAAACAACACATGCGCCAGCAACGGTGCGCTGTGCAGCCGCACTCGGAGTGGGCTTGGCGGACGCGGAGACCTTGGACGAACTTGCCGCCGTGACGGTACGCCAGACGACGGTGGTGGGGACAACGGGTGCAGGGGGCGGCGCGCCTGCACCTGTGTACGTTGGCGCCACGTGAATCGAAGTGGGGGAAGACGAGGACGTGGGCAGGACGCTCGACGACTCAGAAGTGCTGGAGGACGGCGAGGCTGTCGAGCTGGGCTCGGAGGTGGACGGCGTGGGCTCGGTGCTCGACGGGGATGGCGATGGCGAAGGAGACGGGGAAGGGGAGAGCTGAGACGACGTGGATGACACCGGCGGGTCGACTTCATCGGCGCAGTTGAAGCTGCCACCGCCCTTCGTCGCGAGACACGCGGCGAACTCGGCGTCGGACGCGTTTGTGACACACACGGTCCAGCCGCACTGGGTCGTAGTGCTGCCGTCGCCGATCTCCGAGCAGCAGGCGGCCGTTAGGGCATTGGGCGCGGCGATGCAGGAGCGGGGGTAGGCAGAAGGAATGTGGTAGGTGGGGGGCGCGACGGTCGACGCCGCGTCAAAGGTTGGGTAAGTTGCACAATCGTAGGACATGAGAAGAGTGGTGGGGGCGAGAGGCGGAGGTGGTCATGTCAAGTCTTTTAGACGTCAGTGTGGATGAGGGGTCGTGCGTATGGCGACAAGCGCGGTAGGTGTGATGGAGCAGAGGCAGGCGGCGAGGCTGAGCTGACGAGCTGACGAGCTAACAGGATTGCAGGTATGGTAAGCGAGGCGGTGTGGTGGCGCACGGGGTGCACGGACTTGGCACAGACTAAGGCGCGGTCCAGAGGTCGTCGACGGCCCGTCAGATGGTGCAGAGGAAATGTCCATGCAAGGTGAGTTGGTTCCAGCGGGATGCGAGACGGGTAGGTAAGACATGAGTAGGCTGGGTCCGTACCGAGGTGGCATCCTCACTGTCACTCATGTCTCCACGCCCCTTCCTCTGAGCGTGAGTTAGAACTTTCCATTGCTTCTATATTCATCACAGTCGAACATAGGATCGCTATCGATATCCAGCGTCTTTCATAAGTCGACCCGTTTTGCGTGAGTATCTGAGGTTAGCGACCTGCCCTTACACCTAAGCGGGCCACACTCACGAATGCGGACACCACATCAAAGGCCCGTCACGAGAACAGAGACTGCCACAGCCAGCCCCACGACGCTGAGGACGGCGCGCTTTGCGCCATACTTGGCCGAGGCGCGAGCACACGTCCACTCATACGGAGGCCCACGCCGGGTCACATTCTTGCGGTACTCGACGTTCCATCCGTTGGCGTCGACTTTGTAGCTCCCGTCGTCGTACTCGCCATCCTCTTGGTACTCTTCGTCCTCGGTGTCCTCGTTGTCCCCGTCAGAGGGGTCATACGAGTGGTAGTAGTCGCCCGAATCGACGAGCCCGTCACGGATGGCCAGGCGCTCAAAGCAGGCGGAGTACTGCTTGTCGGTCATGCCGCCAATACACGCCGTCCAGCCGCAGAGGGACTCCCTGCGCAGGTAGCCGCAGCACTCGTCCATAAAGTAGTTCGGGTAGACGATGCAGGCGCGGGCGTTGCCGGGACCGCGGGGGACCTTGGGTGGCCAGAAAGCCTGCGGGACGGACTTGGCCTTCCACGGCTGAGGGAAGTATGTGCACCCGGCAAAGTTGGAGAAGTGATCAGTCAGGGCAGTCGGAGACGAAGGGAGGGCGACGGCCGAGGACGAAGCGGGGGCGGGGCTCGAGACGAGGGTGGTGTTGAACGGGGCCATCTTGGTGCGTGGGGGTGTTTAGCAGTAAAGTGCTGGCTGATGAAAGAGGTGCAAGCTGTGAGAGCTCGGCGAAGGGTGGATGCACTGTAGGTGGATAAAAGCGATTGCTCAATGGCAAAGAACGAGTGAAGGGAGGATGAAGAAGAAGAAGGATGTGGTCAACGGCCTCTTTATGCACTTGCCTCTGAGGGCGATTGTTTTTTCTGAGAAAATCTCTCACGCTCGCACACAGTCGATACAATTGACTAGTGTGCGTGAAGTGTCCCACCCACTTGATGTTCAGCCACGCGCTCCATTCAATGTGTCTTGACTTTGCGGAATTTGACATTGATAGTGAATATGCTTAAATAGTAGTGCCTTTGACGAGCGAATACGCTGGCTGCCCTGAATAGACAAGTCAGTGCCTTCCGCTCCTTCGCTATCGCAGGTTGAATGAATGCATGCGCAGCGGCTCTCCAGCGTCTGTGAGCTCAGAGATTTGTGTGTCTATGCACATTGATGCCATCCCGAAGATTGCTATCGCGGCTCCCAAATCCCTCAATTCTCTCGCGTGTGTCCTCGAGATCTGACATTCAGTCACACTCTCTGGTCCGAGCCTCACTGATCACTGAATTGATGCTTCCCTGTTCACTATCTAGCTACCACTGCCTGAGCCATCTCTTGCTATTCATGCCAGGCAATTGGTCTAACGGGATCCGCTTCATTGGTCAAGCAACTGGGTTTACATGCTCGATCTTTGCAAGGGGTCTTTTGTTGCTCATCGACCCGCGCCCGACCTGTTCACTCAACCGACTGTTAGAAGTCTGCCCTCTTGAAGGTCGCTGGGCACGACATTTGGCGAGTACTACCACGAGAGTGCCATAAATCTGATGACGTCACCACCTACGGCCCCTGCACACGGACGGCATGAAGTCTCCAGAACAACGAAGACATGTTCACTCGCGTGAGCATACGCCCGCGCGAGCACGTCGACGTCTGCAACTCATGAGCGGGGTAGCCTAGGGGCAAGCAAAGCAGCCGCTGGGCTTCACGGTTGCCGCGTTCACCCTGCTTTGCTCACCTCCGCTGAAAATCAAGATGTCACGGGCCACTGCCAGAGCGGGGATCAATGTGGTGCTCGTGACGCACGCGACAACCTTCGTTGAGGACGCTGCTGCCCAGGCGCGACGCAAAAGAGCACGTCGCGCGTGCGCAGGGGCGGGCCGCCAGCAGCCCCAGGTCGTCCACTGAGCGTAAGCGTGCCCTCCCTGGGACGCATAGGTCATAGGCGAGGTGGGCCGTAACAGGTATACAGAGATGTACCTTGATGAGAAGAGCCGACGAGGCAGCGAACCCTACAAGTTGCTCGCGCTCGGCGCGGGTCACAGCTTGTTGGGAAAGGCCTTCATCTGCAGCGACAGTGAGAGATTTGTGGCCACGTTGTGCTGCGGTGGCGAAGTCTTCTCGCAAACACATCTCATGCTTACGCTCTTCCACACCCCTGTTGGTTCATCACCGGTGTAGAGAAAATCGGCTGTCGCCTCCTAGTCTCTCTACTGACAGAGGGCTCGGCTGGCTGTCTTACTAGGGGAGCACCCGTGCGACGCAATGGGGAGGACAGCTGTTCATCTCCTACTAGCCCACGTTCCCAACCGCGCATCCCGTTGTCTCTCTCGACGACTATGGCACGGCTGCCGTCGGCATCCAGACCAGCTACCTCAGTACGCGCCCAGCCTCTAAGCCCAAACTCCGCCTCTCTCTCCGACAGTCTCACTCGCCTGTTCGTCTTCCGTGGTTGAGCCGTGCGCGTTCTTCCGATGTCTGGTGTATGTTGCCGTCGTCTAGCCGTGGGTGTATAGATAGAATGAGCCGACGCCATGCACGGTGGTGCACACCGCTGGCAGTGGTGGGTAGCGAGATACGAAGCGGATGATCGAAACGCCAATACCCTATGTCCCGATCGAGTCGGACTCAGTCCGACCAGCCATTTGCTCCCGCTTCGATCCCAGATCGCCTCCGCCGCCGCGTCATCGCGTCATGCCCTTGCTTTTCCTCCACACCGGCTCGCTTGCCAGCAAAGAGGAGATGTCTGGTTGTCAAGTAAGCATAACGTTGAACTGCATGGAGCATGGAGATGATAAATGTTGCCTTCCGCTTTCCCACAATACGCGTCCTCGGCGATGAGCGCATGAGCGATATGGCCATGCTGACCACCTCTCCTCATCACGAGTGCATGTGACCCGAACCACGTATCCCGATTACTTGGTGCTCTCGCCCCCTGCACCAACCCTCTCGGCTTGATGTTTGGCTTGTCTCATGTCGACCCTGCCAAGCTCATGTTCGGACGCGGGCCTGTCGCCCCCTACTCGCATGCGCCTGAGGTGTCTGTTTCAGGCTGTATCTCAGCATCGAGCATTGGACGAAGGCGGGGGGCGATGTACAAAATACACTGCCCGTGCCTGGGCGCTGCTAAACGTGGATTGACTGCGTCGATCCGTGCAGCGTCTGATGCCCCTCTCTTGATATGCTTGGCTGTCTTTGAGCTGTTCGATCACCCGCTCGAAACACGAGATGGCGGGAACCTGTCTAGACGCTGCATGTACTGTACTTCGCATGCATTGTACATTGCATGCATTCAGCGCCACAGGGCCGCCAAGCTCTCCAACGGCATCTGCATGCAGGTGAGGATATCCTGTACATACGGAGGCGCTCCGCTGGAAGGCTAGAGGCGCGATGGCGTGCACGGCCCCGAGTGGGAGTGAGGGACGAGCTGGCACAGCATGCGGCCACATCGATATCCCGCTTCCGTCCTCGAGGCTTACTCGCTTCCACCTCACCTGCCTCCCAGCATTGACCTCGTTGCTCTTCATCATCCATCACTCTTGCAAGAACACTCTCACGCCGTCTCCGACACCGACGCTTTACTTTCCGTCACGCTTCTCCATCCCACCTCTTCCATCTGACCTCCGCACCCCCATCCCTCCCCTTCGCCGATGACGACCGTCGGCCCCTGCCCGATGGGCAGCGCGGCCACGGCCCGGCCCCTCAACCTCACCATTCCCCTCGACAGCCGCCTCTGCTGGACGCAGGACCTGCCGACGATCCAGGACTGCTGCTCCACCCTCAACGGCACGATGCACGTCTCGTGCGGCTACGACCAGTGCCTCGGGTCCTTTGCGCAGCTCGACTGGCGCGACTGCGTCAAAGACTGGTACCTCGACAACAACATCGACCTCGATGACCGGTGGTTCTCGTGCTATCCACGCTCCAAGGGCGCCGCCACAACCGTCAGCCTCGACGTGAGCTCGGCACGGCGGCGGGCCAGCCGAGGAGGGATACTGGCCGTGGCGCTGCTCGCGGCTGCGGCACTGTCAGCATAGCGGGGAATGTGGTGGGTTGCCGGCAGCCGGCGGCGCTGATCTCAGATCATGGAAGGTTCGAAGCCATCCGCCGATCACGCGTGGCAGATCTGCGCCCATACAGGGCAACGCAGCAGAGGAGGCGACCAGCATTTACCATTAATTGATACGGCATCGGTGTGGGTTCGTGTCCCTTGCAGAGCGCTGCTGACCGCAGGCCAGCGGGCCGCATGACACGGCATAGGAACATTGGATGCGTATCGTCGCCTACAGCGACGTGTTGTGACATACATTTCTGCACCATCGAGCATGTGTGGACTGGCGCGGAAGGTGGAACTGGCACTGAACAAGGCGTGGACTCGATGTGCTGACAGGCAAGCCGATGCTTGTGCGCGAGTGCTCGCTGGGGGTGAGGCTGACAGGCCTTTACTGCTTCGGCTGTCGACGTTACGGGGGGGCCAAGGAGGAAACAAGGCCCCATCGTCCAGGAATAGATGAGCACACGTATGACCGGTCACCTCTGGATGTGCCCGCCGATGGAGTTGGGGCGAAAAGGAAACAGTTGTGTGTGTGGGGTGGATGGTGTGAGGGGAATGACCGAGACGGTCGGTGCTTGAGCACCAAGCTCCGCCGACGATGGCTCCTCGCTCTCACTTACGACGACTTGACATCCTTCACCTCAACCGGCGGACCGCTGTCATCAGCGGCTTGCATGATTGCCCTCCGCATTATATGCGCAATGCTGAGGGTAGCACGCCAGAGAGCGGGTGTGACGGTCCATCGACAAATCTCACTGCAGAGCCGCACTTTTATCTGGATTTCTATAACGGTGCCAACGGAGGTTCTAGAACAGTGCGCCAGCTTGCTATCCACCACTACAACAACTTGCCTTCAGCGTTCTTGGAATCACTCGAGAGCTTCCTTGGGGCCTTCGACGATCTCGCGAGTGGCCGAGTCAGGGCCCCCAAACTAGTCACCATTGAGGCTCGATCGCCGGCCCTCTGGAGACTTCACTCGTCGGATTCTCAGACCCAGCCAGATGTCCCGGCCCCTCTCACACCACTCCAACGAGACACAATGATCCAAAAGAGGACGTTGCGCCCTTCGCTGACCACTGACAGACTCGAACTGCCGACCCTTGCATAACAGGCTGATACGCGCCGGCGTATTAGTACAATGCTCTAACCAACTGAGCTAAGCGGCCATGAGAGAGGCAGGGACGGCCGCGCTGAAGGCGCGCGCAGCGGTCGGGAGAGCGCGAGGTAGCCGGCACTGGGCGAGAAAGGAGCTCAGCGGCGACGCCCGGGAGGCAGCTCGCCGCGTGTATGCAAAGCTCACCGCAGAAGTGAGTTTGCTGAGCCGCTTCCGCCGGACCATTGTGCACGCCCATCGACTCGGCAATCCAAGCGACCGTCCTACCCACGCCTGCCCGCCCCCGGCCCTCTCGATCCAGACTGCACAGGATTCATCAAGTGTCCGCTCTTGTAAATGCCAACTTCTCAACTTCTCAGTGTCCTGCCACGAGCGCAGCCAGCGCCAAGCCTATGCGCCCATGCCCTTGTTGTCGACGATCCACTGCTGGTTCAGGTTTCCTGGCATTAGCGGTGCACGCGCTTGCCAACCCGTCCCACCCACCGTTGAAGCACTGCCACTGCTGGACGTTGCCGCCCTCGCCCGTGTTCCCGTCCACGAGGTCGAGGCACACGTTCGCATTCTTGAGCTTGATCGTGCCACGGTCGTACTGCACCCACACGCCATTCACAGGCTTGCGCGACCACCGCGTGGGCTTGGCATCGCGCTGCGGCGGGCACGGGAAGAGCTGTGCGCGCCGCCCGTTCGTCAGGTCCACCGTGGGGTCGTCGTAAGCCGCTGCGGTTAGCGCTGTCGATCGTGAGACCCACTGAATCCCGTCACGACACACAGCTCCTCAACTGTGCCCTGCGCGCTCTTGTCCTGGAACCAGAGGACGGTGTCGCCGTAGGCCGTGCGGAACTGCTGGTTCGGCAGGCCCTCGCACTTGTGGCTTGCGTTAGTGGCTGCGACTCCACAACGTACATGTACAGGCGCGCGCCGTAGTACTGTCCCTGACCCTGCTTGAACGCCGTGAGGCACATGTGCGGCGCCGCCTTCGGGTGGATGTACATCGGGATGGGGCGTGACGAGCGCTCCTCGACGCCGAGGGGAGCGGCGAGCGCAGTAAACGCGGTGGCGAGAAGGAAGAGGGTGGCGAACATGGTGGCGTGATGTAATGAAAACCACTGGGATGGGTACGCTTTATATCTCCTCAACCCTACCGGTGTCACACCCGATCGCGAAGCGCCGAGCAGATGGGCGCGCCAAGCACTCGGGGAGCCGAGCGGGCCCGCGCGAGATCCGCACCGCGCCCATGCAGATGGCCAGCTGACATCGAGCCATGCGGCAAGAGCGGTGCCGCTTGCTTCGGGGGAACCGGAAAGCGTAATGGGAAGTGAGAATAAGCTTGTTAGCGCTGCATGCCACGCGAGATCTCTTGGCATCTGATTCCCGATGTCACCGAGTGCACTGCCCCGCACCGTCATCCGCCGGAGCCGCTGAAGGCTCGGTGGAGCGGACGGTGATGTGGTGTGCCCGTGCAAGAGCGAGGCAAGAGCGTAGCGGCATGCGGAATGCGGAACATCTCTGCGTAGCTTTATCATTCCGATCGCGCCTGACATTACTCGAACCGTTCTGCCGCATCCGCAGCAGATTCTCGGTCACTCCACATCCAAGTCTCCACAGATGAAAGAAATATCCATTCATAGTCCTATCTAGAGAGTGTGGCCTGTGCGGCTAGCATACTTCGCCTACGCGGTGCCGACGACGTCGAAGGCCCACTCCTGGTCCTCGCCGCCGCACTCGCTCTGGTGCACGAGTCCGTCGGTGCCGTCGAGACACACATCGGTCCCCCACAGGCGCAGATGCACGTAGTCGCTGCGGTCCCAGTACCCGTTGGTGGGAGCGGTGATGTTGCCGACGTTTGGGCAGGGGAGGAGGCGTGCGGCGCGCCCGTCCTTGAGCTTGGGCTTCTTGCCCGGCTTGCCTGGCGTGCCGCTGCTGTCGATGCAGAGCGTCGGCTCGGCGAGGAACGTGACCTTGGTGTTGGGCCAGTTGACGCGGAAGCGCTGGTCGGCTGAGGCGACGCAGCGGCGGCTGCCGTCAGAAGTTGAAGCGAGGCAGAAGGACGTACACAGTAAGTTGAGTACCCTCGTAAGCGCCGGTCTCGTCCGCGACGGCCGTGATGCACAGCTCGGGCGCGTCGATCGGGTGGATGTAGCGGTATGCCGGGGGCGACTGGCGCGTCTCAAGGTCGAGCGGCGCGGCGGCGGCGAGGCTGGCGAGGGCAGCAAGAAGAGAGAAAGTGAGAAGCATGTTGAAGCTGATCGTTGCGTTGAATGGTGAGGACGGCTGCAAGCGTAGCTATATATGCTTGTGAAGTGCACGGAGGCGGTCGGTCGCATGTGTGCACGCGGTATGAGAGCATGCTCCGAGCTCCAGGACGCCATGCCGAACAGAAGGCCGCCCTCGCCCCCAGGCGGTGCAGTCCCGCGGAAACCACTCTATTTGGAGCGCAGCGCGATCTCGAGCGCGGGGCGTTGCGGAGCGATACATTATTACTATACATCGGTGGACCGTGAGTCGCTCCGATCTCCGATCAACCAGTACATTGCCTTGGCCACGGCCGGCCGGCGGAACACCTGGACCTGGTCCCAGCGCGCATCGTCCGGTTCCATCCACGTCCCGCCCGCGCTTAGGTTCATAATACGCCCCTCGTCATAAGTCTCCCAGAAGGTCGAGAGCGCGGCATTGCCCTCGCCCCGTTTGTCGGCGCCATTCGGGTCGAGGTGGTACGCAAAGTTCGTCCTGCTGTCAATCTCCGACTTTCTACTTCACTCTCAACGAACCAGTAGTTCAACATCTTCTGCGCCAAGTCCAGATCCTCCGGGCCATACACCGTGGCGTTCACCCCTCCGAAGAGGTATGGCATGTCGTCGGTATGCGACGCGCCGAGGTATGCAGGATGTGATGCGCTCGCGGGCGGGCCAGCCGCAAAGACGTAGCCCCACGCCTTGCGGTTAGCACCAAGCAGCGCGCGCCGCCGGCTCGTCCACTGCCCATCTGTGATGATCGCCGCGACCTGCTTGTACTGTGTCGGGAGGCCGAAGGTCTCGTTCCCAGTCCCAAACGGCGCCCCGAGGGCAGGGTCGTCGGGATACGCCGCGAGAACCTCGCTTATCACGTCCCGGGGCAGCGCCCACGCTGCGGCGAGGTATTCGGCCGCAGAGAGAAGCGAGGCATTCGCCCCGTTCATCGAAGCATGGTCAGCAGACGCGTGGCTGGAGCCGGAGGCCGCGATCATCGCGCTGCGCAGCATGAACGTGCCCTCGTCTCGTGTCGTGCCGCAGATGAATGGGATCTTGACACGACGCAGCGCCGCAAGCGGAGAGGCAGGGACTATCTCGTCGCGCGCCGGCGCCCACTCCGCTAACCGCGCATACTCCGGCAGCGCCTTCAGGCGCGCCGCTGCGTCCAGTACCCCGTCAGCGGTGAGGTTACGGAGACACGCGATCTCATCTCGCTTGCACCCCGCCAGCCGCGCCAGCCGGCGTACCGTCCGCCGCACCATGTGTCGCGGACGCACAGGCACCAGCCCTGGCGCGCCGGACTGCAGGATCGCGCCGCGGAACAGCTTTTGCCTGCTGAGCATGAGCAGCCCGATGGATGCTGCGCCGGCGCTGTGGCCCCACGCCACGACTTTGGCGGGGTCGCCCCCCAACGCATGGATGTGCGCGCGCACCCATTGCAGCGCCAGCTTCTGGTCCCTTAGGCCTGCGTTGTCGTGCGCGAACCCGAAGGCGCCGAGACGGTAGTTGAGCGTCACGAAGATGAAGGGGCGCGCGGTGCGTGCGCCGTATGATACGAAGGAGGGGGAAAGGGCCTCGGCGCCCGAGCCACGCACGAAGCCGCCGCCGTGGATCCACACTATGACTGGCAGGCGGGACCTGACGCCGGCGGGCGCCATGATGTTGAGGGTGAGGCAGTCCTCAGATGTACTGAGGCTCACGCCTTCGGTGGGCTGCATGCATGCTGGACCGGCGGCGGTCGCGAGCACACTGCTGTTATACCGCTTTGCCTGGGGGCGAGCAAAGCGGAGGGGTCCAGTGGCTGGGTGAGCAAGAAGCGAGCTGGGTGGAAGAGATGGGTACGTACGCGGTTCGGCATACGGGATGCCCAGGAACACGTCGAGGCCCGCTTCCCGCCTCCCTGTGATTGTGATGTTCGACCCATCGTGCTCGATGCTGACAGACACCGGGCCGGCAGAGGGCGTGTTGTTCGCCCATGCAGGCAGGCTTACAGAAAGCGAGGTACGAGCGGCAGTGGAGACGGGTGTGGCCAGCGCTGTTGAGGTCATGGTCTGCGCCGCGGCCGTACAGCTGAGCGTCAGGAGAGCCAGCAGTATCATGACATCTGATGAGTTGGCCCGTGAGAGTGAGAGTGAGAGTGATAGTGAAGAAGTGGATGCTGTCGTGAGAAAATTGTGAGAGCAGTCGTGAGAGTTGTGTTTGTGAAGCGAAGTGGGGTTGCGAAGGTTGACTTCGAGAGCAACATAAGCAACATACCGTACGTCACCTCCCATGACCTCGCGGATGTCGTCACGAAGCGAGCCTAATCTGTCGCCCACCCAAGCCCATCTTTGCGACGCATGCTACGTCGACGCGCCATCCTCTGCTATCGTCGCGGTTCAGGCCAGGTGACTCCGTGCATAACTCTTGCTTACCATGGCGCCGGACAACAACTTTCCGAGACGTGACGCAGCGAATCACGAACGGAGAAAAGTTGCTCCGCCCCAATGTCGCCCTCCACCACCGACCGAGCTCCCCCCCCCCCCCCCCCCCCCCCCCCCCCCCCCCCCCCCCCCCCCCCCCCCGGTCGCTCGAGACCTCAAGCGCCGCCCAGCACCAGTGTCGCGCGTTCAGTAGCCTGGCATCGCGCAAACACCGCGCGCCTTCATCGCCTCGCTACACCTTGACCACCTTGTCCGGGAATGCAGCAAGCCACGCCTTCCACCCGCCCTTGAGCACGAGTGCCTGCGACGACGTGACGCCCTGCGCATCCAGCCAGTCCTGGTACCACGCCGCGGAGCGCTGCCCGCGCCCGCCCGCGCTGCACGAGTTGCAGTGAAACACGACCTTGGGAATGCTGCCGTCAGTCCGCGCCCCTCCTTCCCCCTTCCTCTCACTTCTTAAGGAGCTGGCCGGACGTCGCGAGTGTCGGATACAGCGTCTGCGCGGGCAGGTTGAGCGCGCCGGGGATCATTGCGCGCGCGGCGTCTTCGTCCTGCTGTCAGCCGCCAGCTAGTCAAGCCACGCAAGACCCACCCCGATGATGTCGGTGCGGCGCACGTCGACGACGATGTAGTCCACGCCAGGCGTGCCTTGGAGGGCGGCGAGGTCTTGCACGGTGATCTCGGCGGGGGTGCTCTGGGGCTTGGGGAGGGCGGCGTGCCACGACATGGTGCGGGAGAGGGACGGGGATGAGATGTGGCGAGAGAGAGAATGGAGACGGAGCATGGAGTGGTGTCAAAGGAGTGGCTGATCACGCAAGCCGGTATCGGACTTTGTGATTCCGCACTTTGTCCAATCTCGCGGAATTGAACACCGCCTACGCCACTCTGACGCCGGGCGACTATGCATCGCGCGGGGGATGTAGCGCAGGCTCTGAATCAGTCCAGCGCTGAAGATGTTCTGGTGCATGCGTGGGCGGCATGTGATTTGCGTTGGGCTGGGCATGCAATTGCACCTCGTGTTGGAGTAACTCGACGTCGTGCTGCGGACAAACTGAGGGCAGAGGAGCTTCTATGCACTTTCACGCCGAGCGACACGTCTCAGCCTTGGCAGAAGAATTCCAGAGGAGGCGTTGTCATCCGCTAGGGCTGCGTCGAGCGGAGACCAGACGATGGAGGGCCTCTTTTGTCCCGACGAAGCGGGGCATTGGCACGACTGATGCTACTCGTGTGATCAAGAAGCTTGGGGGGAAGCTCAGTCGAGTAGGAGCTTGTAGTCGGTCCCAAGATGCTCGTACACTGATCGATCTGTTGCGCGGTTGAGGTCTCCGCTGTCGCGTGAGAATGTGCTCCATATAGTCTGGGAGGAGGATGGCGATGGCCTGTACTCTCAGCCCCTCTAGCCACACCTCTACAGCTGCCCAAGTGTGTCGCGCTGACGCTCTCGCTGCTCTCGCCAACCTGCCACCTCCTCCATCAGTTTCTCCCCCTCCAGTCGTTCCATCGTGCTGTTCACCGAATTCCCAGCCTGCGGACTGGTGCCCGCAATCAACAGCGCCTGCCCCAGCGTGGTACCGAACACTTCGTGCGATTCCAGGAGGGCAACGCCAGCTGACACCAGCTATGTCATCTTGAGCCCCCCCCCAAGCCTAGTAAGACGCACTCGAGCATGTCCTCACGCACCACCAGCGCTACACAACCGCGGAGCCTGGGCGCTGGCTCGTCCTCGGCTTGGACTGGTGCGTGCTTCTGTCCATCACTGTCAGCAGCGACGAATAAAGCATGCACGACGGCGTTGGGTATCTCGGAGGATGGGCTTTGGCGGAATGCTCGGCACATCTAGTTACCGGCTCGGCGTCGACCGACAGCCGGCCCTTCAACAAGTCGCCCAGTGCCCACTAAGTCTCAACCCATCCTCCTCATCGTCTCTGTTCTCGTCCTCCTCATCCTCATCCTTCTCCTGACTCTCCTTCTACCCCCCTCCACTCCCAGCCATGCCCCAGTTCAGCAAGCCGCCCCCGAAGATCGAGGACGACATCGTCCAGCTCGCGTACCCCGCCGAGCACATTCTGCACATCAAGATGAACCGCCCCAAGGCGTTCAACGCGATGAACAACGCGCTCAACACGGCGCTCGAGGACGTGCTCAACTGGTTTGAGAGCGAGCCCACGCTCTGGGTCGCCATCCTCGGCAGCACGAGCCCCAAAGCGTGGTGTGCGGGCATGGACCTCAAGCAGGTGGTGAGTGGCATCCTCGCACTGGACCGCCGAGCCTCGTAGGCCGGTTGCCTCTGGTCGGCATCAAGGTCTTTGCCTGCGCCGTCAAGACTGGAGGCAGACCTTTGCGTAACCCCAGGCGCCCGCTAACCCCAGAACCTCGGCGGCAAGTCGAACTGGACGCGCAACGGGTTCGGCGGCATGACGCAGCGTTTCACGCGCAAGCCCTTGATCGGTGCGATCCGGGGATACGCGCTCGGCGGTGGCGCCGAGATGGTCATGAACCTCGACATTGCCGTCGCGGGCGAGAGCACGACCCTCGGTTTCCCCGAGGTCAAGCGCGGCGTTGTTATTCTCGCCGGCGGCCTCGAGCGCTTCGTCAAGCTTGTCGGGCACCAGCGGGGTGAGTTGGAGTATGGGCTTTGCTAGCGGGGCAGAGTAGCTGACAGTAGCGTGCGAGCTTGCGCTGACCGGCCGCAACATCTCGCCGCAGGAGGCCCAGCAGCTCGGCATGATCAACTACGTCGTGCCCGACGACCAGGTCGATGCCAAGGCGCTCGAGATCGCCAAGACGATTGCGTCCAACTCGCCTGATTCCGTCATGGCGACGCTTTATGGTGAGTATGAGCGGGGCGAGTGGGGATACGAGTCGGCGGCGATGGAAGGAGGACGGCTGCCGTCCAGAGGCACGAGGCGATGGATGGCGAGCACACTCTCACCCCAGGCATCCGCGTCACGGACGAGGCTGGCTCCGCCCGCGCCGCGCACCGCCTGTTCGTCGACAGCGCGGCCATCAAGCAGGTCAACGAGGGCGAAAACACCAAGATTGGCGTCAAGGCGTTCGCCGAGAAGAAGCAGCCCAAGTGGGTGCCGTCCAAGCTCTAGGCGGAGCCGATGGCGGCGAGACAGACGGTGGCAGTATATAGGCATGCACAGTATGAAGTTGCCGTTTGTTTGGGCATCGGCAGGAAGAGGTCATCTTGCCATGTTGACAAGGTCAGGAGTGGCGGCGATTCCGCTGCCGGCCCGGATTCCGGAGTCGATGCGGGGCAACAATCTGCCTGCGCCTGAGGCATCGCATCATCCACTCGCCATGGACCACGCCGCGTTCCCGCACATCTTCGAGCGCATCCTCCTCTTCTCCCCGTGGTCCACGAAGCTGCGTCTGCGCGTGCTCTCCCGCGCGATCCGGGAGACGCTCGACGCCGAGCTCTACCGGCACATCGTCGTCTATGGGAGCGCCGAACACGTGTGCTTGCGTGCGCCGGACCACCCCCTCCCGCCTCTGGGCGAGGACACGCGCGCGCTCTCCCGTGTCCAAGTGGTCGACTGGGACGTGCCGCTCCCGCATCCCGCGCTCTCGCCCGACGACGGCGCGGCAGAGGCGCGCGCCGCCGCGCTGCGCCACCTCGCCCCCCTCCTCTCCGCGCGCCCGCATACGGTGCGCGCAGCCGACGCGCAGCTCGTCCCCCTCCCCGCGCCCCACCTTATCCTTTTCAACGACTACGTCTCGGCCGCTGGGCGCTGGCTGCACTGGGGCGAAGGCCTTGTCCTCCTCCCCCCCGGCGTGCGCAAGCTAACGCTACATACGCGCTTCGACCCCCGCCACCCCGCGTTGGCCGGGAGCACGTGGGACGTGCCGCACCCCGTCAGCGTGAATGAGCTTGAAGAGCTCGTCGTCATTCCCTTTCCGGCGCACGACGCGCCCCGCGCCCTCCAGCGCCCGTGGCAGCGCACGCCGACCCTCGGCTTCCTCGACGACCTCTTCGTCTGGGGCATGCAGCTTGCGGCGCGCGGCGTGCGCGTGACCTTCGTCGGGTTGGACATCCTCCCGCCGCGCGCGTTGATGATGTCCCCCGATGTGGGAGAGGAGCGCGAGAGGCTCATCGTCGCGGGGCTCGAGGCGTTGCGGAAGGGTGGGCCCGGAAGGGGAGGTGAGATCAGGCGCATTACGTGGGTGCAGTATCGATGTGAGACGGACCCGGACGAGTACGATCTCGTCGTGGTCAGGCGGCCGTCCTGAGTGTATGGTACTATTTACCACCTCGACGCCTTGCGTGCAGGTGTCATCTACCGGCTGCGACGGCGCGGCAGACGCACTCAAACACTTCTTCGTATCACGAGATCACCCTTCTGGAGACATGTATCGCGTGTGAGCAGTGGCTACCAGCCTCATGGCCTCTCATACCTCTCAGCTGCCTCCATTGGCTTTTCAGACTCTGGCTACAATCGCGTCGCATTGAGTAGGTAGCACTCTGTAGATAATCATGCTCACAGAGCATACATCGACTGTACCAGTGCTGTGATAGCTCTTCTCCCTCTTCCCCTCCCCTTCCAATACTCACCGACTCAACGGCTCTACGGCTGATGCGGCAGCCAGCAAAGTCAGTCTCCGCCCGCCTCCTCCAGCTCAGCACGATCCTCGAATTCACACTACACGCTACAACCGACGCTTGCTAGCGCGAGTCGACCGCCGCTCCTCCTCCGGGCTGCGCGACCGCTTTCTACGCCGTTCCTCCTCACCGCTCTCCCACCCCTCCTCGTCGTTCCCCTCGTGCCGCCGCGGGCTCCGGCGCCGCTCCCGCTCCCCGTACCGGTCACGCTCCCCATACCGGTCCCGCTCCCCGTACCGTTCGCGCTCGCCGTACCGGTCCCGCTCGCCGTATCGCTCACGGTCGGTACGTTCGCCGCGCTCGCGCTCAGTGCGCTCGCCACGCTCGCTGCGCTCCCGGTCGTCGTACTCGCCTTCCTCGTCATACCGGCTCTGCGAGCGCGACTCGCGGTACTCGGGCTCGCGTTCCCGCTCGCGCTCGCGCGGCGCCGGGTCGTCGTACCGCGAGCTGCTACGGCGGTGGGGCGAGCCCGAACGCGAGCGGCTGCGCTCCCGGCTCGGAGGGCCCGAGTCGCCATAGTCGAGCGAGGCGGCCGCCGCCGCAGCGTTCGACTCCGTCACCCTGTCCTTGTCCTTAAACCGCCCCTTGGCGCTCTTCGGAGCCGTCGGCACAACACCGCGAGGTCCAAGAGGGACTGCCGTCAGCCAACACCCACATCCCCGCCTGCTGATGCAACTCACTTCCGCCTCGGCCGCGCACAGCCAGACCTCCCCTGCCCGGCATCATGCCACGCACCGGCGCGGTGGCGCCGCGCATCGCGAAGCCTGGCTGGGCCTGCGGAACCGGCTCCGCCTGCCCCTCGCTGGCCGCGTCGTCTTCCTGCTGCTGGACGCCGTTACCTGGATATCAGTCACCATCGCGGCTCGGTCACCATCGCGGCTCGGAGAACTCACCCATCCCTGGCATCTGCATTTCGCCGCCCTGAATGGCCTGCTGCATGCCGAACATGGCCGCAGGATCCATGCCCTGCATCCGCATCATCTCCTGCATTTGCGCCATCTGCTGCATCTGTTGCATCTGCTGCATTTGCTGCTGCATCTGCGGCATTTGCGGCATGGGGATGTGCAAGCTCTGCGCGATCTCGGGCGTGATGGGCGACATAGGGCCAAGCTGCGCCTGCTGGTCAGTTCTTGTGCGCGCCGTTGTACTCACAAGTGCTGCACGCCCCTGCTCCATCTCCTGCCGGAACTTGAGAAACTTGGGATAGGTCACCTCGTCAAAGCCGTAGTTGAACCAGTCCGAAATGTCGCTGCCGGGACGGCGCCACATCTGCCCCGAGCCCTCGAACTGCGCGACGTCGATGTCGTACACACTTGTGCCAGTGCTGGGAATAACACCTGTAGGGTTGGTGGGGTCGATCTTAGGATCAGAAGCGGGGGCGAGTTGGGGCGGGAGAGAGGAGTGGGGAAGCGCGGCGTGAGTGGGAGGTCCGCTCGCCGCTGCCTGGGGGTGGGAGTGCATGTCGCTCGGCTGTGCCGTTGCTGATGGCAGCGGAGCGTGGCCATGCTGGTTCATCGCAGCGGTCGGCGCTGCTGAAGCGCCGCTGGGACGAGGAGCGGGCGTGTAGTCGGTCAACGCATCTGGAGCAGTAGCTGCTGCGGACATCAGCCCAATGCCAACCCGCTGTACTCACGCTTGGATGCTGTCTTTGTGACGGTTGGTGAGGCAGCGGCCGTCGCGTTTGTTGTCGCAGTGTGCGCCCACTTACCAATGCCAATGACATTGGATGTTTGCTGCTGAGGCTTGCTGTCTGTGAGTGTAGGTCACGGTGGGAAGACTAAGAAACGTACCGCAAGTCTAACCGCTGAGCGCCGGCGTTGAACACGAGCTTGACGTCGTCATCCGAGTCCGAATCGTCATCGTCACCGTCACTCTCCTCCACTCCGCCGTCTTCTGGTGCTTCCTCCGCTACTGCAGTGGAAGGATCGATACCGTATGCCGCCAAAGATCTAAGGTTAGGGGAGCTGGGGCGGTAACTCACGCCGCCATCGAAGCGCTGATGCTGTTCGACGCTGTTGCGCCTCCTGGGGGTTAGTTCAGCGTTGGGACCATGTTGTCTTTGACGCACCATCTTGTGCCGGGGGCGCAGCCGCGGGGGGTGCGGCAACGGGCGGGGCTGAGTCACCGTAGAGGAATGCGTCGTCGTCCTCCATGTTGCGAAGGGTCGAGGGATAGGTGGATGGGATGGACGGCGAGGACAAGGATAGTGATGGTGAGCGAAGGGGAAAGGAGTGAAGCAGAATGTCACTTGGCGATCTCATCGGGATATGTGGGGTGACAATACAAATTATGAGTCCACGTGGGTTGTGTCGCGGGATCAGATTACATAAATTGCTTTCGGGATCAAAAGTGTACTCCACCCAAGTAATCTGCCTCCTGATTGCCGTATTCCGCCGGGAACAATGACGTCGTTGATGCCATCCAGTTCCCGTCCTCCCGTCTCACCTCAGCAACGATCAAGTCACAATCGTTCAGAATAGCTGCTCGTACTCCAGCTCCCGCGCGCCCACTCGCAGGGCCTGGTCCGGACAGACGTGCCTCGTCTCTCAGCTCACACTCCCACTCCCTATGTAGCTGATGCAATGACCAGCAGGCCCCCACGTACGGGCCCACCGAGGTCATGACCGAAGCCGGATCGCACCGTTGCCAGCCGTATAAAGCACAAGGCATGCCGAGCGCTCTTGGCTAGCCCTGTCTGATCTTCAGATCGATATTCCACTTCTTTATCCATCCACCATTCGCGTCACACACCTCAGCATGGTCCAGCTCAGCTCCGCCTTCAAGATATCGCGCCCGTGGCAGGGCGTCGGCCCATGGATCTTCGGGACGTTCCGTGCGTCGCTACATTCGCTGCGCTAACCCCAGATGTCGACAAGTATCCCGAGGGCAAGCCTGACATGTCGCCAAACGCCTCGCTCGCCGGCCGCGACATCGGGATGGACATGAACAACCCCTCTGGCTGGAGCATGTACCACGGCGACCACATCCCTGGGTTCCCCGCACACCCGCACCGCGGCTTCGAGACTGTGTCCATCGTGACGAAGGGATACATCGACCACGCCGACTCGACGGGCGCCGGCGCGCGCTACGGCAAGGGCGACACGCAGTGGGTAACGGCCGGCAAGGGCGTGAGCCACAGCGAGATGTTCCCGCTCGTGCACACGGACAAGGGCAACCCGCTCGAGCTGTACCAGCTGTGGCTGAATCTTCCGGCGAAGAACAAGCTCGTGCCCCCCGAATTCGTCATGTTCTGGGACGAGAAGACGCCCGTCGTCAAGAAGGAGAACACGCACGGGTGTGCCAAAGCGACGATCGTCGCGGGCAAGTGGGACAACGTCGACCCCCTCCCGCCCCCCAAGAACTCGTACGCCGCCGACCCCAACAACGACGTCGCCGTCTGGCTTCTCCAGCTCGAGCCGCACGCCACCATCAAGGTGCCCGCCAAGAACTTCCCGGAGACGGAGCGCGCGTTCTACGTCCACCACAACAACAGTATGGATCCCGACCCAAGCATCAAGGTCAACATCGGGGGCCAGTGGGTCGAAGCTGGCGAGGGCGTGCGCCAGGAGGACACGGAGCGTGTCACGGTCACGAATGGTCCCAAGGCCGCGCGCGTTATCGTCATGCAGGGCAAGCCGATCAAGGAGCCCGTGGCCCAGCGCGGGCCGTTCGTTATGAACACCCAGGCTGAGCTGCAGCAGGCGTTCATGGACTACCAGCGCACCCAGTTCGGTGGCTGGAAGTGGGACTCGCAGCAGCCCGTGTACCCCCGTGAGACGCCGCGCTTTGCGGACCATGGAGACGGCAAGCGTGACTACCCCGCTGGGGAGAAGGCTACGCCGCAATCGCTGTGATGCGGGCAACTCAAAATGACCTTCTCATTTCTCGACACTTGACCCTCATATCGGATCGAGGCTGTATGATGCATTCAGAAGCTGACTGTCTGTGCAATGGCCCGTCTCCGAGATCCAGAATCAAGGACTTGAGAGCCGTGACCATAGAGACAGAGTACTGATCCTCGGATGTCTTTTAAGAACCAACTGAGCAGGATCCGCACGAGCGGCTCACAATGTAGACCAGCTTCCGAAGCCCAATTAACGGTACTCACATCTATCTGCAGCAGTCTAAAGCTCTATTACTCAAACACGGGCATCCTCTGGGCCATGCGAATCGCCTCGCCCTTCCAGAGCAGCATGACAGTGAGGACAAGGCCGACGCCGCACGCCAGCGCGCCCTGCACGGCATACGCATTGGTGAACCCACTCGCCTGGCCCCACTGCATGGCGAAGAAGCTGACGGCGAAGCCCCACATCATCTTCCAGAACTGGAAGACGGCCTGCGTGTCCATGCTTTTCTCGAGGTAGCTCTCGAGCACGTACGTCTGGAAGACGCCCGTCGCGGCGGACAAGGTGAAGAAGTACAGGCCGCCAAAAACGAGGAGCACGGCCCAGTGCCACGCATGGTCGATCGAGAGGCCGACGAGGAGGAGCGCGACAAGCATGAGCGGGAGGACGGGGAGGAGGGCCCACAGGCGGTGCTCGGGCTGGCGGGAGCCGCGGCGGCGCTCGACGTACGCGACGGCTTTGTCGCCGGCGAGCCCGCCGCTCCATTTCCCGAGGACGCCGCCCACGCCGAACGCGAGGAACGCGCAGCCGAGCGGCACCGTGCCGAACGAGTAGGGCGGGTTCTCGAACGTCTGGGGCATGACGACGGTCAAGCCGACGCTCCACGCAAAGAGCGAGCCGTAGTAGAACGAGGGGAGCGTGATGGCCGCGAAGCGGAGCATCGCGATCGGACTCCACAGGAGACCGAGGTACTCGCGCGGCCGCGCCCACGGATACCATGCGACGCCGGTGCGTCCTGCCCCATAAGGGGTGGCGACTTCGGTCTGTGCGTACACGCCCTTGTCCAACTCTATCTCCTCGACCTTGGACTCGGCCTCGACCCACAGCGTCTCGGGAACGATGAAGAAGTAGAGGATAAGCTGGAGGCCGCAGAGCGCGAGGCAGAACCAGAACAGGTTGCGCCACGAGTGCTTGTCGACGATGAGGCCGCTGAAGACGGGCGCGACGCAGGGCGAGATCACCACCGCGACGCCGTATGTGCTCATTTTGTGGCCGCGGATCTCGGGGCGGAAGATGTCGGCCACCGTCGCGGGCGGCACGGTCTGCGAGAACGACCCGATGAGGCCCATCACGGTCCGCCCGACCGCGAACACGGGGAAGCTGTTGCTGAGCGCCAGCCACACGCAGCAGGGCAGCGAGAGCACCGAGCCAATGAGGTAGACTGGGCGGCGGCCGAGGGTCTGCGTCAGCGCTGCAGGTGGGAGACTCACTCTCGACAACGGGTTCCAGAATACCGGGCCCACGGCCATGCCCAGCAGCTGGTACCCGATCGTGCTGGGGATTCTGCTTGGGCTCACGTCGAAGGCCGCACCCATCGGCGGGAAGGCGACGAGGACGATCGCGATGATAAAGTTCATCAGGCAGCCGGAGAAACTGAGGGTCGCGAGGATGGCCATCTTGTGCGCATTGCTCAACGCGTTGATGGGGTGGTTGGGCGGCAGGTCCGGGTTGCGCCCCGCCTGTTCCATGGCGTACCGAGCAGCAGGGTCTGTCGGGTCGCCGAGGCTGGCCTCGTCTACGCGCGGGAAGGGGTCGAGCTTCATGGCGGTTGGGCGGGGGCGGGGGTGTCAAGACTCTTGCCACTCGCAGTCTTTTAACCCCAGAGCGGCCCCGTTCACCCCATTCCCACTCTTACTCCCCCACCCCCACTGCAAACCCTGCACCCCATGGGCGCGGTTAGTATTTTGACAAGTTCAGTTAGTCGCCGTGCTTCAAAGTGATCGAGTAGAGACCTCATGTATAGATTTTTGCGCGGTCGCGCGTTGAGTGGCTGCGATGGCCTTGAATGGGCACACGCAATCTAGTCTGCCGAGATTGTTCCACGCAGCAGGCACCGCGGGCGGGAACATGGAACCCGACTGGTTCCTACGTCGGCGTCCGACCACCGTCTGCAGGCTGCAGGATGCAGCAGAGCCCCCGCGCATGGCTCAGCTAGAGCGGTAGAACCAAGAATGAGGCTACAAGGTTACGAGGTTATCAGCGGGAATTAGGTACTATCTGTTCACATGGGCTCGCACGTGCTCATGCCATCTCACTCTGTCCTCAGTCTGCACCTGTGATATATGGGGAGTGGGACCCGCTACACAGCAACCTTCTGCGCAATACAGCATCGCAGCTTGCTGTTCAACATTATCGCCTCCCCTACTCTTGACCGGGCCCCGCGGCTTGCCCCGCAGCTGTTCCCCACTCATCGCACCTCGCCCCCCCCGAATCCCCTGGCCCCCGCGCCGACGCACACATCTATCAAAAGGTGAGCTCGAGCGCACACTCAGGTCATGACGGGGATCGAACCCGCAGTCTTTTGATCACCGGCCAGGTCTTCGGAAGAGGAGGGGTCGTAGTCAAACGCGATGCCATTTCGCCACACGACCGACGGGTATTGTGAGTGTGGGCGGGCCCAAATTCGGTGGCGAGCTCACAGGTCATCGAGGAGCATGATCTGGCCAGCAGGAGTCAAGAGTAAACGGATGGAGCCGACAGACGAATGAAATGTGGAAGTTGCCCATGTTGAGGGTGCTGTGACCCCGGAGAGGCCCGATTATCGCGCTCGAAGAACTTCCGCTCTCCTTTACCCGCCTCCAGCTTCGATCGGCGTTCTTCAGAATAGAACTCTACTGCTGAGCCATAACTGGTCAGATGTCACCATTGATGCCTATGTTATGAGTTGACGGAGTGCAGAGTGAGCCGTCGCCACGGCATCCCAGGCTCAGACTTTCTGTGGGGACGTCAATGGCTGTCAGGACAGCGTGTACGCTTAAACATGTACATAATGTCCACCACTTAATCATGAGCGTTGGCTGCCGGCGATGAATGATTGGGTTACCTGGCGGGGACGACCTTCCTTGGTTCAGCGCGAGTTCAGATGGCCGAGGGTACTCACGTTTCCTCGACGGGGGGCCAATAGAACGGGCCGAGAGCATCCATGACATTGATGGGTGGTCGCCTCTTGTGACGATAGTCCGAGCGGCTATCCCCCGGGAGATGGAGCCAATGGGTGAGGGGTGTAAGAATTGGAACGACGATATCTAGCGGCGGCGGCAGCAGCGCATGAGGATTAGCAAAGAAGCTGATGTCGGGATAGGCGCCCACGGCAAGACCATACGCGATAGGAATGAACGACTCATTCATTTGGCACCACTGGGGCACTGTGAGGCAGTTGGGCCAGATGCGTCGTGGGCGGGGTGCTTTGAGCTTGGAATATTCATACTCCCACCACCTCCTCGCGCAGTGGCTGTTGTCAGTGGCTCGCTATTCCGACAGAGAGCGCGAGCCCCCGCTCCCCCCCCCCCCCCCCCCCCCCCGCCCCCAGGGTTACTCACAACTCGATGACCTTGTCCAGCACAGCGAGGGTAAAGCAGCGGTGGTCAATCAACTCCCGTTTGCCGGTACGCAAGGCCGTGGCCCATGTACGCGAGGCGTAACGCGCGCCTTCTCCTAACGCAAGGTCGCGGCGGCCAGTGAGATTAGAAGATGGAGGAGGAGCATTGGGAGCAAGCGAGTAGTCGATGCGGGGAAAGGTGAGGAGGTGGACTGGGATGTCCTCGAGCTCCATGGAGGTGGTGCGTTTGCGGGGCGTGCTCATCCTGGACAAAGCGGTGATGCGGAAGCGGACCAAGTCGTGGGAGGTGGATGGAGTGAATGCAAGTGGTGTCTTACGTTGTGGGAATCGACGAGCGAGGGTGCCACACAAACCACACGCGACGTGGAGACCCCGCATTCCCGCCCAGGTTTCCGCATTCCATTCGACTGCACTCGACTCGATTTCGTCACATGCTCTCTCGTTCTCGTCCACTCTTCTTCTCACGCATTCTCGCTCTCGACTCTCTCAGAATGCCCCGCCCAGCTGATAGCCCCGACGTTGCGGCCTCCAAGACGCTCGCGTACATCCTCCGCCACGGCGCCGAGAAGGAGGGCCTGCATATCCGTTCTGACGGTCTTGTGCGCCTCGACGATGTGGTGAGTCGCCACCGGGTGGACCGGCCGAGGCAGTAGCCACGCGGTCTAGACTGGCGCTACTCGCACTCGTGTTTGCGTGGATACGGCGCTGCCCTACTGGCTCCCTGCATTTCGGCTTCTGCTGACGCCAGCTCGCCCGTCCCAAGGTCAAGAACCTCAAGATCGACACCGAAGCTGTGTTTCGCCTCGTCGACGAGAACGCCAAGAAGCGCTTTGAGCTGGTGTTCGGGTACGACCCGAGCCCGCCCAAGCCGAAGAAGAAGCATGTCCAGGCGCCCCGGAAGAAACGGCCCCCGCCCCCGGGGTATGGCAAAGCGACGCCCAGCGAGGGATCGGGCGCGTCCACGCCCTCAGTCGAGGGCGTCACGGCCGGCGTGTCCGGCGTGCAGCTGACGGGGGCGACAGCAAAGGAGGAGAAGGAGGAGTGGAACGAACTGCCGTTCGTCAAGCTCCCCCCACCCGAGAGCTCGTTTGACTCGCCGGAGGGCGGCGGCGTGGCGGATGCGGATACGGGCCACACCGGGCAGTGGTATATTCGGGCTGTGCAGGGGCACAGCATAAAGCTCGAGGGGACGGGGCATCTCGAGCCGTTGCGGGCGGATGTGGAGGGCACGGCAAGGGCCGGTGTGCTGGTGCATGGCACGCGATGGGAGTTGTGGGAGACACTGAGTGAGTAGCGCAGATGGGCGAGGGCGTGAGCGAGCCGGAGGAGGCAGCTTCTGAGAGACTGTACAGGAAGAGGACACAGGACAAGCCACCGAGCAAGGAGGGGGAGGACATGTCAATTCGGACCACGCTGACATCTAGAGGAGAAGGGTCTGTCGCGCATGAACCGCCAGCATATCCACCTCGCGCCCGCTCACACCGGCCCAATTACCCCTCGAAACGGGTCCACTCTTCTCATCTACCTGGATCTCGCCAAGCTCCTCGCCGCCGACATTCCCGTCTTCGCTGCAGCGAACGGCGTCGTCCTCACGCCAGGCGACGAGCACGGCACCGTGCAAAAGGAGTTCTGGCGCAAGGCTGTGCACGTCTCCAAGGGACAACGGCAGGTGGTCTGGGAGAATGGGGCGCCGGCGGACCGCATCGAGCGCGAAGGCGAGGAGGCTTAGAGCAGTGATGTGATCGCAGATATCAATGCATACAACTAGCTACCGGAACGACTTGAGGCGCTCGAAGCGCGCCGCGAGCTCGTCCTCGGGCGTGGCTTTCTTGACGACCACTGGCCCCCGTGGCGCGGCGCTCTTCTCAGCGTTGGCCGGGGAGGGTGTGCGGTCCGCCCCGGCGCCCTCAACCTTGAGGCTCTCCTCCTTGGTCCCCTCGTCCCCGCTCCCTCGCCCCTCGTCGTCCTCGTCGAGCGGCGGAATGTCCTTGCCCACAGGCGCATACGGCACGCCATACCCCCGCGCAATCTCGGACAGATAGGCTTCCACGAGCTCGGCGGGGGGCGTGTACGTCGCGAGCTTGGAGAGAATGCGGGGCGGGACGCAGGCCGGGGGCGGGTCCGACGGCTGCAGCGACAGGGAGAAGTTGCGGCCGAACTTGTGCATCAAGATCTCGCGGAGCACATGCACCTCCTTGAGCTCGGTGCGCGGGGCGGCGTACACGATCGCGCACACCGCATCCGCGATCGATGGGTCTGGGTTCTCGCCGCTGTCATCAGCTCTCGCCGGCGCGCAACTCACGTGTTCTGGTCCAGGAGGCCGAAGCGCGCCTGCAGCGTCTCCAAGTACAGCTGGAGTCAGTCCGCGTCTACCCAGCTCGGTCGACCGCCTGACCGATCGCCCAACCCACTTCCAGCAGCTCGAGGAGCTCGACGTAGATGTCGTCCTGGATCAAGCCCTCGACGCGCAGCTTGGCCGTCTCAATCCGGCTCTTGGCAACGAGGTCGGCGATGTCACGGCGCGCCTTCTTGGCCAGCGCAAGCTTCTTCTCCTGCAGCGTCCGCAGCCGCTGTATCGACAGCTTGATTTGCACCTGGCATCAGATTTCCTCCATCCCCCGGCCTCCATCCTCCTCCCTAGCCCACCTTCGTGCGCGCCGCGTTCCACGGCTGCATGGTCCTTGTCGGCGAAGGCGGAATGGTGGGCGAGATGGGTGGTTGTTACGGCGAGGTTGGATGGTCGGGTGGCCAAGACAGCCGACGTCAGAGCGGAAGCAAAATGTCGGTGAGAGAGAGAGAGATCGCAATGCCTCCCAACGACGACTTTGCATCAACAATGTCGGCCGGAAAACACCTCTACCGCTCCCTTCTGCGCGAGCTCCGTCTCTCAGTGAGTGCTGTTGGACTGGAGGGGACAGGCGCTGTATGGCTCTGGAGCTGGGCAAGAGGGGAGGATGGAGCCGCTGGGTAACTGCCAGAGCGGATGGAGTCTCAGAACTCGGGCGGGACACTAACTCCAGTCCAACGTGCCGCGGGCGAAGCGGAACCCCGATGTTGCGGTGCACTTCCGCAAGATTGTCGAGGTGGGAGATGCGAAGGCCGTCGAGCGTGCGGTGCTCGAGTCGCGCGACTTCCTCCGTGCGAACAGGATATACGGGGTGAGTGAAGCGGAGCAAGCCAGACTGCGGCGAGGCGGCTGCCAGTCGAGCGTTTGCTGACGGCAGGAACTGCTCAAGCGGTACAACCCCACACACTCGATGAGCCAGGAGGAGCGTGTGAAGGCGACCGCGAGGCGCGTCGGCCTCGACGCGCCTTCAGAGTACAAAAGCGAGTAGGGTGTATGCATCTGTGTAGCTTTCTTGCGTGTGCGCTCTTCCAGCTCGTCCCGGCTTACTTGTAGTCGGCAGATCTAGCATGCTGCTCGTCACCAAGTGCTCGGCGGTTGAGAGTTGTGTCGCAAACCCGGGAGAAAATACTGGAGCCCCGTTAAAAGTTCAATGACGACTGGAGTTTGTTGTTGATGCTCTGTTCTCAATCTCCTCATCTCTGCGTCCACTCCGACATGCTGCGACCTGCTGCTCGCGCGCTCCTGCGCTTCCGCCCACCACTCCGTCCCCTCGCCCTCTCTAACTCTGCACCACCGCTGCCCTCGTACATCTCATCTACCCATGCTCTCCCCGCTCTCCTCTTCAGGCGACACCAGTCCACGTCAACAGAAACCGAGCCAACGCCGACAGAATCGACGTCCGCGGTCACAGACTCTGACCTTGTACCAGCCTCTATCTATGCGCACGCACCAGATCCCAAGCGAGCCACGTCCGCCGCGGTGCGCGAGCAGCTCCGCCGCCTCGGCGAGATGATCGAGCGGACTGCCGCAACACAAAAGGGCAAGAAGGCCGTCGTAGGCGAGTATCCCGACCAGAAGGAACTGCTCGAGTTGTAAGTGCCTTGTCCCCCTCAACCTACCTGTCTATCACATGCTCGTCTTTCCTCTCCGCTCTGGCACCATGCTGACCATAGCGTCCTCGACAAGAGCGTCCCCGCGTTCGTCCTCACTGTTCGGGGCATAGAATTGTTCCTCGAGAAAGAAGCCCCAGGACACCGCGAGTTCATGACCGTACCCACTCCTCCAGAGACTCTGATGGACCTGTTCCGCCTGCTGTCCGCGCAGCGGCTGACTGGCAACTCTTTGCGCGCGGCCGTCGCCCAGTTCCTCCTATACCACGGCATCATAGGGAACGCCCGAGACTTCAAGAACCCTACCTACATCGTGTTCAGCCGCCTGCTCAGTCGCAAGCTTATGTGTGGCATTGCGTACCCCTTGCTCTCGTCCGTTGAGTGGCAGACACCAGAGGTGAAGAAACTGAAAGAGCTAAAGAAGGCTGCCCCGAAGCCAGCAGCAAAGTCAGCAGCAAAGCCAGCTGCGAAACAGGCTACACCGCAGACCAAACCCACGACCGCAAGGACAAGTCCTCCGCCACCGGCAGGCTCTTTTCCAGAAGTCGAAGAAGAGCCTTTGCCTGAGCCGCGCGTTGTCGAGGAGCCAAAGATATTCAAGGTCGCGCTCGGCCAGGCCACACAGCCGCCGTTTGACCCAGTCTTCGAGGACGGCAAGTGGTACGCGTCGCGCAAGCTCGACGGTCTGCGCTGCATTACATATCTTGACTTTGCCGTGCCGCGCTCGGGCGAGCCGTGGCTTGTCGACGTCCGCTTCCTCTCTCGATCCGGGAATGAGTTCGCATCGCTCGAGAACCTCAAGAAGGACATCTGGCGGAATCTCCCCGGCTTCCCTGGCCTGAGGGATCTCGTGCTCTTCGACAACTCGTCTCCCGAGAAGAACGGGCGGCGGCGTCTCGTTCTCGACGGAGAGGTGTGCGTCATGCGACCCCTCACACCAGAAGAAGCCGCCAAGGTCGATCACGGAACGGCGGGCCGGCTGTGGGAGGACGACGGGCTGACAGAGGACTTCCGCGCGACCGTTTCGCAAGTCAAGCGCAAGTACAGTGCCGTGCAGTATCCCGCCTACTTCCTGTTCGACGTGCTGCACTGGTCAACCTTCGCTGGCGCGCCAGCAGTAGAGGATGAGACTTTTGCGCAGCGACAGAAGCTCGTACAGGAGCTCGGGGCATGGCTGTCGCGTTACCAGCAGAAGCGGGGCTTGGTCCGCGCGCTCCGGCAGGAGGAGATTGTGAGCCGCGAGCAGCTGAATGAAATGGTTGAGCGCGCCGCGCGCGAGGGCTGGGAAGGACTCATGCTGCGCAAGGACACGAAGTACAAGGCTTCGCGAAGGTGAGATGCGGTGCCAACTGCGCTGACGGCAGCTCGAGCCTGCTCAAGTACAAGCAGTGGCAGGACGCCGAGTACGAGGTTGTGGACATCGAGACGTCGACGCAGCGCCTCGCCGTGGACGGGAAGTTTGGCGAGTACGAGGCCCTCGCGGCCGCAATCATCGAGCATGAGGGCCACCGCGTGGCGGTCGGCTCGGGGTGGACGGCGCTGCAGCGGCTGCGGTTCCGGCGCCCCGAGAACATCGTCGGCAGCACAATCACGGTCGAGTACTTTGGCGTGAGCGAGGTGCCTGGGCGCGAGGGCAAGAGCTTGCGGTTCCCCCGCGTCAAGGCGGTGTATGACGGGCCAAGGGACGTTTAGCATTGCATGCATGCTTCACCAGTTCTGGGTGAGGAGCTGTTACGAGCACCGCCCCGGCCACTGACGGCGACACGTGCCGGCTCTGTGGAATGCTGACGGCGACTGCGTCATTGTGATTTGCAGCGCCGGCATTGTGTTCCGCAGTTACCGCTGAGGCCCAATGTTACGCAAATTTCATGCTTTGCCTGTAGCCAGGTCCCGAGTGCTTCCTGCGTGGAGCGGCGTGGAGCAAGGTAGTGCGTTGCGGAGACCCCTTGCGGGGCCAAGAGCTACAGCTGAATATACACTGGCGCCGACGGACCTCACATGCTCAGCCTGATGAATGTGCGCAGCACTCACACCAGCAAACTAGCAAGCTAACGAGCTGACTACAAGACGCACATGCTTTCGCATGGGTTTCGGATCTCGCACCAGTCTCATCGCACACTCACGCCTTCTAACGCTTGCAGACAGCTCAAATTCACACAGTCGCCTGGATCCCCTTCGTCACACCATTCGTCCTGTCCCCGCACCCATGCGCCTCGCTCTCACTACCGTGGCGCTCACCGCGACGGCGCTTGCCGACCCCCTTGGCCGTGTCGGCTTCCGCAATCACGCCGAGTTTAAGGCGCGCCGCGCAGCAACCATGGCTGAGTTGCACAAGCGACAGAACAACACCACTCCCGCGCGCTACAGAAACGACAAAACGCAGCGTGAGCGTCGTTCAAGCGGAGCTAAGCGCAGCATACTACGTCGCGTCCATGCCTGAAGTCAACTTTGACTTTGGCGAGATGTACGCCGGCATGATCCCGCTTGACCGCGCAAACCCCATCGCTGCAGCGAGCCCCACGCCCAGTGGCGAAGACGACGCCCTCTTCTTCATCTTCAAGCCGAAAGACGGCGAGCCCGTTGACGAACTCACGATCTGGCTAAATGGCGGGCCGGGCTGCTCATCCATGGAAGGCTTTCTTCAAGAGGTCGGGCCGATCAACTGGCTGGCTGGCACATTCGCACCCGTTCCCAACCCGTACGCGTGGTCCAACCTAACCAACATGCTCTTCGTCGACCAGCCGGTCGGGACGGGCTACTCGACGGGCACGCCCACAGCCACAAGCCAGGAGGGCATCGCCGCCGACTTCCTCAACTTTCTCCGTCGGTTCCAGGACATCTTCGGCATCGCCAACTATAAAATCTACGTCACGGGCGAGAGCTATGCGGGCCGCTACGTCCCGTACATTGCGAATGCGATGCTGGATGCAAACGACACGACTCACTTTGACATGTCCGGCATCCTCATTTATGACCCCGTTATTGGCAGCTACGACTACATGAACGAGCTAGCGGCGTACCCTTACATCGAAGCGTACAACAACGTATTCAACTTCAACGCATCATTCCTCGCCGAACTGAAGCAGGCACACCAGGACTGTGGTTTCGAGGCCCGCAACAAACAGTACCTCACGTTCCCTCCCGCACGCAACCAGCCGCAGCTCACATGGGACATTTCGAACCCCGCCAACCGGAGGTGCGATGTCTTCCTCGCAGCCATGGTCGCCGAGCTCAGCATTAATCCCTGCTTCAACCCTTACGACATTGTGAGCTTATGCCTTACCCTACTTACCGCAGGTTGAGCCTTGCCCGATCCTCTGGGACGTCCTTGGCTTTCCTGGTCTAACGAAGTGGACGCCGCCTGGCGCGGAGGTATATTTCGATCGAGCGGACGTCAAGGCCGCGCTGCACGCCCCCGCCATCAACTGGACGCAGTGCGCGGTAGGCGATGTGTTCGTCGCCGGGGCCGGTAAAGCCGGTCCGCACCAGAATGGGGATACCAGCGCGGATCCGATTCAGGCTGTACTTCCGCGGGTCATTGACGCGACGCAGCGTGTCCTCATCTCCAATGGCGACTTCGACTACATCGTCATGACGAATGCTACGCTCCTTTCCATTCAGAACATGACGTGGGGCGGGCAACTCGGATTCCAGGCCCCGCCGGCGGCGCCGTTCAACGTCGAGATCGTCGACGAGGCGTGGGAGGACGCGTATGCGGCATCAGGCTTGTTGGGCATTGCGGCAACGCCAGGCCAGATGGGCGTGCAGCATTATGAGCGCGGCCTCATGTGGGTGCAGGTGTGGGGAGCCGGCCACATGCTCCCCATGTACTCGCCGCGCGCGGCGTACTTGCACCTGCAGTGGGTCCTTGGCCGCATCGACAAGTTTTGAAGGAGTCCCAGATTGCAGCAGAGGACTAGTGAGAACGCGGTTTGTCAGGCAGACAGTCCTTTTATCCGCTTAATGTCATAATACACATTCCTTCATGATCCTGTACAACTTATAGCACGTACGCCTACGATTGCCGATTCTTACTACGCCTTGGGCTTGGTCGCGCGGATAAACGCGCTCATCATGGCGCCATCGATGGCCACGAGCTGGGCCTCGGCGTCCTCTGGCGTGCGACCAGACGCGATCTCCTCGGCGTCCTGGCGCGTGTATACGCGCGTGGGCTCGATCGAAGCTCCCTCAAACCCCGCAGCCTTAAGCTTTGCGAGGTACTCACTCTCCGTCAGCGCGCCGGCGATACACCCGGCCCAGAGCTCGAGGTTCTTCTGCGTGGCAGGCGGCAGAGGGCGAGTAAGCACGATGTCGGAGACGGCGAAGCGGCCTCCGGGGCGCAAAACGCGTGCGGCTTCGGCGAGCACCGCGTCCTTGTCCGGGCTGAGGTTGATAACGCAATTACTGATGATGACGTCCACGCTCCCGTTGTCGAGGGGGATACTCTCAATGTTGCCCTGCAGGAACTCGACGTTTTCCACGCCGGCTGTAGAGGCATTCTTGCGCGCCAGCGCGAGCATTTCGGGCGTCATATCGAGCCCGATTGCGCGGCCGGTGGGGCCAACACGCCGCGCGCTCAAAAGCACATCGATGCCGCCGCCCGAGCCGAGGTCGAGCACCGTTTCGCCGGGCGCGAGGGATGCGAGCGCCGTCGGGTTCCCGCATCCAAAGGAGGCGAGGACGGCGTCGGGCGGCAGCACCGACGTCTCGTCCGTAGAGTAGAGGTTGCGCGTGATCGGGTCCGTGCCGGAGAGTGCGGTGGCCTTGGAGCCGCAGCACGAGGCGTCGCCGGACGCGGGCGCGGTCGCGGTCGCGGCCGTCACGGCAGTCGCGTACTTCTCGCGCACGAGGTCGCGCGTGCCGTCGTCGCCGTTGGCGGGGATGCGTGAGGATGCGGCGCAGGACATGGCTGTCAGTGTTCGAGATGCCAGAGATCGAACGTGGAGGATGATAAATGATGACGGTCACATGAAGGAGGGCCCCTCGGGCTTTGTCAGACTCGGCCGGAGCAACTTGGTTCCGCCCAGGCACGGAGGCTGTGGGAGAAAAGTTGATCCGCCCCCCACGTTTGTAATCCCGACTCGCTCCTCTCGATCTATCTCTCTCTCTTGGCATAAAACTCTGTCACGTTCTTTCTGTTTCTCTTCTTTCTCTTTATCCATCCAGTCCATAGCCCACCATGAGCACTCTCGAACGCCGCCGACCGGCCTCTACCGCCGAGAATGAGAACAGCAGTATCAGCGTTCCCGACGAGCAGGACTACACGCCCCAGCGCCGTGTCACTGCCCGAGAGCTGTTCAAGGGGCTGTCGTGGCTCGACCGCTTGCTCTCCATCCTTATCCTTGTGGCAATGATACTTGGTGTGGTGATTGGTAAGCCTTTCGAGTAGCGGAGGCGGTGCTGACGCAAGGCAAGTTTGTGCCCAACACCAAGAAAATCCTCTCCGGCGCTACGCTTGACGGCGTGTCCATTCGTGAGTCGCCACGCCGGCGCCGCTCACCCCAGCCATTGTCATCGGCCTGCTCGTCATGATGTGGCCTATCCTCACCAAGGTTCAGTACGAGCGCTTCGCGCGCATCTTCGGCACCTCGCATATCTGGAAGCACCTGGCTATCTCGATCGTCCTGAACTGGCTCATCGCGCCCTTCGTAAGCCTTCTCCATATTATCATCCTAACCCCAGCTCATGCTCGGCCTTGCGTGGGCCACCCTCCCCGACCAGCCGACGTACCGCACCGGCGTAATCATCGTGGGTCTCGCGCGCTGCATCGCCATGGTCATGATCTGGAACCACCTCGCGCGCGGCGACATCAACTACTGTGCCATCCTCGTCATCGTCAACAGCGTGCTCCAGATCGCCCTCTTCTCGCCCATGAGCATCTTATTCGTCAACATCCTCTCCAGGGAAGACGCCCTTCGCCTCGAGTACGGCAAAACGGCCATCGCCGTGCTTATCTACCTCGGCATCCCGCTCGCGGCCGGCGTCGTCACCCGTTTCGCCATGCTCGGCATTCTGGGCCGCCGCCGGTTCGAAAACGTCTTCCTGCCCTGGTTCAGTCCCCTGTCTCTCCTTGGCCTCCTGTACACCATCATCATCATCTGCGCCGAGCAGGCGACGCGCATCCTCGACAACATCGGCCTCGTGTTCCGCGTCTTCGTCCCCCTCACGCTTTACTTCGTGCTTATGTGGGCAGGCACATTTGCGCTCGGCTTTTACCTCAACCACAAGCGCGGCGCCGCCGCTGGATACTCGTACGAGGCCGCCGTCGTTCAGTCCTTCACGGCCGCGAGCAACAACTTTGAGCTCGCGATCGCCGTATGCGTCGCAGTGTACGGCGTTGACTCGGACCAAGCTCTGGCCGCCACCATCGGCCCGCTCGTCGAGGTTCCCGTCCTCCTTCTCCTCACGCACGTCGCCCTGCTCCTGCGCGCCAAGCTCAAGTGGGATGTAACCGAAGAGGTTGATCTTGAAATGGAGCCCCTCCCCGCTGCCGGGGCGCCCGCCGCCGCGTCAACGCACACCGTCAAGGCCGAGTAGAAGTAGCTCAACCCCCCCCTTCCACAGACCATAGATGACAGTATGCACAAATAATCTAACACTAGTCTACAACAGCTAGCAGCTAGTCTACAATGGACTCGGCGTCCGAGTCATACTCGTCCGCGAGGGATCGGAGGGGGGTTTCTTCCTCCTCGCCCTCCTCCTCCTCCATGTCCATCGCCGCCGGCGAAGCCGTGAAGCCGGTGGAGGGGCGATACGGCGCCGAGTCCTCCTCGATCTGCGCGGCGACGAGCGCGTCCATCTCCCCAGGCGTGACGGGCACGAACACCGCCAAGCGGTCCAGCACGGCGTCGAGCGAGTCCCAGTCGATGCCCCCGCGCGCGCGCTGCCCCGGCACAATGGGGGGCATGTGGTCGAAGTCGTGCTCGTCAAGCGGGCGGTGTTCGTGTTCCGTCTCAGGCTCGGGGCTTTCAATGCGCAGCGGGGAGCGGCGGCCGCCGCTTACGTCCGCCGACACGGGCGTGCGCGCGCGCGCCGTCGCGCGCTCGATGCCCTCGGCAGCTTCGCTGGCGCGACGCTTCCGCGGCGCCGCGTCGGGATTCGGCGTTAACGTCGCCGGCGGGGCGAGCTCGACGCCGTGCCCCGCCAATCCGAGCCCGCCGGCACTCTCCTCCGCCTGCGCTTGAACCTGCGGATGGGGCTGTGCCGCTGGCGACGCGACGCGCCGCAGCGTCGCACCACGGCTCAGCTCGACGATGTACCGGCACAGCTCGGGGGGGAGGGGGGAGAGCTCGCCGAGGACGGCGGCCATGTCGGCGGCCACGCCGCCCTGGCGCGCTGTCGCGAGCGGGCGCAGCGCCGCCGTGCAGTCCAACGCACCCAGGCGGAGCACGGAGGCGGCGGCGACGTTCGCGAACGCTTGCAGTGCGTTGGGGTTGAGCCTTGGCCCGGGCGGGAAGACGGAGGGGTCGTCGGGCGCCAGGAAGGAGTGGGGGAGGCGGTCGAAGGCGCGCGTCGTCTCCAGTGACGCGTACGGTATCCCTTCGCGCTCGTGGGGCGGGATGTGTCTGGCGTTAGCGCTAGCTGTGGGCAGTGAGGGAGGGAGAGTCAGATAGGAGCGAAAGACTAGATGGATATGTGTCGATCATGGGGTTCTGATTGAACTATGCATTGTATCATCACGAGATGGGTGTGGAGAGCGACTCACGGTGTTCGTGTAAAGTTTGCGGAGCGGGGTGGTGTGACTTCGATCGCGATGCGGCTCGGGCCGAGCACGTACATCCGCACAAGCTTGTGCCCGATGACAGCCCACGCGAGGACGGCGCCGCACATCTCGTTGGCGGCGAGCAAATGGAAGAGCGAGTGTGCTAGTCCAGTGCGCGCCATAAAGTCGCGGAAAGTACGCGTCGCCATTGCGACGTCGTAGCGGTAGTTGTCGGCGGCGACGTCGCGCGCAATCCCTTCAGGCTGGACGTCAGCATCGCCCAAGCAAACAAAACAGCGGCCCACTCACGACACGCCCGTCGGCGTGCAGGGCGACGCGCTTGCCGCGCGCGCGCTGCCGCTCAGTGAGGGCGGCCATGATCTCGGCCTCGCGCCCGGCGTCGCGTACCTTGGACCACGCGTGTGCGTCGAGCCAGCGCTCGACGTCGCCGCGGCGCGGGCCGAGCACGACCTCACCCATGCCCTCGCCGACGCTCCACACGTCGCCGTCGTCCGTGACCTCAGCATAGAGGATGTAGTTTGGCTTGTCGATGCGCCGCGAGCCTTCGGGCGACGGCGGCGCCAGCGCGCGGTAGAGGTTGAACACGCGTGTGTCTTTGAACTCTTGGCCCTCGCGCGTGCTGAATGACGACAAGAAGGAATAGTCGTGCGGCGCAAGCACAGAGTCGCCGACCTCGAGGCGTCGCGTGCCGCACAGCGTGCTGTGTACGCGCCGGTAGACGCCGTACAGAAGAGCCTCGAGATCGGCAGCGTCCGCGGCGCTGCACCCCGTACTTGGTGCAGCGTAGAGGCCGTTGGAGGCCGGCAGCTGGGTGGCAAAGTATGCCGCGAGGTCGGACCACGAGTCTTCGAGATCGCGGACGTCGAGACGCAGGTGGGCGGGCGCTGCGCCGCCCAGGCCCAGGAAGCTGTGGGGCGGCGCGCTGGCGAGCTCAAGCTCGAGCGCGGTAGCTGGGGCGCTCATGGCGAGCGGTAGTTTTGGTTTTGGGCAAGCAGTCCGGAGTATGGATGGAGGCAGTGGGGAAGAGAGCAAAGAGTAAAGTGGGTGCCGGGAGGCGAAAGTTGACGCCACGCTTGGGCTGAGGATGCTTGAAGTTGAAGAGCGCGCCGACGGTCGTGCTTGGCTTGGCCCAGGCTTGCAGCTGGTCGGATTGGCCTGGATGAGGAGAGCAAAGATGCGTGCAATCGGCCAAACGGCGAGCGTGCTTGTGGAAACGTGCGGTGTGCAGGCGTGTCAGCTGTGAGCAGTACAAGCGGAATGGAGACTGGACAGCTGGACAGCTGGACAGCTGAACAAGGACAAGCAACTGGTGACCAATACGTTCGAGTGGATTGGCCACAGACAATGAAATGATATCGTTAGTGTCTTTTTTTATCGGCCGATGCAGTCATCAGGGACCGCCATGCCACAAATACTCCACCCAGCGTATCACCACATCCTTATTCCACTCCACCGCTGACAATTGCACGCCCCGCCACTGGCTGCTGCGCACAACACGACGTCTTGCTCCGCCCCGCGGGCCCGGGGCGCTGAGGGCCACTAGGACCACGGCGACTGATGAGACGGCGGACGTGGGAGACGCAGGTGGGGGGGTGGGGGGTGTGCTTCGGCCGTCGGGCCTGCCTCTCCGAATGGTATCAGGGATGGCGGAACATGAAAGTTTGGGTGGTGGGTACTCGCTCACCCAGCCTCGAGTTTGGCAAAGACAAGCGTCTGATTGGCCTCGACATTCTCGCCCGATGCATGTCTCACGCGCGACACGATGGCGCCGGCCTTGGGCGCCTTGGCACGCTTGCGCGATCGGCCGGCGTTGGCGCAGACAACGTGCCATGTAGCGACGGCGCGGCGAGGATACCGAGCCGCAGCGTGTGCCACGTAGCGAGCTGTGGGGGTAAGCGAGGATGATGGCGTGTGCCAAGCTGAGGGGGCCAGATGCTGACCGAGGCCACGTCGGGGGCGGCCTCACAGACGCGTCGGCGGGGACGCGTCGACGTCTTCCGAAGCTATGCAGGAACGGACTCCGTCTTCGGAGTCAGCGGAACATGTCTTTCGGGTCGCCCCTAACGTCACAGGCACACCCGCTGCTGTTCTGTGAAAAGCGCTCGCCGTCGCAGTGCATGGTCATTGGCTAGCTGCCGCACAAGCAGATATCTTGGCCATGTACGTACAGCGCGTCCATCCAGCGCGGTGGGCAGTGTCGGCCTACTGCACGCGCCTGCCAATCCCCGCAGTCAGATCTGGCAGCGTGAATGGAGGGGCAAGCGGGGAGCGCTCTTGGCACATTGCTACGCGCGCACCCAAGCGAAGCCCCAAACGAACGGCCATTTCTGCTCGTAACAAACTGCATTCCAAGATTCGAAGGTCTGGCTCGGCGCGTCCCCACCCGCCAACCATCTGGTGCGGATTCCAGCCATGCAGTGCGGGAGGGCGGAAGGAGGGGAGGCAAACTCTATCATGCACGGCCGAAATGGATAGCCGAGGGAGATGCGTGCCTTGTTCACATGTTTTTGACAGCACTTGAAAGTCAGATAGAGGAGATCTGAGAGAACGCCTGGAATAATCACGGCTTTACATGAACGCATCGCGCATCGCAAGCAGCCACAAGAGGCGGGACGCGGACAAGAGGTGACACTGCAGCCAACCATCTGCGACTCACGTGCCGATCACGCGACACTGCAAATATCGCCGCTCGCTGCTGGAATCGAACCATCGCCCTGCATGACAATCACTTGTCGCGTGTCATCGCTTGTGTCTCGATCACCTGAATCAAAGACCTCGGCGCAATGATATCCTCCCCACGGAGTGCTTATCGCCCTCGCATTCCCATCTGATGCCTCCCATCATAAGCGCCGTTTCCGCCGCAAGCAAAACGAGTACCCATGCAGTGCATGCAGTGCTGAGAGATGTCTCACAGCGGGCACTTTAGCACGCCCAATTCACTTCCAAACGGAATCAAACACCGTCGGAATGGCAGATCGGCATGATATCAAAAGTAGACAGTCCGCCGCCGCCGCTGCCCCCCTCCCTCCCCCCGCCGTCGTCATCATCGTTGAATCGTCTTTTACTCCATCTCTGTCATGCGTTCCGACATGTTCCCGCGCCGTTTTATCATGCGCGCGCGTTGGGTCGCATTGGCTTTTATCACTCTCTGGCTCTACTGGTACTATTACATCTATCCAGACTGGCTAATCAAATGGGAATCCATTGAGCGCCAGCGTCCAAATCTCTACAACGCCCTCCTCCCCGCCTACCTCGCCCACCACTACGCCGACAAGACAAGGCCAGAACGCGACAACTATGAGGCCCTTCCCAGCCTCCTCAACGCCCCGTGGCCCGGCAGCTGGCCGGTCCCCAAACTCACTGCGCCCAAGTACGAGAATGGCACGCTTGTGTCCCCCGCCCTCCTCATGCTGCATGTCATGAGCACACCGAGCGTCGCGGGCGCGGAACGGCGCGCGTTCCTCCGTTCAGTTACTCCCCTCAAGACCGTCCCGCCAGAGTACAGGCACCTCGTCGAAGTGCGCTTCGTCCTCGGATACCCTCCCGACGGGGACAAGTGGGTGCACCGCAAGGAGCTCGATGCGGAACAGGCGGCACACGGCGACCTGTTCTTCCTGCATGGCCTCGCGAAGGGGGGCGAGAACATGAACAACGGCAAGACTATTGCGTGGATGGAGACTCTCGCCGCGTACCCTCGCCCTACTCAGTACATCATGTGCGTTCCCGTGCTACCGGCCTTCCTTGCAGGCACTGACAGCAGCAAATGCGATGAGGACACGCTCCCGCTCCTCCCCAACATCCTCGATTGGCTAGTCACTCTTGACCCCGCACAGCCCACCTATTTTGGCACGACACTAACGCGGTGGTGGGGCTACATGCACTACTTCGAGGGCATGATGTACGGCTTCAGCTCGAATGTGATCAAGACGGTCGGCGCGGCCGAAATTCCAAAAGACTGGGCCACGCAAGACTGGGACGAAGACGCGCGCACCGGCGAACTCATGGTATGTCACCATGTTTGTGATGCTGATACAGTTCTCCCTTCCAACCAAACCCGGCGTGGACCCCATGTCCATCCCCAATGATCATTCCGGCTCTTTCATCAACATGGCCCGCAACCCGCCCGTCATGGAGGACATGAACACGCTGCGCCTCCCACGCAACCCCGACCCGCGCTCGGGGCTGCACCGCATCGATCTCAAGTGGCGGATCGCCGACTGGGGACGGTGGTGGGTTTCGGACCCCCACTCGGCCCTCGCATACCACCGCCTAAAGCATGAGAGGGTGAGTGACCGAGCGTTGTGACCCGTCGCCCCGTCGCCAGAACAAGCTGTATCGCCAGTACAAGCTGACATGTAGGACTACAAGGAGGCGTGGGAAAAGGTGCAGCGCGCCTGGCGGTGGCGTGCGTTCGTGTGGCGCCCGCCGTTCAGAATGCGCTCGCTCCGCGATCCTAACCCGCCCAAGCATTAGACAGCCTCGCATTGACACCACATTGTCCCTGATAACTGAGAAGCCCGTAAATGTCTGTAGCATAGTCACAGAGTATGGATAGTACGTTTGTACTTATCACAGTGAGGATGGGGTTTAGGGGGGAGGGTAGGACAGAGGTTAGTTTACAGGAAGGTGCGAGAGAGCAGCCGCGCTATGGGGCCGAGCAATCGCAGAGACAGCGCCGAAACTCGTGGCTCATCTCTCTACCCAAACACGGTGGTCAATGCACACCCCCGAGATCGAAGCAAGTACTTGTGCAGCCAGAGCGTTGATGTTGCTTGCAGGGGTGCTGATCACACCGTCGGTGTTCTGCTAATCTGTGAATCTGGGCAATAGATAACGGTCAAATCATGCCCATCACCCAATCCCGGGGTAACGGCATGCCCCTCGCTGGCCTCATTGTCGTTCGCTTCCACGCCACACCATCTACCTGTATCTTCGCCTCAGAGACCTCTTCTTGCTCAAAGAGTCGCCATGCACACTGCGCCGTGTCAAGACGTGCCTCCGGCCCGTCGCACGACTGCGGCCTCTCGGATATCGGCCCACCTTCGCAACACGCTCCCACCGACCCGGCACGTCCCTCACCAATCGCTCTGCATGCATTGGTGCCGGTGGGCTGGAGGTGGTTGCGCCGTGTCAATCGTTGCCGTCATGTGACGCGGCTTGGGCCGTTATCTGTCATCGGCGACCATCTTGCATCTTGGCGTGGGAGCAAGCATGGACACACACATCGTACATATACAAGCCGCACTATAGCATGCATTACCACCATGACCACCAGCAGCCCGACCATGACCCGTAGCCTGACCCAGAAACGCATTGACGCCGTGCTGGCGAAGCGCGACGCCGGCATCCCGCCCGAGTGGCGCCCCTCGCGTGGCGCCCCGTCCCTCCTGGACGCGAAGGAGCGCGCGATCATCGCGCTCTCCGCGACGGCGTTGCGCGACGAGCTCGCGGCCGGCCGGCTTACAGCCGTCGCCGTCACCACCGCATACTGCAAAGTCGCCGCCGCTGCGCAGCAGGCGACCAACTGCCTCATCGAGCTGTATGCTGACGACGCGTTGGCCGCCGCGCGGCGCCTCGACGCCGAGTTCGCGCGCACCGCCCGTCCCGTCGGGGCACTGCACGGCGTGCCCGTCAGCCTGGCGGACGACGTGTGTGTGCGGGGACACGATGCGGCGGCCGGCTTCCTCTCGCTCGTAGACAAGCCAGCGGCGGAAGACGCGCACGCCGTGGCGATCATGCGCGATGCAGGCGCCATCTTTTTCTGCCGTGCGTCCTCCCCCGTCCTCTCTGACAACAGGCACAACGAAAGCGCAAGTCCTCGCCCTCGAAGCCGAGGGATATTTCGGAACGACCACAAACCCCGCGAACGCGGCGCTGACGAGCGGGAGCGGCGAAGGCGCGCTGCTCGGCATGCGCGCTTCGCCGCTCGGCGTGGGCACCGACGTCGGCGGCGGCGTGCGCGCCCCCGCCGCCGCGACGGGCGTGTACGCATTCAAGCCGACGTCGGGCCGCCTGCCGTCCGTCGGGGCGAGCGTAATCCACCCGGCGGGATGGCACGGCATGCCGCGCACGCCGGGCGTGCTCGCGCGCGCCGCCCCCGACCTCGAGCTGTACATGGCGCTTATGTGCGGCAGCACCCCGTGGCGCCGCGACCCCGCGCTCTCCGTGCAGCCGTGGGTGCCCGCCCAACGGCGCAAGTTCCGCGTCGGGATACTGCGCGACGACGGCGTCGTCGCCCCCGTCGAGGCTGTCGAGCGCGCGCTCGAAATCGCCGCAAACCGCCTCCGGCGTACGTGTGACGTGCGGCCTTTCGAGCCGTTCCACAGCGCGCGCGCGTGGGACCTCGTGCGCCGCCTGTACTGGCCAGACGGCGGGGCGCGGGTCATGGACGCGCTCGCGGACTCGGGCGAGGAGGTGCGCCCGCTCACGCGTTGGATCATCGAGCAGAGCGGGCATGCGGGGCGCAGCATGGGCGCCGAGGAGCTGTTCGCGCTCTGCGCGGCACGCGACGAGTTCAGGGCACGCCTCGCGGCGCATTGGGAGGCCGCGGGCGTAGACGTCGTCCTCATGCCGGTTGGGCCGACGCCGGCCCCGAAGCACGGCACGGCGAAGTACTGGAATGTAAGGCGCAGAAGGGACGAGCTGACGGCAGTACACGTCGTATTGGAACCTCGTGGATTATCCCGCCGGCGTGTTCCCCACTGGCTTGGTCTGCGACAAGGAGGATACGCATGACCCGTACTGCTTTCCGCGTAATAGCGTCGAGAAGGAGATATGGGATAGCTACGATCCCGAGGCTCAGGCTGGCGCCCCGCTCTGCCTCCAAGTTGTCGGGCAGAGGGGGTATGACGAGGACACGCTCGCGGCGCTACAGGAGATCGCGGCGGCCGTGCAGGCGTAACGCGGGGTGTACAGGAAGTCTTGTTAGTCAAGTGTGCTGGAGTGTAAGGTCGAGCCTGCACCAGCGGCAAAGACCGCTGCAGACACTGCAATATGACGTGAGATGGACAATGAACTGGGACCCCTTGGGTGGCGAGGAAATTTCGCAACTCGAAACGCGTTTCGTCAAACGGGGAGAAGCGGCGCGGGAACCTATCCCGCCCCCTGCCAGTTACGCGTTCCGCGCCTGCGCACTCTGCGGAAGGTGGTGTTTGATCGACACGGGAGGTGTTAGTATGTTGAGCAATGCAAGGTTGCGCCTCGTCAGCGCAGACGACGCAATTGATGACGATAATGCGGGGTAGTCTCATGAGAATGCGAGGGAGGACTAGCCACAATGCACTAGCGGGATCCGGATGCTGAGATCATCGTGCAAAGTGGGGTGGTGTCATGAAAAAGCGAGGAAAACGGGAGCACTAGTCCAGGCCTAGCTGAGGGCGAAAACGATGAGCGCTCTTCGCTGAGAAAATCACAAGCCATGCACTGCATTTGGCTAGATAACGGAAGCTAGGGACGGGTCGTTGACGGACGTTTGAAAACGGGGCCGCACTAGGCGGAGGCGGTGCCGCGCTACGGCGACCGCGAAGTTGGGAGGTAATGGATTGATGGAGTTGTACAACCCCGCTTAGTTGCCAACGAAGCGGGGGACGTTCTCGGCGTAGTTCTTGCGGGTCGACGCGGCGTCCCAGCCGCCCATGTTCGGGGTGGGGTCGTACACGCACTGGAAGAAGATCTTCTTGTCGTTGCCGGCGCCAGGCGACGCGTCCTTGCATCCGATCTTCCAGCCACAGCCGACCTTGGTCACGGCCTTCCAGGTCATGGCGGTGAAGTGGCCGGTCTCCATGGAGAAGCCGGGGTTGTTCCAGTCGTAGAGACGCCACTCGTTGGCCCAGCCGGCGATGAGCTTGTGCACGGGGAAGTTGACGCTGCCCGAGCCCCACAGGGCCGAGAGGTTGTCAGCACCAATGTGCTCCCACTTGCATGTGCCCATGGCGTTTGCGGCCTTCTGCGCGAGCCCGGCGTCCCACTGAAGCGCGGGGACACCGAACTGCGCGCGCCACTGGTTGTGGTAGTCGAGCGCGAGCTTTGCCTGGGCTGTCGTGCCGGCGATGTCGGCCGCAGTCGAATCCTGAGTGGCGAGAGTCAGATCGTTGGCGAAGGGGAGGGTCGGCTGGCCCGCGACTTTCTCGGCGGCGGGCGTGGCGGCGGGCTCGTTGGTCGAGGTCGCGCTGGGGGTGGGGGTCGGGGCGTCGGCCGGGCGCTCAGCGACCGACGACGAGTCGACAGGAGCCGGGGCGGGCTGCTCAGGCTGAGGCGAGGGCTGCTCGGGCTGAGGCGCCGGCTGCTCAGGCTCAGGAGCGGGCTGCTCGGGCTTGGGCGCAGGCTGCTCCGGCTGAGGGGCAGGCTGCTCGGGCTTGGGAGTAGGCTTGGGGACAAGAGGGCAAGGCGGCGAGGTCTGGGCGGACTTGGAAGGCTCAGGAGCGGGCTGCTCGGGCTGAGGGGCAGGCTGCTCAGGCTGGGGGGCAGGCTGCTCAGGCTGGGGGGCAGGCTGCTCAGGCTGGGGGGCAGGCTGCTCAGGCTGGGGGGCAGGCTGCTCAGGCTCAGGAGCGGGCTGCTCGGGCTGAGGGGCAGGCTGCTCGGGCTCCGGCGCGGGCTGCTCGGGCTCAGGCTGGGGCTCGGGAGTGGGCTGGGGCGCGGGAGCCTGAGGCGAGGGCGTAGCAGTCGCCTGAGGAGGGCGACGGGTGCGCCAGCGGCTGACGGCGTCGCTCCAGTTGATCGTGAACTTGAACGAGCCGTCATCGTTCCACTGGCCGAAAGGGTTGCCATTGCTCCAGTCAAGCTGGGCGTCAGGAGCGGGCATGGGGGCGGCGTCGCGCTTGACGGGCGCGGCGGTGGCCGGCACCGCGAGGGCCGCAACGGCGGCGAAGAGGATCGAGACCTTCATATCAAAAGAATGTGGGGAAGTGAGCGTGGGGTGAGAAGGCAAACGGAGGGCGGGAAAGGCGAGCGGTCTACGCTGCAGTTGGCGGATGAGCACGTCTGAACAAGTCTCACCGGTCCCGTTTTATACAGCAAGAGGGAGAGCTCGTCAGTCCTCATCGCCAAACAGGCGAATGCTCGCCGTCTCCCTGGGCCCCGGGATGCTTCAGGCAGCATGCTGCAGCGTCAGTGGGTTAGGCCGCTAACCCGCCAAGAGATCTGTAAGCGTGAGTGTGGAGCAAAAGGAGCAAAAGGAGTGGAAAGGGCGAAACGCGCCCTGCCGTAACTACGAGGAGTTAACGGCAACCCTCACCCTAACAATCTCTCTGCGTACCGGATAAGCCCAGAAGCCTGGGAGCCCCGTTTCAGCCTGTGGTCTCGCTCTCTCGTGCTCCTTCAATCCTGCTCTAGCGCAGCTAGCTTGACCCACTCGTCCTACTGATCTCATCGAACCCTGTGCCTTGCTATCCGGCTCAAGTCACATCATCACTGAGGCCCAGACGCTAAATCCCATCTGACGTCCCCTGATGAAGGCACCGACTGGGAGGGATGCTAAAGAGCTGGCCAGGCCGCCAGCGAGCGTTTCATGGACCGGGCAGCCCTTACAGAAGGCGGCCGAACATCTCTTTGCGTCAAGGTTATGCGCTGCGCCACCTCCGTGGTGGTCGATTGGGCGAGGGTTTGGGGGGCCAGGCTTCGTCGAGCTTGTTCCCACCGCTCAATGTGCGATGACAGGCACTTTACCGGTACTGGTAGGTTAAGAAGGGATTCGTGAGCATGAGTAGTGATGATGATGATGACGCTTCAGAACGACGACGCTACTGAGCGACGACGCCCGGTGCCACAGAGTTACCAGACCCAGAAGTGAGGCGATATGATCCGTCAGCTGAGGTTCCATGCGGCTGCAGTGGGCACTGCTGAACGGGTGTGCGTGCATCTGTGATAGCTGGTCCCCTCATCCTGCACTATCGAGACGCCACCGCACGGACGTTGCCGATACTAACCTGTGATCATCTGAGGTCAGTGAGCACGCGCATCGGGTTGTCTGCCCTGCATACTGGAGTGGCTTGCTCAACTGGTCCGTGCACTTCGTCGAAACGCGATGCCCCGGTCTGCCTGAATGCAAGCTCTATAGCAACATAAGCCAGCAGTGAATTCTGAAGCATCGTGGTTTATGTGACGCGTGCCAAGCTAGATGCTGCGTGTACACAACAGAGCAAGATGTACACCAAGTGTGGTCCGACAAATGCGCATTGCACGGCTCTGGCAGCAGGCTGCTCCCCACCGCACAGACATCCATCCTCCAAATGCACATACCCATTTCGAGCGCACGAAGTCGTAGAAGAAATCACCTGAGCTCTTCGGCCACATGCTGAGACCATCCGACATGCGCACCGAGATCCCCAGGTGGCGCTACACCCCTGCACACGACCAGCAACAACCCCTGCACGTCTCCCGGCACTCCCGGCATGCACTCCTGTTCCACCCTGCTCTCGCCAGATGAGACGCGTTCTCGGTCGTTGGAGCGCGTCGCGTGAATTGTTCGGCGGGTTAGGGTCGGTGGCAGGGAGACGGGACCCTCAACGCCTTCCTGGATCCGGCCGCGCTCGGCGACGCGATTGATTCCCTCAGAAACTACGCATGAAACATTAATGAGGGCACCGACGAAGCAAGCACTAGAGTTCAAGAGGCTAAAAGGCAGAGAGGATGAAGTGAGTAGAGGCAGAGATGTTGAGGGAAATCAGTCAGTGCGAGCATCACATCTCCATGGCCGTCGGGGATCTTTGCACCACCCACCACTCACAATTCTGCGAACGGGCGTGGTTCTCGCGGGTCCGTCGAGTCCTCGGCCGCATTGAACTTCTCATTTCTGCATTGTGTGCTGCTACAATCCCTAATCCCATACTACAACGCGACCTCTCCGCAGCGCCCAAAAGACACCCTAGTATACCTCTACTCCTCCCAATGTCCCCCGCACACATTATACTTGCTTAACGTTATTCTTCTCCCCTCTCCACCTAGGACTGGTAGCGGAACTCCTCGGAGCCCTCAAGGACGACCTCGCCACGGTCCGCACGGCGGTTCTGGCGGCGGAAGTACACCGAGAGGAGGAATGCGAAGACAATCGTGCCGCAGTTGACGCCGATCGTGAAGAAGATGCCAGTTGGGTATCCCTTACGCGCCTCCTTCTGCATGAACATGACGCTGGCAAAAATACCACCAATGCCACCCCAAGCGACGACGACAGCGGCGGTGACGGCGCGCTTGGACTGCGCGCGGATGGCTGTCTGGGACCATGAGACGACGAGGGGCACGTTGGCGTTGCAGCCGCCCACGGCGAGGAACACGCCGAAGTAGCGGGCGCCCTTGGCCGACAGCGGAAGCTGGCTGTAGATGCACGTGCCGGCGATGCACACGAGCTGACGTCAGCACGGACATGATATAGGGATACTCACAGCATTGAACATGATGACGACCGAGCGCATGTTGCGGTACTTGTCGGCGACCCATGCCGAGCCGAGGGCGGGGATGAGCGCGTACACATGAGTCGGCGTGCCGAGAAGCATGGTCTGGACGTTGTTAAAGCCCATAGTTCCCAGAATGACGGGGAGGAAGTAGGCGAGCGAGTAGCTCGCGACCGTGGCGGACATGAGGAAGTAGCCGAACAGCCACACTTTCCAGTCGCAAAGGTGCTGGCCGATCTTGGCCAGCGTCACGGGGTCAGGCTTGGCGTCGGACCGGTCGCGCTGAATGCGCGTGAGGATCATCTGCTTCTGCTCGTCGGTGAGGAACGTCGCGCGGTCCGGGAAGTCGACGAGGAAGACGTAGCCGAAGAGGCCGACGATCACCGTCACGATGCCGTACATGATGAACACCCATGCCCAGCCGCTGTAGCCGCCGAGGCCGTGCATGAGGGTGAAGCAGTAGCCGATGGGCGCGCTCGCCGACCCGACGAGGCCAGCGAAGATGAAGAAGCACGAGTTGCGCACCGCCATCTGCTTGCGCGGGTACCAGCAGCTGATAAGGAATGCCGCTCCGGGGAACAGGGCACTCTCGAAGAGGCCGAGGATTGCACGAAGCGCGGCGAGCGTCTCCCAGTTCCTAGCCAGGCCCATGCCAACTGTACGTCAGCAACTGCATGCATGAAACTTACTCATGACAATGCCCCAGAGCGTCGTGGCGGACGCGAGCCACCAGCGGGCCCCAAAGAAGCGGAGACCGACTTGGGACTGTGGTTAGTGACACCGATATCAAACTTGGTGTCGGCAACTCACGGGAATCTCGAAGATGATGTACGGCACGAAGAAGGTGAGCGTGATAATCGAGTAGCGGTTGCCGAGGTTGGTGCCGAGCTCGCGGTCCATGTGCATCTCGTTACCCTGGCGCGCGAGCGAGAGGTTGGTGCGGTCGATGAGCGAAACGCAGTACATGGCGGTTAGAATGGGGATGAGGCGCCAGTCGACTTTGCGGACGGTGGAGCGGAGGAACGCGGGGTCGAAGCCCTCGTCCACGGCAGGCCGGGACGAGTGGTGGTGAGGGCCCTCCGACGCGTCCGAGCCCTTGCGCTCCATGTCGACGTACTCGACGTGCTGCGCCTCGTGCCCCTTGTCGGCGTCGAACTTGTTGACCTTCTCTGTAGACATGATGGTGGGTGTGCGTCTCTCTCTCACTCGCTGCGAGCAATTAAGAACATCCCATCCTCATGCTGCTGCGTGGTTGTGGGGCCACATCTACGGTCTTCACCGGATCCCGCGAGGAGCGCTTGCCAAGACACCGGCTTGCGCGGCAGTGGTACTCATGTGACTCGAGGGATGAAAAATAGTCACGAGACGAAGTTTATCGGCCGTCTGCGATGTTGGAAGTCGGCGGGTGTGGCGAATGGCCTCGGTAGGAATTGGCCGAAATGTATCTTGCCACTCGGCATCTTCATTCACATACCGCACCGGCCGCCGCGATGCAATGCGCAGGCGTCGTCGAGCCCTCCTGGAGTCTGGGCCCCGCTGGGAGCCGCGCGGCGGCACAGTCTGCTCCCTGCGGATGAGGGTGCACATGACCATCGCCTTGCTCGTTGGTGGGGATGTGGCGGCTGGTGATCAGTTTACGCACTCCGCCACTCGACAATCGTACCAAGACGTTGACTAGCGGTGTTCTGAACCATAGTCCGGTAAGTACGCCTATTACGAGAACCTTGTTCAACAGAGAGCGGAGTAGTCAAGGGTAGCATGTCGGCGTTGAACACTGCGTTGCGCAATTTGCTCCAACTTTCTGTGTACTCTCTTCACAAGACCTCCCAATCTCCTGCGGTTGAGGATGGTGATATCACAGCGGCGAGCTTGGTAATAACACCGCGGCGATTTGGGTAACTACTAGGCCAGTTGGGGGCGCACCATGGCGTGAGAATGGGTGCGGACGACAGGCTGGGGCATGGGCAATCCGGCTACTTGATATTGAAGACGGAGACGCGCGATCAGAATGTTGCTCGTCACGAGGCAAGCACATCAGTGACGATATGCTTACCACATCCCAAGCACTGTTGTGACACATCGCAACGCTTGACCCCGGCCCACAACTAGCCTGACTGGCTGTCCTCACCCGATGTGATCAGTATGCGCCACGATCTACAAGCAACGCGCACCTGAATGCCGCATCAAAATCGCCCTGCACGTGATGTTGGACAGCAAGCCCCCTGATAGAAAACGCCACTGATATCGGTTTACGGGGATTATAAATTGCTGCCTCGGGTAATAAGTATGTGAAGCGGGTACATGATGTTGCGGCATTGACACTCTTCCCGCGGAAGATCTTGTCCCTCCACCACCGCAAGCTGTGCGAATTCGCTCCAACCATGAGCGAGGGGGAATCAAATGTCGAGCCCTCTCAAGGTGTCCGTGGTGCGCTTGGCCTCTCACGCTTCCGATGTCGGGTTGCAAAGACATGTCAGAACGGCTGATCCAACAGTATAGCTCGTCTGCCCATGTTGTTGGGCAGTCCATGACGCTTATCGAGTTGTGGCGCCAGCTGCTGTTCAACGCGTCCCCCACTGCAAAAACAATTGGAATGCTCTCTGTCGGAGAATTGAACTCCGGTCTCCCGCGGTCACCAGTAATGACAAGCGAGCATACTAGCCACTATACGAACAGAGATGCTTAACCGCTGACGTAATCAATGCTCACCGCACTCATATGGGCTTTCAATAGGCTCCTGCGGCTGCGGCTGCGCAGCAACGCGCCTGCAACCACGTCCCACTATGATGCCTTGAATCTTTCCCAAACATCCACCTCTCTGGCATAGTGTCCTAATCGAAGTTCTCCACCACCGTCCGGACTCACAGCTCTCACCCACGGCCTACGACCTCCTTTTATGCTCGAACCACACCTCGCTCCCCGCCTCCGACGCCTCCACACTAATCTCCTTTGGCGGCGCGCCTGCGCCCGGCACACTAAACCCGCCGAACATGCCGATTCCGCGCGGTGTAATGATCGCAGGTCCGCTCGCGCGCGTGCCCTTCCCGTAGCCTTGCTTGGGATGCCGCGCAATGAAGATCGTCCAGTTGAAGTGCGGCCCGTCCCAATGACTGAACACGATGTGGGTAGCGAAGATGCGCGAGAAGGGCGCGACGAACACGTGCTGGCTGGCCAAGCCAAAGCGCGCGAGCTCAGCGGGGAAGCGCGCATACACCGCGTCGCTCGCGTTAAGCGGGGCGAGGTCGAACGCGCCATACCCCGCGCCCTCGTATCGCCCCGGTACGGCGTGGAAGCCGTACGCCGGCGCCGCGCCGCGCTTCGGCTGTCCGGGCGCCTTCGAGATGTACTGCCGGAACCACTCTTGCTCGACGTTCAGCGGCTCGAGATCCAGCAGGCCGTCTACGATCGCCGCGAATACTGTGTTGAACGCGTAGTACCCGAAATCGGCGTCGTTCGTCAGCACAGCCACGGCCACGCCTGCCTCCGGCAGGCGCGCGAGCAGCGTCAGCTGGCCGGGCACGCCGCCCGTGTGGCTTACGACGCGGTGGCCGCGGTACGGCTGGATGAACTGCCCCGCTCCATAAAGCGTCGGCATGCCGTCGGCGCCTGGCATTGGCTTCCCGCCGATCACGTTCCGGGGCTCGGCAGCGGCCCCGATGAGGCGCGCAGGCACCACAGTTGGATCGAGCAGCTCGGCGAGCCAGCGCGCGACATCGCGGGCAGAGCTCACGACTCCGCCGGCCCCTGCCAGGTCCGTGCCATCTGTGTCTGTGAACCAGCCGAAGGGCGCGATTTTGCCGTGGCAAGCCTTGGATCGCTTCTTGTATCCTTCAGCGGTGGATTTCGCGACACACTCGGTCATGTTCACGCCTGTGTGTGTGTGGCCGTCCGTCCGATGCCCGCTCTCCGCGGCCGCTGTGTGGTTGTACGTCGTGGAATTCATGCCCACTGGCGCGAAGAAGTGCTCCGCGACGTACTCGGTGAACGGTACGCCCGTGAGTGTCGGCACTATGTGCGACAGCGCAACATAGTGCCCGTTTTGATACTGAAAGATGGAGCGGAACTCGGCGGAAGGGCGGAGATGGGCGAGGTTGGCCACCGTCTGTGCGGCAGTTACGTGGTCGTACGAAAAGTCGTGTGAAGGTAAGCCGGACCGCATCGCTGATGTCAGCTTCGAACGGTATGTCGCGTACACATGAGGTCGGCGATGTCAGCCGCGTCCGCAGCGTATGAGTCCACCAGGCGCCACTCCGGAAACACGTCCTTGACCTTTGTGCGGAGGGTGAGCGGCGCTCCATTTGGGAGGGTGACGCCATCGTCGATCATTTTGAGCACGGACAGCGCTGCAAACAGCTTCGAGTTGGATGCGATGCAGAAGAGGCTGTCGGAGGTGACTGGGGCGCCGTCGTTGGTCGCTGTGCCGAAGTTGAGGAGCTGCACGCCCTTGCCGTGCCGCGAGCGCGGGCTTGTGACCACCGCCACGGCCATACCGGCGATGCCCCAGCGCTGTCGCACCGCATCGATCTCTTTGACTGTCGAGGGCGACACGAGCTTGTCACCGTATCCGGAGTGGCCAAGCCATCCCGCGACGGACGCGAGGAGCTGGGACACCACGCCGAGCGGGAGGTGCATGGTTAGTGAGTGGGTGAGTGGGTGATGCTGAAGACAAGCGAAGGATGGTCGGTGTCATGCTCGCTACGACGGAGCGGGGATCTCGAGGATTGTCTCAAGTCTGCCGTTACCGTTGTCCGTTGGAATATTAGCTGAATGCGGAATGCCAGGCAAAAGTGGCCACCTCGTATCGGCTGACCTCTGTACTTGATGCGATTGGCTGTAACTCACCTCCTCGGCCACACCCGATGTAATTCTATCTATTTCATGTCCTCCAAGACCTGTCTCACAAAGAGAGGTCATCGAGGGGCGTCGATGGTGCGGAAGGCTGAGGTGACACTCAGCACTATCTGGCGACGAGAATGTTGAGTGTGGCCACTTGTAGATCTGCTAAACGTGCGCTGGTGCGTTTGATATGACGCCAAGTGACGGAGACGGGCTTGCAGTGTGAGCTGGGCGGCGGCGTGCGCTCCTCGGGGCAGTGGAAGCGATCAATGTGCTGTCCCAACTGCTCAGCTGCATCTTGCTGCGTCCGTACCGGCATGTACACATCAGGTAGGCATGCTGGCGATCGCATGAGAGCGCCCGACTTGCGAGCAGCCCGCTGAAGTGTGCAAATGCACGAGTCATTATCACAGACGCACTCATGTGTGCATGTGTGCAGAGGAGTCATTGTGATGGCGGGCGCGTGCCGGTTGCCGGAGATGACCATATCATCGGTATTCCGCCACTGCCCACTGGTGTCAACTGCCCACATCGCCATGTCCGTTCTCAACCCCCTTGACCCAGCCCTCCTCCCCCGTCTGAACAAGCAATACATCGTGCGCTCTTTCTGAGTAGGCTAACACAGGCCTTCTACAATGCGAACCTAGCCAACACGCCCATGATACACCAGCTACCATGGCATCCGTCACTACACGCAATGAAGAGTGTGGCCGGGAGCGCCGCGCCCCTGCCTTGTCAGACGAAGGAGTAAGTCCCCGCGCGGCGGAGCTGACGTAGCGTCGACCTCGGGCACTTCGCCATCCGCATCTTCTACCCCTCGCCCGCAAGCGAAGATGTTCCCGTCTTCATATGGTACCATGGCGGCGGAATGGTGCTGGGCTCGCTCGACGCCGAGAACGCGCTGTGCACGCGCATCGCAGCAGTGGGATGTGCGGTCGTCGCGGTCGACTATCGGCTCGCGCCAGAGCACCCGTTCCCGGCCGGCGCGGACGACGCTTGGGCCAGTATGTGTCGGGCTGGCTGTGCTAATTTCAGCGCTGAGGTATGTCGTCGAACACGGCTCTGAGCATGGCCTGGACGCCTCCAGGATAGGTGTGGGGGGGTTTAGCTCGGGCGCCAATCTCGCCGCTGCAGTTGCCCAGCGCGCCGGCCGCGATGGTGTCCCCATCGCGTTCCAAGTGCTCAGCGTGCCCGTCACGGACAACACTGCTGGCCCCGATCGCTTCCCTTCGTGGGAGGAGAACCGGAACTGCCCGGGTCTTAACGACGGGAAGATGCTTTGGTGTAAGTCACATTATGGGCAGGCTGATAGCAGACCGGGACCAGTACCTGCCCAACCCATCAGACCGTACGGACCCCGTCGCATCGCCCCTCCTCGCGCCGGACGAGTGGGTCGCCGGCTCACCCGACGCATATGTCGTGCTCGCCGGCCTCGACCTACTCTACTCTGAGGGGCTGGCTTATGTTGACCGCCTCAAGGAGGCTGGCAACACCGTCGATCTCGTTGTCTTCGACGACCTGCCGCACCTGGCCATGGCGATGGATGGAGTGCTGGACCGCGCGCGAGAGTGGAATCTGGGCATCTGCAACTTCATCGCCATGCGGTTAGGGCGGCCACAACTTACTTTGTCTGATCTGTACGAAGAGCCGTGTCCGCCTGCGTTATAGATGCCACACTTTGTTCTGGACGCTCCGTGATTCTGGAAGCACGCTCAGACACTCACATCTGATCTACTATGGCCGGCAAACTACCTCCTCTACTCTATGTGCACATAACTGTCTACTGTGTCTACTCGAGCGCATCGTACAGCGTGCGCTCAAACTCGTTGTACACGCGCAGCCAGGGGTCACCGCTAGGTGCGATGAGCTGCGTGAAGCAAATACCGGCAATGCCCGTGGCCGGGTCGAGCCAGTAATGCGTCTTGGCCGCGCCATCCCAACATCCGCTCCCCTCTCGCCGCCCATTCACGCTGTCCTTGAGCGAGAGCACGAGCCCGACCGAGTGCCCAAGGTGCTGCGCATCGTTGGCAGTATGCTCGGGGTCATGGTATCCGACTCTGTTCGTCATGACGCCAAGCCCCTTCTTAACGGCGGACGACGCGCCGCGCAGGGAGTCTGCGAAGAGCTCGGCATATCCCGCCTCGCTGACGATCCCGTCTGCGCGGTTCAGCACGCCCTGCAGGAAGCGGAGGTAGGCCCGCGCGGTGCCGTGCAGGCCGCCGCCGCCGCTGAGCTGCCCGATCGTGTCGGCGGACAGGTCGAGCGGGCGCATTGGCTCGGCCGTCTCAAGCGAGCCGTCCGGCAGGCGCCGGCAGATCTTCTGCATGCGCGCGCGCACGTCGTCGTTCGGGATGAAGGTGACGTCGTCGACTGTCAGGCAGAGGGGGCGGAAGATGTGCTCATGGAAGTAGTCTTGCAGCGTGAGGCCGGAGATGCGCTCCACGAGAATGCCCGCCCAGTCAATGCCGATTGAGTACAGCCAACGCTCGCCGGGCTGGAACACCATCGGCTCTTCGAAGCCCTTGGTCGTCTTCTCGCCGTAGTGCGGCGGAGGAGAGTTCTGCGCGTGCCACGCGGCCAGGAGAGGCGACGTGAAGCTGTACGCCAGGCCCGAGGTGTGCGTGAGCAGTCGGCGCACTGTGAGGGGCTGCGTCCGTGGCTCAGAGAGCAGCTCGTCGCCGTCCTGCCCCGTCAGGACCGGGAGGGCGCACAGCTCGGGGCAATGCTTCTCGACCACCTCAGGATCGTCGAGATCGATCAGCCCGCGGTCTACGAGTTGCAGCACGGCAACGGAGGTGACGAGCTTGGTCATCGAGTAGAACTGGAGCACTGGTGTTAGCCACAGTGGCGAGGAGTACGTGCACCCCGGGCAAGCTCACTCGTCTTGTCGTCGATCTGCCCTGCGTCGGGTTCGCCAAGCACGCGCTCGCCATGGGCGGCGAAGTAGATGGGCCCGTCGGCTGTTGTGGCCGCGAACGTGGCGGCGGGGATGAGGCCCGAGTCGACCCGCTGGGTGAGCAGGTCGTCGAGGGCGACCTTGCCCTTGGTCGAGACAACGGGTTTCGGGATTACCTCGGTGGTGATGGTCATGGTGATAGAGAGAGTGATGGGACAGATTCAAGGAGACCGAGAGCACGAAAAAGTATCGGAGAGGGAAGTGCGATCTAATCCAGTCGCGCTGAGTAAGATGCTGCGCGCGATGTTCTGGAAGAGGATACCGCAAGACTGAGATCGCATCGCCGGCTTCTGGGGACATTTAGACCGGCAAGAGCCCATCGCAGATCACCGAACCGACCGAGCCGACCACCTCTGCCGAAGATTACCCGCTCGCGTGGCACATCCGGCAACCCCGGCAGTGAACATGATGTGGTGCAACTCACCACTTCTCACTGGTCATAGCTTCACAACATGACCGGCAGGTGGGCAGCATCCACAGGTGCACACTGGACAAGACACGCACGACGAAGCCCGCTGACGTGCGATGCAAAAGAGCTTCATCCTAATACAAGACAACCATACTACTGTGCAATAGCCCACATGTCCCAACCCCGTTCTTCCAATGCCACGAGTCACGCCCTCTTTTACGCCTTCTGGAGGTGGAAGTCCTGCTGGAGCTCGTGGACCATGCGGCCCTCGAGGCCCTGGGGCGCCTTGAAGTCCTTGGAGATGGGCTTGAAGTCGACGATGAGCTTGTCCTTGACGGCGAACACCGAGTCGTCCTTGAGGTAGTCGGACTCGCGGTCAAAGATCTGGGTGACCAGCGTGCGGTGGCCGGGAGCCTCGATCCAGAAGTGGATGTGGGCAGGGCGGTACGGGTGGCGGTCGAGGAGCGTGAGGAGCTTGCCAGCTGAGAAGTCGAAGGGGATGGGGTAGGGGGTCGGCTTGAGGCAGATGGTCGAGTAACGGCCGTTCTCGTCGGTGCGGAAGCGGCCACGGCAGTGGTACTCGGGCTTCTCGGGGGTCTGGGCGTCGTAGAGCCCGTCGGGGGCATCATGCCAGACGTCGACGAGCGCGTTGGGGAGCGGCTTGCCATCGGCGTCGTAGATCGTTCCGAAAAGGTGGGTGTACGGCGCGCCCTCCTCAGTCTGGCGGACGATGGTGGTGCCGTTCTCCTGGACGGGGACGCCGGAGCGGTAGAAGGGGCCAAGAATAGCCGAGAACGTTGCGTCCTGGTTGTCGGGGATGCCCTTGCGCTGCGCGCGCGTCTGGTCGAGCGTGTTGACGAGCGACTCGATGCCAAGAACGTCGGTGACGAGGACGACCTCGTTACGCTTCTCGCTCGACACCTGGCCGGCCTCGACGAGGAGGTTGCACGCGGCCAGCCACTCCTCGGTCGTGATGTCCGCCTCGATGAGGAACTCGTGGACCTTGCGGATCAGGATGGGCATCACCTCCTTGACGCGCGGCGACGCCTTGTCGCCGGTGGCCTTGATGCTGGGTGTGAGCGGGATTACTGGGGTACGGTGGGCCGCCCCGGCGGGGCGGAGACGGCAACTTACACAGTGTCAGTGTAAGCGGAGAAGTCGAAGCTGGACATGGTGGAGTGGTTGGAATCGAGGTGGAGTGGACCTGGCGTCGGGCTTATATACAACTTCCTCGTCGGCGCTGCTTGCTAAGAACAAAAGGCAGCGATGCCGGGAGGGCCGAGGGGCCGCGGGCTCGAGATGTTATGGCAGCGTTGTGGGACCCCACTCGGGGGCAATGACATTTTGTGCAGAGGCCTGTACGCATGTACCAAGTGCCCAGCGTATGGGGGCGGCATCTTGCGGTCCCCGCAAGTCAGGTCAGGTATGTCGGAAGGTCGGAACAGCTGGAGGCCAGGATCGGAGCTTCCGATCCGGCTCGTCAGCGTCCTCCCTGTACGTCCAACTACGTCCCAAGTCACTCCGCTGTGCCGACTTGTTCGATTCACGAGATCGGAGAACGGCGTGGACTGTTGAACCGGACCATGTCTCGGACGGACTGTGGACGGGTTCTGTCAGACATGCGTGATTTCAGCTCGGCCGCCGAACTTGGGCGAGCACCTTCCGAATGTTGCTGTGCTCGTCGTAAACAAGCAATGAAAGGGCGCTCATAACTCAGCGCGGGGGCGGGGTGGGGGGGCATGGGGGAGATTGGGGAGGCCCGCCACCCGAACCTGGCATGCTGTACGCCAGTTGAGAGGGGACACCACTTGTATAGACAGAGAGCAAAAGCGGGTGCCACAAACGGAGCGAGCGGAAGCAGGGGTGCAGGCCTCGCACAGCACGGGGGTGAGATTGATGTAAGCGGATGACGATCAGCTAGGCAAGGCGAACTGAGCGACCAGAGAAACGATATGCGCTCTGGGAGATGCCTGCACCAGCCAAAGGCAAGAGAGCCAGCTGAGAATGATCCATGACAGCGAGGCAACAGAGACAGAGACTCTTATGGCAGCGAGGCCGCTGGCTCAGGAGGTGCCACTGCCAATCACTGCGATCGCCGTCAACACGACGATCACGCCGAAAGCCTAATGCCGATCCAGTGGTAGTGCCACACTCCGAACACACTCCGCACCCGATGAGGTGGCGCCGCTGACTGGCTGGCTAAAGAGACACAACTCGTAGAGCACGCGTGGCAAGCCGGCATTCGGATATACGAAGGAGCACCTCTCACCTGTCAATTACCAAGTCTGCACATATGCTGCCTTACAGAGCGCCTCTCGTTCGCTCGTTCTTCATGTTCTGCCGCGGCTGTAGGACGCCAGTGATCGTTTTGGCGTCATCCGGAGCGTGGGAGTTTGAGCGGCCCTTCTTCTCTATTGGCTCCGGTCACTCATTTGAGTCGGATTAGTCTGCCCGCTACCTCTGCCCGCCTCTGCCCGCACCCCGACCTTGACTCTGGTACGTACTTGGGCACTCTTGGGAAAACACGATCGAGCAGAGGCGGAAACTCGGGTACTTGCAGAATGGCCACTGGGGGGGCAGCAAACGATGTAATTAAGTGATGAGCGCGGCGGTTGAGCCGAGTGATGCGAGCGATGGAGATGCGGGGGTTATTCACGTGCCCTGCTCTCCACAGTCACCCACATCTCCTCCCCACTCTCTTTGCACACTCGGGCTCTCATTACCCACTCACTCTCACCCGCGTCCTTCTCACTACCACCACATCCGCGCCCGTCACAGGCGCCATCATCGCCCACCCATGCCGCCCGCCCAGCCGGGCCAGCCGTCCGCCATGTACAAGTACCTCCAGGACGACAGCGGCCAGTCAACTCTCAGTCAGTCCCGCCGCCCCTTGCTTATGCGCCGGAGCTGACGCGAGTGCCTTCCAACGCCAATCCATCTGCTTGCTCTGGCTACCGTTCCTACCCTCTCATTCTCATGCGCACCCACTAACTTTTTCCGCCCGCGCTTTGGACATGCAGAAAAAGTGAAATGCCAGAGGGTGAGTAGCTGATTCAGGCCTGCTGTGATGAGGAAGGCACAGGTGACATATCACTAATCACTAGGCATGCAAGTTCTGTCGCAAGAGCCACACAACCTGCGAAGACACACGACCATGCCAGAGGTGGTGAGTCAACGATGACGCTGGCCAAGGTCAACGCTCATGGCAGCATAAAGCGAGACATTGCGCAGCTGTGCCTGCAGGATGAGGCAGATCAGCTCGCGCAACAGGCAGCCCAACAACAGCAGCAGCAGCTGGCCGCCGCCGCCGCGGCCGGTAACAGCAACGGTGCCAAGTCTACCATCCCAGCGAAGCGAAGAGGATACTCTTTCGAGGCGAGCGACCGACCACCGCCTGATCGCCGGCCCAGTCTTCCTCAGGGAGCGGGCAGCGCGGCGCCACAGTACCTCGACAGCGCGTCTGCCGGCACTGGCGGCCCTAGTGGAAGCAGTCAAGCGGGCGGGTCAGTGCAGACGCCCTCGCCGAGCCATCCGCCGGGCACGGACATGGTTGGCAACGTGCCACTTCCCAACATGATGTCGCCGCAGGACTCATTCCGGTCAGGACCAATGTCAGGCTTCGATCAGGAGATGACGAGCCCGCTCAACACGTCCGGGCGGATGCCCCAGTGGTACGACCCGGCCTTCCAAACAGACCAGAATGCACAGCAAGCCCCACAGTCGGTTTCGCAGTCTGCAGCGACCCCCGAGGGCTTTTCGTGGTCGGCACTTGTGGACGGTCTCATCGACCCATTGCACTCGCAGTCGCCTTCAGGCGAGTTTGCCTGGCTCAACGCCAACACAGCCAATACGCCAAACGGGCGCGGACTGCAGCCCAACGCGCACATGAGCGGCCCCGTATCCGCGTCACCGGGAAATTCGGCGCTCAAGAACGAGTCGCCCATGAGCCCCGACGTGCTCAACAACGACGGGCCTGTGATGCCATACAACTACACGTTCGGATACTCGCGATTGAAGAGCTGGGCCAATTCCATGACGGATCCTGTCAAGGTGCGCGTCAACGCGGCGACTGACAAGTTCAAGCCGATCCTGCACTCGTGCTTGTCGCAGTACAGCGAGGAGCAGATCATCAGCGTGGAGGTCCAGTTCCTTGCATACGTGCGCAATTGGTCGACTTTTTGTGACACGATCCCTGCTCCAGCTTGCATCTGGCGACGAACGGGCGAGATTTACGCGGCGAACAAGCGAATGCTTGCGCTTATGGACATGACTCCGCAAACGTTCCGTCCCGGCAAGAGCGCGCTGTACAACGTGAGCCGGTCGAGATTCCAGCTGACCGCAGGTTCTGGACCCGATCTCATTCATGGACTACTGGGAGGACTACGGGGGCCAGGTGCTGCACCACCTCTCTGACCGGTCCAACTTCGACACGATCGTGCCTGTGGCCATGGCGAACCGGCCGGGCGAGCGGACGCACCTCTTGACGTCCAACATGGCGTTCGATACCATCGGGCTCCCGCTCGTGGCCACTGCCGTGCTCACCCCCCTGCGCCCGCCAAACCGCACCCCGGCGGAGCCCACCATTGATGTGCAGGTAGGTGGCACGCAGCTCAATCCGGTGATCCGTCCCATCTCGCTGTCGTCCCTGCGCTACCTGTGGATGGTGTAGGCGCCACCCACCTCCATGCAGCCGCGGGGACGTACGAGGTTGGTCACGCTTGGTGCTTTCGAACTGCGCTAACATCAGATGGAGTCATGAGCGACATGAACAAGATGAGAGGAAGGAGGAAGAGTAGTGTACGGTACGAATCTTAGGCTGAGAGCCTGATCGTGTATTTTGTATCTTGGCACTTGCCACTTGTTATGCCAGCGCATACGTACTGCTCCTTGACTGTGCGGGATGGAGTGGGCGTGGAAGAATGACAGAGATGGTGCCAGGCCGAAGGGGCATCCTCACAGCGCCACATCTGCACACATACTATCGTCATATTATTAGGCTTCGACGTCGGCCTCGGTGGTAACCGCAGCCAAGAATAACTCCACCGTGCCGAGAAGATGATTACACTGGCACGACCGAGATCGACGTTCCCACGCTCTCCCATGGGGCCCGTCCTTCCAGGCCGCCACGGATAGATGTTGTTCCAGTTCTTCTCATCCCCAACAACACCGTCTTCTGCGCCCCCGTGCGCCTCCGCCACGCGATCTGCCTGAATGGTCTCGCCTCCGCGACCCCAAGGAGCCCCCTCCGTGCTGCGCGGGGTCGGGCGACGCGGGGCAAGAACAGGCGCGACCAAGCGAGTCGACGCGACGCGGACGGCGCCTCCGAGCCCGCACCTGCCTCCTGCCAAGAGCGCTCCCCTCTATATCCCCTCGTCCACCCTCCTGCGAAGGAGGCACCGGGCTCGTTTCATGGCCACCGGCACACCGGATCTAGATTACATCCATCCCTATTGTCCGCGCCGACCTCCCCTTCTCCGAGAGCATTCGAAAATGAATCCGGGTCGGGGAATCGGCAGCTCGGGCCTCGGCGTGCCCTGCTCAAGCGATGAGGTTCATCCGGGCGTCCGGGCCGTGGTATGTCATCTATGGCAACGTGATCGTGGCCTAGGAAGACGTTGTGAGGCATGCATCGGTACTGAGAGTGGGGGAGGAACGGCAGATGATCAAGTCCGGTCTGGTGATCTGTGCCTCATTTGGATTGTGGGCAATGACGTTCAGAAGCGCGGCTGGTGGTGGAGCTCGCCGATGATCGACCAGAACAAGGAGCCAAGCAAGCGCGTCGCCCGCATCCAGCTGCACGAGCTTGGCGGAAGCGTCGTATGCATTCCAGCGCAAAACAGACCCAGGTCCCGCTTGTGCCGGTGCTTGGGTGCAGAGGGAGGGGTCGGGCGCTCCGAGACCACAACGTGGCTTCCGACCCGACCTCCGAGTGGGGCTCCTGCTGACTGCAGCATGTTTCTGTAGTTGAGATCGAAGGGCCTCCACACGGCCCCGATGTCGAGAACGAGAGTGGAACGGAGGCCGCGAGATGAATGGTTGCGCCGGCGCTGGCGGGGGCAGGGCGCTTCCGCAAGCAAAAGTCGGTCCGGCAAAGAGGTGGCCAGGATATATAACTCGAGCGCTGTGAGTTGCTGACGATCCATCACCTCCTCTTCCAGTGAGTCACCAGAGACGGCAGTGATAGCGACCTGAATGCCTCGGCGTCTAGCTGGACATTTTACCGACAGTCAGCCGGTGGCGCCAGGCTCTTGTCTCCCGATCTTTCCCCCACTCCCTCTCGCATTCCACTCACATCAGCCATGACCAAGTACTCCGAGTCCTACTGCGACGTCCTCATCGTCGGCGCCGGCCCCGCGGGCCTGATGGCCGCCCGCGTCCTCTCCCAGTACGTCCGCGAGGACCCCGACCTCAAGGTGCGCATCATCGACAAGCGCTCCACCAAGGTGTACAACGGCCAGGCGGATGGTCTCCAGTGCCGGACACTTGAGTCGCTCAAGAACCTCGGCCTCGCCGACAAGATCCTTGAGGAGGCGAACGACATGTCGACGATCGCGCTCTACAACCCCGACGAGACTGGCAAGATCCGCCGCACCGACCGCATCCCCGACACCCTCCCCGGCATCTCGCGCTACCACCAGGTCGTGCTGCACCAGGGGCGCATCGAGCGCCACATCCTCGACTCGATCGCCGAGGTCTCGGACACTCGTGTCAAGGTTGAGCGTCCCATCATCCCGGAGAAGATGGAGATTGACTCGTCCAAGGCTGAGGACCCGGACGCATACCCTGTGACCATGACTCTGCGGTACATGGGTGAGGAGGAGTCGACGCCGCTTCAGTTCGGCCACAGGACTGAGAACGGCCTCTTCCGCTCCAACCTTCAGACCCAGGAGGAGGAGGATGCCCAGTACCGTCTCCCCGAGGGCAAGGAGGCCGGCGAGATCGAGACCGTCCACTGCAAGTACGTCATCGGCTGCGACGGCGGGCACTCGTGGGTGCGCCGTACGCTCGGCTTCGAGATGATCGGCGAGCAGACCGACTACATCTGGGGTGTGCTCGACGCCGTCCCGGCCTCCAACTTCCCCGACATCCGCTCGCGCTGCGCGATTCACTCGGCCGAGTCCGGCTCGATCATGATCATCCCGCGCGAGAACAACCTTGTCCGCTTCTACGTGCAGCTCCAGGACCGCGCCGAGAAGGGCCAGCGTGTCGACCGCACCAAGTTCACCCCCGAGGTCGTCATCGCCAACGCCAAGAAGATCTTCGAGCCCTACACTTTCGACGTGCAGCAGCTCGACTGGTTCACCGCTTACCACATCGGGCAACGTGTGACCGAGAAGTTCTCCAAGGACGAGCGCGTCTTCATTGCTGGCGATGCCTGCCACACCCACTCCCCTAAGGCTGGCCAGGGCATGAACACCTCGATGATGGACACCTACAACCTCGGCTGGAAGCTCGGCCTCGTTCTCTCCGGCCGTGCCAAGCGCGACATCCTGAAGACGTACGAGCAGGAGCGCCAGCCCTTCGCCCAGGCCCTGATCGACTTCGACCACCAGTTCTCGCGTCTCTTCTCGGGCCGCCCTGCGAAGGACGTTGCTGACGAGATGGGTGTCTCGATGGACGTCTTCAAGGAGGCCTTCGTCAAGGGCAACGAGTTCGCCTCGGGCACTGCCATCAACTACGACGAGAATCTCGTCACGGACAAGAAGGGCTCAAAGCAGGAGCTGGCCAAGAACTGCGTCGTCGGCACCCGCTTCAAGTCGCACCCCGTCGTCCGCCACTCCGAGGGCTACTGGATGCACTTCGGCGACCGCCTCGTCACCGACGGCCGCTTCCGCATCATCCTCTTCGCCGGCAAGGCGACCGACCCCGCCCAGATGGCCCGCATCCAGAAGTTCGGCGCCTACCTCGACAGTGAGGGCTCGGTCATCTCGCGCTTCACCCCCAAGGGCGCCGACCGCAACTCGCGCATCGACGTCATCACCATCCACTCGTGCCACCGCGACGACATTGAGATGCACGACTTCCCTGCCCCCTCGCTCCACCCCAAGTGGCAGTACGACTTCATCTACGCCGACTGCGACTCGTGGCACCACCCCCACCCCAAGTCGTACCAGGCCTGGGGTGTCGACGAGACCAAGGGTGCCGTTGTCGTCGTGCGCCCCGACGGCTACACCTCGCTCGTCGCCGACCTCGAGGACACGGCCGAGCTCGACCGCTACTTTGACGGCATCCTCATCGAGCCCAAGGAGAAGGCCGGCGCCCAGACCGAGGGCGACTGGACCAAGGTCTTTGTCTAAACGGTTGTGTGCAGTAGCATCGGAACGACTTGTATCGCATAGGAGTAGGATAGTTAGCAGTGTTTCTCGGGATATGAACTCATGGCTCTACTTTGATGGGGATGAGTGCGGCGTCGGGCTTTGGTGCGTCTCCCCGGCTTCTATGTGCTGAAAGGCTTCGCCGACGGTCCTTTCTGAGCGATCCATTTTCCTCGTGAAGGCTTGCGTTCTCCCGTCAGGAGCGTCGGTTGTTCCTTCGCTTGACGCCCTTCCTCTATTCTAGGCGTTGACGCTGCATCAGGCTAGCTCAAATTCCTTGAAGTCCAGCTAGATAACATTACAAACTGCAGCTTTTGGAGCTATCATCATAGCGGCAACCATCAGCACATCAGTGCGAGCCGCAAAAGGAATTGTCCAAGCTCTCTGTCGGAGAATTGAACTCCGGTCTCCCGCGGCCACTTCAAATGACAAGCGAGCATACTAGCCACTATACGAACAGAGATGCGTGTCTGAAGTTCTCGCGGGACTTATACAACCCGTTCTGAACATGCCAAACCGCGTGGCTGCACTTTGCCCGCAGCTGGGCGCTCGGCTGGGCGAGACAAGTGGCATGCGAGCAAGACGAGTTGAGAGAACTATGTGGGTGCATTAAAAAGGAGCCTCCCGCCAGCATTATACGATCGATACCTCGAAGATGAGTTCGGCGCCCTGATTTCTGCCTCTCGCAGCTAACCGTTCGATAGCATTTCTGTATAGCCCAGCAGCGTCAAGCTATTAGACAGCACTTGGTTGCGTGCCTGGTAAGACACCGATGCCGATGGGCTGCTCCGATCTCCTCGGCAACTAGCGCCGCCGCCGATGATGATGATCCGGGAGATCTCTTTGTTCTCTGCCAATACTGAAGACGACACGCCCGAGCGTGCTTGAAGCCGTCTTGATGCGCGGCGCGATACGGACTTGGGTCGCAGGAACGTCACACGTCGCGGTGGGTGGGGTGACTGGGCAGGATGGTCAGAGGTAAGGGCCATGTTCCGGGCGCGGGACACTCACGTCCGGAGGCCGGCCATCCACTACCGGCCCCAGCATGATGCGGGGGCGGCGGACCGGCGCCAGAGATATGACACACGACCGTAGTTGCACGCTGATATACATAGGGCGGAGGAGTGTCGTTCTCACTACCTTTCTAGCCACGACCAGCGACACTCGACACGACCACACGAAATGAAGACCACCGTCGGCATCATCGGCGCGGGCCCCGCAGGCCTGCTCCTCGCGCGCCTCCTTCTTAAGGCTGGCATCGAGAGCGTCGTCATCGAGACCAAGGACCGCGAGTACGTCGAGCAGCGGCAACGCGCGGGTATCCTCGAGCAGGGGTCGGTGGACACGCTGCGCGAGTGCGGCGCCGGCGAGCGCATGGACAAGGAGGGCATCCCGCACGACGGGATTGAGCTCCTCTTCGACGAGAAGCGCTACCCGATCAACTTCCCAAGCCTGACGGGCGGGCGGCGCGTCATGATCTACGCGCAGACCGAGGTCTGCAAGGACCTGATCGCGCTGCAGCTGAAGGAGGGCGGCCCGCTCTTCTTCGAGACGGCCGTCAAGGAGGTGCGCGACGCCAAGAGCGCATGCCCCAAGATCGTGTTCCGGCGCAAGGACGCCACCGAGGACGAGGTGCTCGAGTGCGAGTACGTCGTCGGATGCGACGGATACTGGGGCGTGGCCCGCTCCGCCATCCCGAAGGAGATTGTGCGCGAGTACGAGAAGACGTACCCCTTCGCATGGCTCGGCATCATGGCTGACGTGGCGCCGTCCAACGACGAGCTCATCTACGCGCGCCACGAGCGTGGCTTCACGCTCCTCTCGATGCGCTCGCCCACCGTCTCCCGCAACTACATCCAGGTGCCGGCGGGCACCGACGTCAAGGAGTGGAGCGACGACGCAATCTGGGACGAGATCGAGGCCCGCACAAAGACACACGACGGGTGGAAGGTCCAGCGCGGCCCCATCTTCCAGAAGAGCGTCACCCCCATGCGCTCGTACGTCCACGAGCCGATGCAGTACGGCAACCTGTACCTTGCCGGCGACGCCGCGCACATCGTGCCCCCCACCGGCGCCAAGGGCCTCAACCTTGCCTTCGGCGACGTGGTCACTTTCGCCCGCGCGCTCAAGCACAAGGTCGACACCGGCAGCGACGAGCTCATGCAGTCGTACTCGGACACATGCTTGCGTCGCGTGTGGCAGGCCGAGCGCTTCTCATACGACATGACCAACCTCCTCCACACCAGTCCCGACGAGACGCCCTTCGAGCACAAGCTCCAGACCGCCAAGCTCTGGCGCATGACCTCGCAGCCTTCCGCCGAGACCGACCTCGCACTGGGATACACCGGGTTCCCGCTGTAGTGGGCAAGAGAGACGACTCAGAGTGGGGGAGCAGCTGAGGAATGACATAGGCAACCGCGGCTGTAGGCATTGTGTAGTGTGACCATTGTAAATGCATGTTGCGATCGGATTTTGCTGCTAGTGTTCGCGCGTGGTGGCGATGTTGTACAGCTGACCAGACTTGTGGGTCTTACGTCTCCGAGATATTGGCCGTCGGCTGTCGCCCGGCGCCGGTGAGCCGAACCGACATAGAAGGCGTTGCGGAACCGTCCACCTCCTCCACCACCTGCGGCGAGTCACAAGGACGCCATTCCATGCGCTGCTTGCTCCCTCTGACATCACGCGGTTCGTGGCGCTGCCCACCTCATTGCGCGGAACGTGTCTATCCCCAGCCCAGTCATCCTATCCATGCCAGTGCCAATGTCAATGCCAATGCCAATGCCAATGAACCTGCATACAATCCAAGCACCCAATTCTACACTCGCAATGCTACTGGTACAGCCTAGTCGTCCTTTGCTGCGGCGAAGAGGGCGTCGTACTGCTTGGCCGCGTCCTTCTCGACATCGTAGAGGAAGAGCCTGTCGTGGATCTCGCGCGAAATCATCTTGTCTGGGTTTGGCCCGCCGTTCTTGACGTTGCGGAAGGCGGCGTTACGCGCCTCCTTGTCGTTGGTGTGCAAGCCCTTCGAGTTGGCCGCGGCGGTAAGAACGGCCCAGTCGGTGCGGGGCTTGCGGAGGTTCTGGTATGTGAGGAGGGCCTGGTGGATGTCGTCCTTGCTCTTGACCTTGGCGAGGATGACGCCGAGCGCGGCGGCGTCCTCGACGGCCATGGCTGCGCCCTGCGCGATGTGTGGCAGCGTGGGGTGGCACGCGTCGCCGACAAGCGCGGCGTTGCCGTCGATCCAGTGCGGGAGCGGCTTGTGGGCGCGCAGCTTCCACTCGAGCACCTCGCCCTCGGGCACCAGGTTGAGCAGCTTCTGCACGCGTGGGCAGAAGTCGTGGAACGTCTTGAGCATCTCGTCCTTGGACCCGACGGCGGTCCAGGTGTCAGCCTCGACAAAGTGGCGGTCCGGCTGCGTCGTCGACATGTTGAACAGGTCGCCGCGCTCGATCGGGTACGCGATGATGTGCCGCTTCTCGCCGATCCAGCGGTACGACTGGGTGCCGGTGAAGAAGGGGACGAGCTCGGGATCCTCGTTGATGGCGGAGCGGCGCACCATGATGCGGTACGCGGCCTGGCCGGTGTCCTCGACCTCGTCGACCTCGCCCTTGCGCGCCATCATCGCCGCGCGCGCCTTGGACTTGATGCCGTCCGCACAGATAATGACGTCGGCATCGATCCACTCGGTCTCGCCGCCCTCGGCCAGCTTGCCCGTCACGGCGTCGGCAGCACCGCCGCCGCTCGTCACATTCGATGCACTCCCGTTCGCGTCGCGCGGCCGGTGCTTGACCTGGAACCGCGTGTTGTCAAAGTCGTACTCGGTGATAAAGTTGCCCAGGTGGAAGTTGACTACGCCCGAGCTCTTCGCTCCTTCCAACAGGCACTTCTGCAGAGCAGACCGGTGCACCGTCGTGAAGGGGTAGCCAAAGTTCTGCTCCATGTAGCCAGAGTAGTCGGCGGTGGTGAGGACCTCGTCCGTCTCGCAGTCGAGCACGTTGGCGTGCGTGATCACAATACCCTCGTCCGTGCAGATGCTGAGAACGCCCCAGCTGTCGAGCACGCGTGCGAGATTGGGGGGGATGTTGATGCCCGCGCCGACCTCGCCGATCGCGGGAGCCGCCTCCCAGACGTGGATGTCCTTGAAGCCCTGCTTGGCACACGCGAGGGCCGCACCGGCACCGCCCATGCTGTCGTTAGTTTCTACTCGACGTGGTCCATGGGACCCCGTTCCCACTACTCACCCAGCGCCGATGATGTGGATGCGGAGGTCAGGAAGTTGAGGAGCCATTGTCGCTATCGGAGAGAGAGGAGAGGTAGAGGGCCAGAGGCAGTAACTGGCGAGCTTGTGGGAGACGAGAGAGAGAGCCTCGGTATATGTACGAGCTCACTGTCGATGAGAACGTGACCCGCCCACGTCCAGGTCCGGTCCGCCGGTGTCCGGATCTGCCTGGGCCGTGGGATGACGGCTGCCCCGGGGCCGGACATCTCACGCCCGCCGACCGTTCCAGTGCACGCTGCAATTGCCTGCCCAGCTGTCAGCAGACCAGATAACTCCAAGTGGCCGCCATGTTCCGCGGCTCGAGCGGAATCATGCTGACATGTGATGCGCGATACATGGAATTGCTTGCAGCATGTACTGTAGCAGAGATGGAGATGGATGTAGAGCTGGTGCGGTGACGTTGCGGAGTGCGGCATCTTGAACTGATAAGCCGCTCCTCCGGCCCCGGGGCGATTTTCCCGATCTCACCGCACAGACAGAAGACTTGTCGACATGGACACATGCATTGGCGCGATATCCTCGACGCTGCATTCACGGATGAAGCACGGATGTTGCTGCCTCTCGTTTAAGCAAGTTTCTGTGAATTCTGGCATACATGCGCGTGCAGGTGATGATCAGAGACCCGCGGGACGATCGGTGAGATGTCCGGGGCGTTGTTGACATGATGTCAGCTTTGATCCTCTGGAAGAGTAGAGAGTGGCCGCGTTGACATGTGCAGGCTTGCATGTGTTGTGCGAGCAGCGCATCAGCTCAGCATACTCCTCTCGTAAGGTTCTGTGCACTATTGTAGATTGCATGCAGTTCGCATTCGAGAGTAACAACATGTCTCCGCGCTCCAAGCTCCCACCCAACGCCCATCGCTATAGCTTAGTGGAAGAGCGCGGGGCTCATATCATGACACCCCGAGGTCGGTTGATCGAGACAACCTGGCGATAGGAGCTGCTTGCTGCAGCTGAACTGTACTTTTGCAGCGTGAGCAGGGGTGTGCACAGGCCGCGTCGCGCGCTTGAACCCCCGTCTCCTCCCAGTGCAGGCCGTTCGCGGATAGATGTCACTTGATGCTGCACCAGCGACCTAGTCACATTGACGTCCACTATTCATCTCCTCTACAGTCCAAACACTTGCAGCGGCATGGCCTCTGCCGCCTTACCCGGCACCTCAATGCTGCGGGTCTGTGTGAACCCGCGCAGACCCTCGGCGCCGTTGAACCGACCCCAGCCCGAGCTCTTCCATCCGCCGTGGGGGACGAGGGGCGCGTCGGCGGGCGTCGGTGAGTTGATGTGCACCGCGCCAGCCTCGATGCGCCGCGCAACAGCCTCGGCACGCACGAGGTCGCGTCCCCACACCGACGCTGAGAGGCCGTACTCGCTCGCGTTGGCGATGCGGACCATCTCGTCGATCATCGCGTCCTCCGACGCATCGGGGATGCGCACGAGCACGCACACCGGCCCAAAGCTCTCTTCAGCGTGCAGCCGCATGCCGGGGTCCACGGGCCCGAGGATGAGGGGGTGGACGTGGGCGCCTTCGCCCTCGGCCCGGGCGGACGCAAGGATGTCTGCGGCGCCCTTCTCCGTCGCGTCCTGCACGAGAGAGCGGACGCGCGCCGCCGACGCGCGCGTAAACAGCGCGCGGGGCGGGCCGCGCACGCCCTCCCACGCCTTTTGGAGGGCGGCGACGAGCGCGTCATACTTCGACTCGGGGACGAGCACGCGCTCGCTGGACATACACACCTGCCCGGCATTCATGAAGGCGCCGAAAATGACTCGCGTCAGCGCCGTTTCTCGGGGACATACTGTGGTTGGCGGCGACGTCAATGTCCGCGTCCGGGAGAATTAGGACAGGCGCTTTGCCGCCCAGCTCCATGAGCGTGGGCTTGAGGTGCTGGCCCGCGAGCGAGGCGATGATGGCGCCGACGCGCGTCGAGCCCGTGAAGTTTACGTGGCGGACACGGGGGTCCGCGACGAGCGCGGGCGTGAGCGCGCCCGCGTCCTCCGTCGCGACGTGTACGACGTTGAGCGCGCCGGCCGGGAGGCCGGCGGCGCGCAGCAGCTCGCCCCACAGCGCTTGGCTGCGCGGCACTTGCTCGCTGCTCTTCAGCACGACCGTGTTGCCCGCCAGCAGCGGGGTGACGACCGCGCGCGCCGTCAGCAGCGCGACGGCGTTCCATGCTGCGATGGCCAGACAGACACCGTACGGCTCCCGGCTGATCTTGTATGTCGCTGACGTCAGCGCTGTCGCGTTGCCTGTGTGCGCATACAGCCATGGAAGTCGACGCTGTCCTCCTTCAGTGCGTCGGGGGCGGCGTTGACGAGCGCCTCGAGGAAGTGTGGGACGGCGCCGACCTGTTCCGTCGCCCACCAGTCGCCGCAGCTCGTCTCGGATACGTTGGCGGAGATGAGGCGCTGCGCCCACCCGCTGTCCGCGTCTTTGAGGAGCGCCGCCGCGCGCGAGAACACCGCTTGCCGCTCACGCAACGGCGTATCCCGCCAGCCTGGGAGGGCGGCCGCTGTCGCGTCCACGGCAGCAAAGAGGTCGGAGGCCGTGGACCGCTGCACGGCATGCACTCGCTGGCCGGTGCCGGGGTGCACTACGTCAAATGTCGCGGCCGGCGCTTGGGTGGTCGAGCCGATGAGGTTCGTGACGATGGCTGTCATTCTTGGAGAGGAGTATGATATCGCTCTGCGGGGTAGAGAGGGGAAACTGCGCGCTGCGCGCGCCTTTATAGTTGTCAGCATGTTAGTGGCCCCGGCGGAGAGGAGGAGAGAGATGGTGTAACTTGAATTGTCCGCAGCCTCGGTTGTGTCAATTCGGTCAATATCATTTCACGATGCGGCGACTAACTTGGTGACTACCATGACAAACCACCACATGCTCACTTGTCCACATGATCCCAAGGACCGCCGGCGCCACGATTCCATGGACCACCGGCGCCGAAGAGATACGCAGGCGCCTTGTGTTGATGAGACGCAGCTGACAGCGACAATCCAAACCCTGCATCGCATCACCTGCTACTTTGACAACTTCCACTCTACGTACGCTACGTCTAGTGTCTAGAGACTCTAGTGGCCCAGTCCAGCGCTGATCTCGAGGATCTCGCCCGTGATCGAGCCGTTCTCCATGAGCATGACTGGAGTGAGTATGGTTTGTGCTGTTGGCGGGGCCACTCCCGACCTCCCACCCCCAGTATCCCACCCTGCTCTCCCCCCCCCACATCACCCCGAGCACACTCACTGTAAGCCGCAGCCACGTCCGGCACATCCGACACCTTCTTGAGCAGAGCCGCGTCGGTCGACATCTTGACCTGCGCCTCGGAGAAGCCTGCCGCCCACTCGGTGAGCATGAGGCCCGGGGCGATGGCGTTGACGCGGACGTCGGGTGCGAGGGACTTGGCCATGCCCTTGGTGAGGTGGATCAGGCCGGCCTTGGAGACGGCTGTGGTGAGCGGTATCATGTGTCGACGCACAGTATGCCTGCCATTAGCTCCGCTACATATCAGCCCTCGCGCGCACTCACCATGCTCGAGCCGTTCGTGTACAGCCCGGCAATCGACGCCGAGACGACAAAGCTGCCCTTGTTCGCGCGCAGCTCCTTCTCAGCGGCCTGCATCACCCAGAGGTGCGACATGACATTGGCCGTGTAGATCTTCATCCAGTCGTCGTCCGAGACGGACTTGAGATCGGCCCACGACGCGAACTTGGTCGTGCCCTGGTTGGAGACGACGGCGTCGAGCCCGCCGAGCGCCTTGATCGCCTCCGCGACGATGGCATCGCATCCGTCGTGTGTGAATGCGTCGCCTTGAATCACAACGTGGCCCGAGCCGGGGAGGGACTTGCACAGCTCCTCCGCGCGGTCTTTGGACGCCGCGTAGTTGATCGCGACGATAGCCCCGCGCTCCGCGGACTGCTTGACGATCTCGGCGCCTGGCGTCGGCGCAGAAACGGGGAGGACTCACCAAGACCGCGCGAGCCGGCGACGACGAGGACACGCTTTCCCTTGAGAGACGGCATTGCAGATAAGAGTGAGGAGAGCGGGGATGCGCGCAGTTGGAGTTGAGGTTGGTTGATGATGGTGTTGGTGACTCGGGGTGGTGGGCACGCTTGGGGCACCGGTTAGGGCGGGTTGCCGGCTTGGACCGGCCCTCGCCGCAACATTCCGCGACTTTGTGTCTTTGAGAGCGAACTCAAGTCGCAAGTCGCGAGGTCGCGAGTTCGGGGATCGAGCATTGAGCTCAACGCGTGGAAACGTCTATTCACCTGAGACATGTACAGCAAAGACGCGTGGCCCCACCATGGGGAGTGCGGGGTCGAGTGACTACCTGCGGCCATCTTCTGACCGCGACGCCGAGGACAATGGACATCCGTCGTGGACGGATCGTGGTGCGATTAGTGCAAGGAGGCCTGTGTAGGAATACGTGTGTCGCGCTCTGTTCGTCCGATACATAAGATGCCCCAAAGGCTGCCGTGCGTACTTGTTCTCTAGATTCACCCATCCCCCGCGCAATGAAGTGAAGAAAGACACTAGCGGACACCACCATACCCCGGTGTCGACAATGTCTCACTCCGGCCCTCGCCTTCCGAACGACACTTGCGTGCTCCGGGTGCCGCTGACTCACGATACTGGATAGCCAGACAGTGTGGAGCAGCTAGCAGGTCAGCAAGGTTGTGCAGCGGCAGCCGCATGGGTGTCTTCGCCATACACTCAGGCAACTCCTCTCCTCCATCCACTTACCACGACTGCAACATGACTTGTTCAGTCCATCGCTTGGGTCGAGACGAATGCCTTGAAGACACCGCAATGCGGAGTTTGCCGAGGCTGTAAAGCTGGTCGTTCCACTGGTCCCGCGCGCCCTCGCGGCCCGTCTGATTCTGGAATCCGAGATCTGCGGAGGGTTTCCGCTTGATTTCTCAGCCCACCATCACGACCTGCTCGATGATATTGCAGCGCGCTATACGCGTTGGTCATTGGGCCGTGGGCGCGGGTAAAGGACCAGGTCTGAGAGGAGAGTGGGCGGACGGAGTGGGTGGGGGAGCAGACCATGGCCGGGGCCGAGATGTCCGAAGATTGCAGGCGGCCCTAGCGGGTTTCAAGTCACCGCTTCACGATTCGGCGACTGCTCTGTCAGTGTCGCGGGTACGAGTCGGGATGCTGCGGGATGCATGCATGCATGCATGATGAGGGCGGGGTAGACGGCATGTCGATGTAGAAGAGGTGAAGCCCCGTGGGCGTGAGTGGAGGGAAGAGAGAGAGAGAGTGGAATGGAAAGAGGAGGAAGGCCGTGTTCGGCTACTCCGCACTTGGTCCTCCTCCTCCTCCTCCTCATCATCCTCCTCCTCGTCCATCCTCCATTAATCTTTCTTCTTGTCATCATCATCCTCCTCCTCTCCCTCCTCCCTCTCCTCCCTCTCCCCCACTCCCTCCTCCTCCTCTCTCCCCCCTCCCCACCGCCCCCGTCATGAGCAGCAACGGTGACCGTCCACCCTCCGTCTTTCCTGTACGTCTTCCGCCCCTCCTCCTGCCCATCGACACTCAACATGCTCGGCACACGACGCATTCCAACACTTGCTGACGACAGGAAATCACCCCGTTCTCCTTCACACAGGGGTCATCGTAAGTTTATGATGGATGGCGCTTGGAAGGGCGGCGGTGGTGCTCGAGGCTCTGGGCGCATCCAAGTGACGCCGGCGATCGGGCCGCCGCCGCCGCGAAATCGATCACACCTTACATCCTCACCCACAATCCCCGTATCCGAGCGCCACCGTCCACTCGACTTATTCCGCCCGCTCCGCTGCTCACATCAGTGCACTGCGGAAAGCAAAGGCCGTCCAGAACTGCAGTGGTGAGTCACTTGACCCTCAGCTTGCGGCGCTGACGTATTAGCATGCCGGAGGCGCAAAACAAAGTGTGATCGGCTGTGGTGAGTCTCACGTCCTGTCAGAGTTGACCAGTGACTAACACCCAGGCCATGTACACCTTGTAAAGAGTGAGCTCATTAGCGGACGGCTGGACCTGACATCAGCCGAGGCGAGGCCAACCTCTGCGAGCAATACATCAAGGAGCCGAACGACAAGCCAACGTAAGTCGCTCTTATTTCTCCCGCTGACTGGAAGGGGGTACACTCACGTACTTGACACGTCAATACTCGCGAACCGTGTGGCACAGCTCGAAGCGGTGCTCTCGCGATTGCTTACGCGAGTCGACTCGCTGGACGTGTACAACGACCTGCTGAACGAATGGAAGGACCCGCTGCCAGCATTCAAGCCTAAGGATCAGGAGGAGCGCGACGCTGCTGAGAGGGAAAAGAGCGAGAAGCTTGAAATGGACAGGGAACGGCCCACGAAGCGGCGCGACTCTGGTGCTACGGACGCGTCGCGGCAAGTGTCAGCAGCAATGGTAGCCATTGCTCCACCAGCGACGCCAGGCATGCTGGGTATCACACCACAGCGATTCGCGCCACCCAACGTCAGCATCGACACCGGCAGCAGCGGCGCCGGGTTGAGTTCGACAATCTCGCCCACCGCGTTCGGGCAACAGCAGGGGATGGAAAGCATGTCAATGGAAATGAGCTACCTCGGCGCAGGGAGTGCCGAGCCGGGCCCCTCGAATTGGCTCGAGTTTGGCAACAAGCCCACGCCACCGATCGGCCAGTTCTTCCGCGACGAGCAGCGAGAGTTCGAACCGGCCAGCAAGGCGCCGAGTGCACATGAGCACGACGCCGCGCTCGCGCTGGAAGGCATGGCGCTCGGCCGTGAGCTGCTTTCCGACGTTATCCGCGCGAGCCAACCACGCGGGGCTGACGATAACGACGAGCCGACCCCCGGATCACCACTCACTTTCACTAGCTTCATTCACCACAAGCGCAACTTCAAGCTTGAGGGCGAGCTAAAGCGCTTTACTGAGGCGGCTGAGCTGCCCTCCATAATATTTGGCAAGTACATTATCAACCACTTTCTTGAGAATGTCGACTTTCGCTGGCGCTGCCTGCACCGTCCGACTTTCGAGGCACAGTATGCGGCACTTTCGAGTAGGCTGAGGTCCAAAAGCGTCGAGTTCTACCGTGACGAGCTCAGCTCTCTCGCGCTGTACGCATCGTGCCTCGCAGTCGGCATACATTTCCTCGACGAGGACGGATATCGCGATCTCAATCTGAACGAGGAACAGGCTGAGAACCTTGCAGCCAAGTGCTGGAAGGTATCTTACGCCGCTCTTGAGGAGAGCGACTGGATGCAGGTGCACGACATTCGGTCCTGCCAGGCTATAATGTGAGAATTATAGGACGGGCATAACTGACAACAGCATCGCCGGAATCTATTTGTCTAGCGCGCGCCGCGCTAACCAACACTGGACGCTGCTGGGGAGCGCGACCAAGGTCGCGATGGCACTGGGGCTTGCGAGCGTGCCAGACGAAGGAAAGATCATCAGCGGCGAGATCAAGCGCATTCCCACACGCTGGCGCAACACTGTCGACCGCGAGGTGGCACGCCGCGTATGGTACTGCCTGCTCGAGCTCGACCAGCTCTTTGCGATCGAGTACGGCTTCTTGTATCTGATCTCGCCTGAGATTAGCCAGACGACGGAGCCGGCGAATATCAACGACGTCGACATCAAGCCCGACCAGCCCGTGCATTCGCTGCCACGGGACACATATACGGTAAGCGAGGAAGGAGGCGGCGCTAACAGCAGGACATGTCGTACTTCCTGCAGCGGCTGCAGCTGTTCTACCCGTTCCAAGGCGTTGTCCAGAAGGCTAGACGCGTCGGGCGCATGCGGTACAACTTTGTCATTGAGTGAGGCACGTCGTGGTGCAGGTGGGAGGGAGGGCTCGAGCTGACTCCAGGGCGAACGAGGAGCTGCAGCGTGCGATTGCGAATACGCCGCCATTCTTCCGAGAGACCGATACAGGGACAGAACACCTCGTCGACGCCTCGCAGCTGTATAAGCTGAAGCGTGAGAGCATTGCTCTGAGTGAAGGCGCCGATCTCCGCTTGATGCGCCTGCACCGATACTACTTCTCAGAGGCGTGTCACAACCCGTGAGTATACTCAAGTCACCAGGCATCTGACAGTAGTCGCTACCTCCTTTCGAAGCAGACGTGCCTTCAGTGCGCACGCCGTATCCTTGGGGAACGCACGCCACGGCTCACAAACGTACACTACTGGGGCCACACATACTGCATCTTCGCCGCGACGATGGTGATGATCATTTACCTCTCATACGCGCTCCCGCAAGAGTTGGAGGAGACGAAGGCACGTGCCGAGAGCGGTATTGCACAGCTGCGCTCACTGTCGCGCAAGCGCCGCACGGACTTGGGCGAGAGCGCCGACGTGCTCACCTCGCTCATGAATGTGCAGCTGGAGCGGCGCGCGGACGCGCCGTCCACGGACCTGAAACGCAACTTCTCCGAGGTCGAGGGCAACGAGTGGGAGGGCTGGCTGCCGCCCGATCTTGTGGCGCTCGCACGCATGAACCCCGGGTTTATGGAGATGCCGACGGACCACAACGTGCAGGCTGGGTCAGGAGACGCGGGGCTGTTGTTCGACAACATCCTGGACGATCTCAGCTACAACCAGTCCAACTTTATCCTTATGTAGCCTTGATATATTGTATAATGGGTGCATCTTCGAAACAAGTCGGATCACGTGGTCGGCCTCCACCTCCACCTCCACTTGTCCACTCTCCACTCGCCACTCGACTCTGATCTTGTTGCTTTCTTCTGCATCCTTGTCCTCCTCCTTCTTCTTTCTTGAACATGTGTCCAGCCACAAACGGCGCTCTGTCGGGCTCGTCTACCCCTCCCACTCCGTCCAACGTCTCCCCTCCAGATCTTGACACGCCCCGGCTCCCTGCACCCCACATTCTTGCACACCGTGAGCCAGACACGTCGACTTACCTTACACCAGTCACCGACGCGCACTGCCATCCAACAGACATCTTTCACCCGGACTCTACGTACGCTGCCGTCCCGCTCGGTGGCCTCGCGGCCATGGCGACCAACGAAGACCAGGGCGCTGTCATGGCGCTGTCCGAGGCGCGGGGATGGTCGACGGCGCCGGAGTCTATAACGGGGCCGAAGGTTATAGCTTGCTTTGGTGAGACAAAGTCATTCATCACTGCGTCTCCTTCCCCATCCCCCGCTCACCGCAGGCCATCACCCATGGTTCGTGCACCGGTTCAGCCTCGGCCCACCTCCTTCCAAGGAAGCGCACTACCGCGCCGTCTTCTCCCCCAAGCCCTCGCAGGAGACTCCTTTCGCCAAAGTACTCCCTCATCTCCCCGAACCCGAGGACTTCGCCCCACACCTAGCCAGAATGCGCGAGCACCTCACCGCCGTCCGCAGAGCTGGCCGCCTCGCACTTGTAGGCGAGGTCGGCCTCGACGCCTCCTGCCGAGTGCGGGTACAACGCCCAGACAGTGATGGCGGCACCTTCCTCTCCATCTTCAAAACAAACATGAGCCACCAACACGCCATCGCACGCGCGCAGCTCGAGCTCGCCGACGAGCTCGCCCTCCCCGTCTCGTGGCACTGCGTGTCTGCGTACGGCGCGACCCTCGACTTTTTCCGTGACACCTTCCCCCACCTTCGCGTCGACATCCACAGCTTGGGCGGCATGGCACCCGAGTTTCTGCGCACCATGGCGAAGTGCTGTCCGCAGGCCTACTTCTCCCCTTCACTCCTCATAACCGCTCGGGTCGGTACTGGCGCAGCCGCCGTGCGCGCCCTGCCACGAGACAGGATACTGGTCGAGAGCGACACGCACGACCTCACCCGTTGCGCAGAGCTCGTTTGGGGAGCTGTATTGTGGATAGCTGAGTGCCGCGGTTGGCGAGTGGAGGGTGACGAGGACTGGGAGATGGCCGAGGAGGACGAGTTGTTTGATGAGCGTGGCCGGATGAGACAGCCACGACCAGACGAGGTGTGGACGGTGCGCACGCTCGAGCGCAACTGGGCGCGGTTCATGGGCATTGTTGACTACTAGAGGAGTGCATGTGTGTGTGTATGTGTATGGGCAGCGTGTAGATACTGTGAACACAGAGACTTGAAGTGATTTGAAGTCTTGATGGGGAGGACAGGCGCCCGGCGCGATCTGCTGTTGCGCGGCGTGTCAATGCGGCTGGATATGCGTTCTTGCCGGCAATCACGTCTTCTCCTTGACCCCGCTCGGCAACACGGCCCCGACAACATTCCACCGCCCGTCTTTACCTCGCGCCGGGCGCGCCGCGCTGGCCTCCCAAGCCTCGTCTTCATAAAAGTGCTCGAGGGCATCTCCACCTGCGCCGCCCGCGCGCTTCTTCTCCTCCCCAAAGTCGAACATGACCTCTCCCCCCTCCGCCCCAAGCGAGGGCTGGAACGCGGCCCCCGCATCCCGCTGCGGGTGTAGGGCGAGGTACGCCCGCGCGACGCCCTCCTCGACCTTCGCGACGGCCTGGAAGCGGGCGAGCGCGCGCTGCGCCTTCCGTTCCTCCGTCTCCGTCACGTCTGCGCTGCGCCGCGTAGCCGGATCCACGATGCGGCGGGAAACGATGAGCTTCGGGCGTGTGGCCACGAGCCGGGGGTTCGCGTACAGCGCCGCGTGCGGCAAGCCGTTGAGCGCCAGAAGAGTGTGTGGCTTGCGTCAGCGAGCGCAGGAGGGACTCACGTCCGTAGCGTACGTCCGCGCGATGGAGAGCAGGGTCTCGCCGCGCCGCGGGACGTGGGTGATCTCCACGATTTCCGGCTCTGCCTCTCCTCCTTCTCCCGCGCCGGCGCCGGCGCCGGCGCCGGGGCCTGCTCCATCTCCATCTCCGGCCGCGTTCCCGCCGTCGCCCTCGCCGTCGCCCTCGCCGTCGCCCTCGTCATCGCTCTCGCCGACCAGCACGAACTGGTCTTCGTCCCCCTCAGGTGCTTTTCCGGAAGGCGGCTGTCCCGATACCTGCGTCGTCTTCATGCCCTGCGGGGCGGGCGGCTCGCGCGAGCTCGATCCGCAGCGCAGGCAGGGCACCCAGCTCGTGAGGCGGGGGGTGGCGGCCACGCAGGCCGCGCAGATGGGCGCGCCGCAGCAGGGGGGGACGAAGGCGGGCGGGGCGCGCAGGTCGGACAAGCAGGTCTGGCAGGACATGGTGTGGTAAGGAGGAGCCGTGGAAGAGGCGTGAGATGAGAGAGGTGGGATGACGGTGGCGAGGGAATAAGGTGGAGCTGCGGAGTGGAGGTCAGGAAAGCACAAGACGTGCCTGGCGGCGGAGATTGCGGATAAGAGATCGTGGATGCAATGCATGGCTCTAGATATCTCATGGCGAGCTCGGCTCCATCTTGACGAGGCCGCGCTCGGCCGCCAGACGCCGCGCTTCGCGCTGCGCGGCGCGCTCACGGTCGCCGGGCGTCTCGCCGCCGTTCAGGAACAGCTGGTCCAGCAGGCGCTCGACGTCCGGCATGACCGTGTAGCTCTTGTGCACTTCGCCGAGCACCGTCGTGGAGTGCTTCTTGCTGTCGACGTGCACAAGCTGCGTTAGGAAAGTCGAGGGCACACCGGCGTTGACCTGGGGTTAACCGTGTCCAGACCATCACACTGCCTCGAGGCGGCAAGCTGCATGCAGGCCTCCGGTGCCACCCCGCCGCTCAGCAGACTCACATTCATCACAATCGCCTGCTCGCCCTCGCCGAGCACAAGCTTGACCTTGCCGCTCTTCATCACACAGAGCGTGCCAACACGCCCCTCCGGCGGCGGCAGGAGCTTCTTGGCCTTACGCGCCGCCAGTGTTGGCTTGACCTCCTCCTTCTTCTCCTTGTCCTCTTCGGGCACCTGCTCACGACTCGTGAACCGCGGGAACATGCTCGGGAACTGGAAAGTGAATAGCTTGTCCTCGGGGTTATCCAGCCCGGGGACGAAGACGAAGTCGCCCTCCATATCCTCCTCGTACTCCTCGTCCTCGCTCTCGCTGAGGTCGAGCGCGTTGGCCGCGTCCACATCCGGCGTCTCCGACAGCGTGCTGACGCCGCTGATCTCGCGCGACATACCGGGAGCCTCGAGGCGGCGCGCCTGCGCGTCCCGGTCCTGCTCGAGGTCCGCAGCCATCATGCTGTCCCCGTGCCGCACCTCCGGCAGGTGCGGAAGCGCCGCGGACGGCGACACCGGCTCGTCCTTTATCCGCGGGGCGGCGACGCCCGACGAGAGGTGTGCTTCGCGCGCTGCGCGCGCTGCCTTCTTCCGCCGCTTCATTTCCTTCAGCTTCGCCTTGTCCGCGGCCTTCGCCTTGGCCTTGCCGCCATCCAAGTCGCGCTCGCGATACACGCTCGTCGGTGCGCTCTCGCCGAGCCCGCTCACCGCCTCGATGTCGATGACGCCGCCGCCGCGCGACGGGCCTTCCTCGTTGTCCGAGTAGACTTCGGCGCTCGTTACGTCGGCCATGAAGTTGCGGGGGGGTGGTGGCGGGATCACGCGGCGGATCACTGCTGTCAGCTCCACGCGTCAGGACACTCACCTCCAGCAGGACGGGTTCCGCCGAACGGGCCGGCTGCGACCGTCACCAGTGGCGCAGCGCCACGAGCACCGCCACGACCGCGCGGCGCGCCTCGTCCTCGCATGACGCCGACGCCACGGCCGCGCCCACCGCGCATAGCGACAGGCTCGACCTTGACTTCGGGCTCGGCGGCAGCGCGCCGAATAGGCATCTTGGGCTTGAACTTGAGGCGCGCGGGCGCCGCCGCTTCCCCTGTTGACGGGCCGGGAGTGATGGGCCGGGATGGGGGGCCAGATGGGCCGGAGCCGGAGCGCGAGGGCACCATGGGCGCCGAGGATGGGCCAGCGCGCGCTATAGCTGGCTTGATGTCGGGTGCTGATGGTGCAGGCGGATCGACATCCATAGCACTGCCCGTAAGGATCGAGTCTACCTCGCCGAGCAAGTCGGAGACGCTAGCGTCCTGCGGGACAGGGGCTGAGGGCGCGGCGGCGGCTGCCACAAGAGAGGCGCGGCTGCGGCGAGCCGGTGCGGGCGCGCGAGATGACCTGGGCTTGTCTTCCTGTCCGGACATGGTATGTTTATGGATGTTGGAGAAGTGGGTTGCAACAAGTTGCTCGCCGCCACCAAAATATGGACTGAACCGTATTTGGTCCCGTCGCTATGACGCACGGTGGAGGACGACTGGGGGGATCTATCATCTACTTCTGAGCCTTGCTTGCGACAACTCATGCGTAGCGACAGCACAGGCTGCATGCTGCAGAATACAAGAGAGTTTGCAGAAATACAGGACCGACGCCGGAGTCGACTGTTGAGCTGCGTCGACCGAGAAACCACCTGAAGCCACCAATTGAGCGGCCTCGCCTCTCATCACCCTGCCGCTTCGTACATGCAATCCATTGCCCTGATACAATGCTAGGGGTTGACAACCTTGGAGATAATCTTGAGCGCCTCCATCACCTTCTCCTCCTCCCAGTGCCCTCCGATAATCTGGAGATCGATGGGTGCGTTCTCGAACTTCTCCGGCGTATCTGGGATCAGCGCCGCTCTCGTCTTCTCTGCAACTCACATTCCTCAGCAGTCCGCTTGTCGTCCTCAGAGAGGTACTCGCGGGGCTCGTCGCGCGCGTGTTCCGGGTTCTTGGGGTCGACCTGCACGCCGGCCGGGAACACGGCGCCGGGATAGTCGACGAGGTTGTAGAACGCCGTGTACAGCCAGTACTTGGATGTGCCGAGGACGTTAGCCGGGCCAGGCATGGCGGGGAGGAGCATGACGTCGATGTTGAGGCTCTCCCAGTACTTTGCGTAGTCTTTGCGGAAGGCCTCGCGCTGGCGCACGAGCTCCATGACTTGTGTGGGCGTCTTCTCCGTCGCGCCCGTCATGACCCATTCTGTGAGTGGCAAGATGGGCTCGCCGGTCCGCGCGGCCTCGCCGCGCACACGCGCGCCCCCGTCCGTGAAGTACAGCTCCTTGAGGAGGAGCCACGCCTCCCACGTCTTGCGCGGCTGCACCTCCACGACCTCGTACCCGGCCGCCTTGAGCTTGTCGACGGCCATCCTGAGGGCTGCGCGCATGGGCGGCTGCGGCACGCACACGCCGTCATGCCATTGCACGCCGATGCGGGGCTTCGAGCCGCCCACCCACTCCACCTCCTCTGGCCGCCAGGGCATCTTGACCACGCTCGGGTCCACCTTCCACGGCTTGGCATCGAGTTGCACTTTGACGAACAGCTCCATGTCGCGCGCGCTCACGCCCATCGGCCCGATGGCGCCCACGATCGTCTCCTGGTTCGGCATGCCAGACATGTTGCCGCTCTTGGGCAGGCGAGAGGCACATGGCTTGAAGCCGTACAGCCCGCAGTTGGCACAGGGGTTGCGGATCGAGCCGCCAATGTCGGTTCCGATGCTGATGTCAGCGGATGTGGACTGGAACGTGGACTGGAACGTGGACCGTGCCGACCAGCTTTACTCACCCAAGCACCGAGCCGCCGGCAGCGATGAGCGCCGCCTCTCCTCCCGTCGACCCGCCGGGCGTCAGATCAGTGTTGAACGGGTTGAGCGTAGGGCCGAGGAACGAGTCGCACTCGAGGTGCATGATAGCCTGGGGGTTTGTGGTCTTGCAGTAGAACACGGCGCCGGCGGCGCGGAATGCCGCGGTAATGACCGCGTCCTCCGCCGACACGCCCTCAGCGCTCTCGAGGATGCCGAGGTATCCCGCCGAGATGCGGCGGCCCTTTAGTGCGACCATGTCTGGCGTTAGCCTCCTCTTCCTGCCGACCTCTCTTCTCCCCTCCTCCCCAACTCACCTTTCACCGAGATGGGAACGCCATGCAGCACGCCCACAGGCTTGCCCGTCCGCTCGAGCTCGTCGTCAAGCCACTTCGCGCGCGCAAGCGCCTCGTCCGGGAAGAAGTCCATGATGCAGTTCGTCGTCTGGTGCGCGACGGCCGCGCTCTTACAATACGCGGTGGCGACCTGCACGGCGGAGAACTTGCGTGCGGCAATGTCTGCCGCGAGCTGCGTCGCGTCGCGCGCGAGCAGCTGCACCTCATCGGGGGTGAGGATGCCCGACGTCTCCGCGACGTGCCGCACATCCTTCCCGCTCGGCTTGGTCTTGAGGCGCCACGCCTCGGGGATGGACGCGAGCACCTGCGCCTTGTATGCGTCTGCGCGGATCTTCCAGTCGTTCGCCATGGTGGGTGGGTGTTGAGAAGAGAGGGGGAGCGTTATCAAGTAGTGCAGGGGGTGGGCAAGGTCGGCCATCTCCTGTCGCTTGCGGCCCGGGCCGAGGTATACGACACATCCGACTGTATGCGACCGCTTCAGGCTGTTTCTCCGGCTTGCATCGCGTGAGCGCCTTTGCGTCGCTTGATGCAGGCAGCCAGGCGCATGTGGCGCTCACGCGCGCAGCATTTGCGTATGCGGTGACTACTCCTGTGTCACTTTCGCCATTCGCTACGACGGTTATCGCTATCTGTGTCTCCTGGTGGACACTGGCAAAACAACGCCGTCCGCTGTGTGGCTGCTGATCGTATCGCATAAGCATCCCTACAACAATCCTATTATCCCCTTGACTACGTATCTCCCACTGCCCCGCCTCCTGACCCCTTCTCTTCGCCTCTTCCTCTCTTCTTGCATCTTCAGTCGCTTCACCCCGTTCCGCTCGTCAGCTGGCTCAGCCAGCCTACAAACCCGCGGCAGCGAGCGTCTTGCGCTCCTCCCTCGCGCGCCGCACGCGCGAGCTCGAACGATGCCTGCTTGGGGTTCTTGGCGCTGAAGACCTCGTCGAGCTCTTCGAGCGAGAGCTGCTTCGTCTCGACCGTGAACGTGTAAATGACGATCACGCCGACAACGTCCCAGGCCATGAAGATGAGGTAAGTCTTCCATGTGAGCGCCTTAAGCGCAACGGCAATGTGCAGACGGCAACCAACGCAAGAAGCACCCAATGCAGGCGAAGACACGCATGAACTCTGTGTAGAGAGGATTGAGGCGAAACGCGCAGATTACAGCCAAGCCTAATCGCGTGCTCAGATTATACTACGACAGGCTTGCATGCAGGGTGAATACAGGCGGAGACTCGGAGGCAAGGGGCATTCTGGAGGTGAACGCCCCAATCCAACATCGTGAGAGGGAAGATCGAAGAATACCGGGACATTGAGCCCCCCAAAAGGTGGTGAATGATAGTAGACGGCACACGGTGTCCGGGGTGTAATGGTGAGACGCTCGCATGAGGTGCAGTGTTGAGAGGCGAATTCAGAGGCATATGTGGGAGGGGTTGTCGGAAGAAGAAGGCGGGGCACACGCAAACGTTCGAATTGAAGGTGTGCCCCTCATGCGTCGAGTATCAGCCAATCTCTCTCACTCGCCCATCTCATAGTTGAAGGCCTTGACGCCGATCTTAGCCGCATAGTCGTTGCGCCCGATGATCTCGCAGCGGGCCTTGAGCTCATCCACGCCGTACGTCTGCGCCCCGAAAGACTCGATAAAGCTCGCGAGAGTGGGCTGGGACGGGGTGTGAAAGCGTTGGCTGAGCGCAGCACTGTGCTTGTGAGAGATAGGACTGAAGCCCACTATCGTGATGTGGGGGACCCGGCCGCGCATATCGCACCCGGCGACGGGATGCCAGTTGTCGGCGTCAAAATCCTCGGCGCTGCTATTATTTTGGTGGAACCACGCCACGGGGATGAGCGCCCAGGTAAGAAGGTCGGCGAGCAGCCGCGGGGCCACTGTCCGGAGGTCGTTGACGACAAGCACGAGCTCGTCGGCGTTCCCCGCGATATCGTACGCTTCCGGTGGCGCCATGTTGCGCCCGAGATGGAGGACGACGCGCCGAGCGCGGGCGATAGGTTCGACGGCGAGCTCATAGTATCGCTGGCTGCCGGCAAGAAAGTCGCCGAGGTAACGCGGCTTAATCGTCTTGAGCTTTTTGGCGGGAATTCCACGCCGTTTAGCAACGGTGAAGGTGTCCAGATCGGGAACCTGCTGCGACTCGGAGCAGAGAAGCACGATTGTTTGCGCGTTGGACTTGATGGTCCAACCGGCGTCGGCGAGCCTCAGAGGGTCGCGGGGGCGGATATGGGGGCGACTTGGAACTGCCTTAATGCGAAGATAGTTGACGCGGCCGATGGTCAGCTGCTTACTTGGGCAAGCCAGTCCAGCCCAGTGGAACTCTCCCGTAAAGTCGAGGACGTCGGCTCCAGTAAGAAGGTTGGCGAACTGACAGGGGATTTGGTACCCTGCGTTCTGGAGCCGCCAGTCCGGCACGCGTTCCCCGTCCGAGTAGATCGACCACCACTGGCGGCCGTCCCATAACTTGCAAAACTGAGTAGACTCGAGGCCATCCGAGCACTCCGTCACGCTGGAAGTGGTCGGAGAGAGCTGGTTTCTCTGTGAACCACTGGGTAAATTTGAGCTAGTGTCAGTTTTGATGTTGACGGCGGTGGCCTTCAGCTGCGGCACGCGGGCTTTGGAGGTCGACGCCTTGGAGGACGACGCCTTGGGGGTCGACGCCTTGGAGGTAGTCGAAGTGGTGGGTGCGATGGAGATGGTAGTGGCTGAGGAGGAGGAGGAGGAGGATCCCTTAACTACATCGGAATCTGGTTGAACAAAGGTAGAGGAAGGAGCCGTGCGGTCAACCTTGGCCGTGCGGTTGGAGCGCCGAGGTGGCATGATTAGTGGGGTGGACGGGGCTATGGGGGAAGTGAAGGAGGGTGTACTTGATCAGCTCGACAGGGGAATAGGCCACGGAGGATGATGACTGGCGAAGAAAGGGTGTGAGGTAGGGGGGACAAGTGTTTGCGACACACTGATTTGGGTCGCAATGGTCACAGTAAAGTCGAGAGACCTGGAGTACTGGAGTGGTGTTCATTTCAAGGAGAGGAAGGAAGAGAGCGGCTATTTCACTGACAAGGTGCCATGGATGTCGAGACGACCAGCCTCCCTCAAGTTTTTGAATGTGACACAAATTGGACATGTCAATTGTACGGACCTGAGGGTGATTGAGTAGTTGTTGTTGTGGTCCGTCTCGTTAATTCTTCAACGTCATTGATCAAGGCCGAGGTCACGTGGTGGCTCGACGGAGTCGCGTCGGCTCGTCGATCGGCGACTGGCGTCGGGCTGTCGGGGCAGTCGGCCGCGCGGACGGCCGGTAGCGTTTGAACCACGTGAAGACGACGAGGTCGGCTGTGAGCTGTGAGATGTGTGTAAGTGTTCGGAAGTGTTCACTCTTCACAACACATCGCGGCTGGCATCGACGTGGGCGGCGGAGACGAGCATTCGACGAGGCTGAAGTGGAAGAGGGGAGAGAAATGAAGTGATGGAGTAATGGAGTGAGAGCGTCAAACGCATGAGTGTTGCGTGGTTGAGTCAACTGCACTGCTCACCTTCCTCGACGAACCTCCTCGGCCGTCTCTCGCCCTTCCATCTCATCATCACTCACCTTTTCCCAATCTCTCAACCTCCCAGCTCCCATCACCCATCTCCGTTCACCCATCTCCGATCACTCATCCCTCATCCTCAAGCGTCACTCACAATGCCTGTTGCTGGCCCGACAAGCTTGGCATGCGCTGCAACCTCCTCCCAGGCCGACATGCGGGCCGTCACAGTCGTAAGCTCTTACGCCCATACAGAGCCAGCTCACTCAGCCCCGCCCACGCTCGCCGCACCCCGATCCCCGCGTCGAGCAGCTCCTGTGCAAGATCGCCGCGGCAGAGGCCACTCTAGGGTTAGTGTCTTCCATTCCATGTGTTGTTGTCTCTGCACCATTCGCGAGGAAGGTGGCTGGCGGAGCAGCCTCTAACATTAGCGTCGACAGCGACGGCAATCTCAAGGACGCCGAGGCCATCTGCGCGCGCCACATCAAGCTCCTTCATGAGTACAACGAGGTCAAGGACGCAACACAGGCGCTTATCGGCAAGGTGATCCCGATCACCCTCACCTGCAACTGACATCAGTATGCGCAGCTCACGCACACAACCGTCACGGCCGTGCACGAGATGCTCGAGCTACCACTCGTCGAGGAATAGCAGGCGTAAGTGTGAGAAGGCGATTTTGCGACTAGCGCGTGGGTGGGTGGCAAACGAGTGGATGAAACGTTTGGCGCTGCAAGCTACAAGCGTTGGTGCGTCGGTGACGTGGCATCAGCCCAAGGTCTGATTATGGTAACCAGGGCCGGTATCACTGCCACCGCCTGCGCATGCCAGCGGCAGTACGCGATAATTCCTCAATCGCTTCGTCTTGCTGATTCTCCTTTCTCTTTCAATCCACTCCTCTTTCGTCTCATCCATCTATTCCTCTTTCGAGTTCACTTTCTTCTACCTTGTCCTTTCGTGCCCTCAACCGAAGAGCGGCCACACCGAGCCTCCACCTACGTCCAATGCAAGCTCTCGACGTGACACACCCTCAGCTGGCACTGCTTCTCCACCTTCCTTGATCCTCCACCCCAGTTACCGACACCATGATACCATGATTGTTGTGAAGCACACCATGTGTATCCTGCATGGTAAAGATACTTGAATACCACATGGCAGACACATGTGTGTTGCGTGTCATCGTCGACTCGATCGTAGTCGTTGGTCAGATCGTCACGGCCACCCTGGCTTGAGGCGGTTCTCGAGGCTGGGACCAACCGGCATTGCGTTTGCTCTTGGGGGACATGGCGGCTAGTGAGGTGCGGAAGGTGCGGAGGGTGGAGCGAGCAGAGGGTAGAGCCGGCGCGTGCGTCGTGTGCCCGTCGACGTCAAGTGGGTGGGTGTGGTAGGAAGGAGAGTGTAGCGGGTGCTACCGTACAACGTGTCTGTGCAACTGCACATGAACGGACGAGATGCGGCGGCCGATGGGCACACTTGCGGGATGTATTGGGTAGTCGATGCTGGGGTGGTGGATGCTGAGCGGTTATTTGAACGCGGCGTACCGATAAGTACCCACATCAGTACTGCATGTCCTGCATCTTAACATATATTCAGACATCCAACATCCTGTCCCCTAAATCATGATGCTCGTCGTATAGCACGAGCCCACCGTTAACTGGCGAGCGCCCGTCGAGCGGCTCCGTCTCCACTTCTGTTACAGGTCATCGTACTGAATCCCTCGACCTGGAGAGTCAGCGACTTCCCGGCGCCACAGACCCCAACACGCTGTTCACGGCGGACAAGACCATTCTGTTTAAAAGTCAGGCGGCAAAATTCCTCTGATCATCCGCCCCGAGGTGGTCGAGAAACGCATGCTGCGCGGCCTCATTCTCGACGAGACCGGCGACGAGACCGGGGAGTTGACGTCTGCGCCCGAGGAGGGACTGACGTACGGCGTTGCGAGGAACGCTCTGCCTCTGCAGCGCGTGGGCAGGGCGGCAGACTACACATTTCAGTGGCTCCCTCCTGCTCCTGTGACACTGTGGCTCACCTGCCTCTGTCGCATCCATTTCTACATGTTTGTCATGCCTATGAGAGCACCTGAGGTTGGGGGCTCATGTCTGGCCGGGCAATCTGAGTTGTGCTATCAGTGGAGAGGTACGCAAATGAAGCTGTTGGTATTGTATGTCTAACAACGTAGAGGACTTGAATACGATAGCATATGTCTGCTTACTAGCCTGGACTGGCGCGGAACAAAGAGAATCTGTGTCGCAACAATGACATGTACGTAAATGACATGTACGACAACATGTTATGACAATGTTCCACCAGCTAGACATGGACATCAACTGCGCAAACTCCGCCGACTCGGACAAGCATGCGGCGTATGCACACAACACACATGCAGTCTTTCATGGCTGGAGGGGCTCCAATTGTTGACGTTGCCGACGTAAGCTATCCGCGGCTTGCAGCGTGTCGAGCGACTGCCCCAGATCGTCACTGCCGCCGGGCAAGCTCTGGTCGACAAGAACCCAGAGCTTGTCGAGCAGGTGCAATCGACCGCGGCGGTGAGTACTACTCTGGAGCAGAGTTGGATTGACATGCACTGCCAACACTAGCTCAAGGTCCAATGGCAACAGAGCGACAAGGCCGGCTTGGGCATCCGTGCAGAGAGAAGGCCGGAGACGAGATGGCGATCGCTTTCGTAGAAAGTCGCACCGCCACCGCTCGTCTCCGAAAGCGGCTGCTGGCACAGCAGCTGAAGACAGAGCAGCAAGACTACCAGGCGTCTCTCGTCTTCAGCGCGCTTGCCAAGCAGCCGATTTCTAGCCAATCTGCCTCTTCGTCGAACCCCTCGGGCTCTTCGCCTCAGCTCTCCAGCCTTCTTGACGACGACGAGATGCTCTGGCGATATCGTTCGCGGACGACGGCGACGACGACGCTGCGGACGACGATGCCACTTCCGAAGACGGCGCCGTCCTGGCCGACGGGGAGGTTGCGCTTATCGATGACGCCATCCTTGAATCGTATCGCGCGTCCACGCCTGCAGCGCCCTCCTCCCCAGAGTCTTCCTCTGCCACTCGCCAGGACTCGACTCCCAACATCGCTGTCGACGCGACAAGCGCCACGACTGTCCCCGATGTCGATGCGTATACTGAGCATGCCCCCTCATCTCTGGCGCTCAGCCTGGCATCGCCCTCGACGCCATGCAGTACTGTCATAACATACTGCCGTATATGTCATTTACGTGCACAATGTTGTCATGACACTGATCCTCCATATACAGCTTCGGGCCCAGCTAGTGTACAGACCCATCGTATCGTGTACAAGTCCTCTACCTCGTAGACATGCCATAACGATTGTTTAGTTTGTATACTTTTCCGACCGATAGCACGACTCAGGCTTGCATGCCAGACTTGAGCCCCCAACCTTGGGCCTCTCCTAGGCATCGCACTGACACATACATCGTCGAGCCTACCGGCTGCCAAGCTCCGTTCGCAACTGTTCGACAGCCTCACCCTCTCACGGCGACCTCGTGGCGCCGATATTACGCGGCCACAGGGGAGAGAAGCGTCGTCTTTCGCGAGGGGGCCGTCGACGGGTGCTGCCCATCTGTGGAAGGAATGGAAGGGCTAAGAGAGCAAATAGACTGACGAAGATAAGGAGGATGAATTCCCGTCCCCCACCGCCGAGTGGAACAGTGGAGCGTACAGCACGCTGCTGAGAGGCACACGGTATAGTCGCAAACTTGTTTGTCGCATACCTGACATGGGAAACGCATCAGCTAGGCCAAGACCCTGTGAGCTGGCAACGCGATTCACTCAAGCTCAGCTGATGCCACTTGGCCCCATGTGCAGCTGGCCAGCAGCGTCTCCTGTACGTGCGTTTACCTCTACTTGTAGCATCAAGTCGGGTAGAGCAGCTTTGGCCAACAGGCAATCCATCAACCATTCTTAGCTGTTTACATCAACTACTCTGGAGCTGTGCACGCCTACGACTGAGCCGACGAGATGAAGAACGACTTGGAGATGGAGCCGTCAATGGGGGCGGCCGGAAGGGGGTTAGCCTTGGGGAGCTGGCTCTGGTCGGCCGTGAAGGACTTGGAACCCTGGATAGTGGAGTTGGCAAGCGCAATGTCACCGGCGGGCGACTCGCCCTTGATGAGCTTCTTCCAGGCCTCGTGGCACTCGAAGACGATCTCGGTCGCGTACTTCTTGGGCTTGGCCTCGCCCGAGAAAGCAAACACATTTTCAGCCTTCCCATCGGGGATCTTGTAGATCTTGGTCGTTAGCCAGGCACGGTGTTAAGGCAGAGAAAAGATGGAGAGAGCGGTTGGGAAAGTGGTTGGAAGTCGGTTGGAAGATGTATGTAGAGTAGTGGTTGGAGATGGAATTGGCGAGGTGGAGGTGGAGGTGGAGGTGGAGAGGAGGGAAGGTGGAGGTGGGGTGGAGGTGTGGTTTGGCGTTAGAGCCGCCATGAGGATAGTGGGATTCGACCAGACAGCAAGCCGCCGAGACCAACTTACGCGGAACCACTCGTTGGTGGCGCGGATGAAGCCGGGGAGGTGACGCTCAACGTCCTCAATGTCGTTGAGGCGCGAAGCGAGGGGGTCGTTCACGTCGACGACGATGACCTTCCAGTCGGTCTCGCCCTCGTCGAGGAGAGCCATGATGCCGAGCACCTTGACCTGCTTGACCTGGCCGGTGTAGCCGACAGCCTCACCGATCTCGCAAACGTCAAGCGGGTCGTTGTCACCGTTGGCGTTGGTCTCGGGGTGCTTGTGGGCGGGGTCCTCCCAGGTCTGGGGGAAGGCACCGTAGTTCCAGATGTAGCCGTGGTGGGGGAAGCAGTTGCGGACGTAGCGAAGCTTGCCCTTCTTGGTGTCTGGGGTTAGGACAGTGCAGGCGAGTGAGCGAGCAACGCGAGCGAAGAAGCTGAAGCTGTGGGAAGGATGGACAGACAAAGAGGATCTCTCCTGCCCGCCGAAGTGGTAATCGAGACCACTCTCGATCTCTTCCTATCACAGCCCACAGCCAACATCTTTTCGGCGCTACTGGGCGTGGTTCCAACTCACCCTGGAGAATGGGGTTGAAGGCCTCCTCCTTGGAGATCTCCATCTTGGCGTTGGTCCAGCGGGGCACCTCAACGATCATGTTGAGGATGCCCTGCGACTCGTCGGCGTAGAGGGGGATGTCACTGGTGTGAGTAAAGTGACGTTGGTCGCTCGGGGCAAGGAGTCGGGCGCGGCTGGGCGGCGCGTCGGGCGAGTCGGGAGTGCGTCGGAGGAATGGGTTGGGGAAGGGGGGGGGGAGAAGGGCGTGGGACAGTGCATCTTCCCCTGCCCTCCTCGCTCTCGCTCCCCCACCCTAGTATGCATGGCGGTCTGAGCATGGTGCGCTGTACGATCGTGCGCTGCATGCTCGTCACTTGCACTTGGTGGCTAGCCTCGGCGGTTGGGAAAAAAAGCAGTTGGGAGGTGGCCGAAAGAGGGCTGGGCGTGGTCCATGTTGAAAGAGGCCCAAAGGGCAAACTGGAAAGCTGGAAAACTACTCACTGGAAGGGAGAGACGACCTTGCCGTCCTTCTCGATGAAGACACGGTAGTCGAGGGTGTTGGGAGCGCCGACCTGGCGGACGGAGTACTCTGAGGCGGCCATTTTTGACGAAGAGGAAGCTTGGCGGGAGATGTGGTTGAAGGTAGTTGTGAGACGTTTGACGGCAGAAATTGGTGATGACATGGAGAGAGCGAGTGGAGACGTGGAGGGGAGGGCGGCTGAATGATTGGGGGGGGGGGGGGGGGGGGGGGGGGGGG